ACCCTGGATGGCTGAAAGCCCTCCAGCCCCACCGCCCCCCAGACCCAGATGCCAGTTCTTTTCACCCTTTCAAGACATCACCTTCAAGGCCAAATCAGACCATCGGTCTAGATCCAGGTCAAGGTCCGTCAGGCGGCGACATAGAGCGCGACCTTCCCACAGAGAACCGCCTTCTGTGGAAATCCCGCCAGGTGATTTTTCGGAAGCACATATTCCTCAGCAAGCGTGGCTGCGACAGCCAGCGCAACCCAGAGTTCTTCAGCCACCGGCATCGCCATTTTTCCCCCCGCTGCCGAAGCAACCGCCCCCGCTGCCAGTGCCACAGGTTGGCCCTCCTGGCGATTTCGGCTTTCTAGGCTACTGGCCAGCGCCCCCATTGTTTCACCCGCCGCCCCTGCTACCTGCCCCGCCTGTGCAGCAACAACCAGTTCATCAATTTCCTGCGCGGCATGTTTATCAGTGGCATCCTCCTGCACGCAACCCTGCGGTCCCTCCTGCAGGTGTTCCAACGCCCGCAGCGCAGCCATTCTTGCAGCCGCCCTGCCCGAGCCGTGGAGTCAGAAACCCTCAGCAGCCTGTGACCCCTCCCAAAAAAGGTGCTACATCTGGCCGTGAAGCAACAGGTCAGCTCATTCGCAAAGACTCCCGTTTCGATCTTGCAGCTTTTACCTCACAGAAGCTGTCTCAAACCAACAAGTCAGCAGCACAGGCAGGAGAACTCACGGCAGCCGAGAACCAGCTTTTCAAGGATGTCATGCAAGCCTCTGCGCTGGAGTTGGAAGATCAGATCGCGGGACGAGATCCCCGTGACACATTCGTAGTCGAAGAGCCGCTCACGCCTTTTTTGGATTACTGCTTCTTGATCTACCAGACCAAAGCTCTCAGAAGCTCTGATGCTTGGTTGCTGTACACCAGATCTCAGTCTCAATGTGGGACAGGGCGTAAGCAAGCCGCAAGAATGTGGGTCCGAGAATGGCAGCTTTGCACCAACACTGACATTCGTCAAATTTTGGACTTCTTGCTTTCTCGTTTTCCGGAAGGGCTCCCCCCAAATTCGGTGGACTCACAGACCCTTCGGAAATTTTGTCAGATGCTTTGGAGTTCCAAGTGCCCAATCTTTGATACGTTTCGAGCAGAAGCAAGCACTTTTTCCTCTCCTGCGGCTGAAAGTAGTGTGCTTGTGTTTCCGGTGGCTGGTTTTCCTGGGCCGCCTCCGTCGCCCGATCAGTGGTATCAATGGGCACATGGCACTGATAGCGCCGGAGCCATTGGAATTTTATCGTCGGGGAGAATTCTGCCTACTGCAAAGCAGACCCTCCATCTGAAACCCCCGCAAAGCAGTTGGTCATTTTTCTGTAAAGTACTGACCACGCCTGATTGGGAGGAAGCTCGCAACGAATTTGTGAGCAACATGCATTGGTCCACAAAGAACAGTTGCGGAGTGGTATTTTCAGGCAGAGTCGGAGGCGCAGCCCATAAGGCTCAGGGTGCTAACACAGTTTTGGAAAATGCTTTGGGCAGGTTTCACCCAGTTGTGCATTCACCGTCTAAGACGGACAAGAGGTGGTGCGTCAGAACAACTGCGGCCCGTATAGACGTCATCTATATCGTTTCCAGCATGCACTCGTTGGATTTTCCGTTCGAGCCTTCCTTGGCTTCCAAGAAGTCCAACAAGCCATTGGATGACCCTATCGGTCTCCCTCTCGCAATCCAAGACGCTGGAATTGATGATAGCTGGGGCAAGTGGCTTCCCCAAGGCTCCTCCGAAGCATCCCAGCAAGTTCCTCCAGCAGCGAATTCAGCCATGGTAGCAGAAATTCCTGCTACAGATGAAGAGCCTGATTTGATGGCTAGCTTTCACTCGTTTCAAGAATCCTGATCCTGCAATTTGGCTTCGCCGCTGTCTGTGCCAAAACGTATCGCCTGTTTTTTGTAGTCGCGTGCGTGTGTTGCTTGTTCAGTCAGTGCATGAGCAGCTTTCTGAGCTCAGTTCAATATCAGATCAAGATCGTCATATTTGAGGTCGTTTTCCAGATCTGTTCGACCGTACCGATAGAGCCCATATTAACGTTGCTGCGTTCGGGTGGACCCGGCGTAGGGGGGTGGGGTGGTTGACAGGCGCTGCCGTGTCTTCGGCCCGCGGCCTCGGCTAGCTGTACTCGGGTGTACCCGGTGCAGAGGGGGAGGGGCGGTTGACGGGCATGGCTGCGTCTTCCGCCCGCGACCTCGAGTGTGAGGGAGTGCTCGTCACTGTAAGACGTGCCAATGTTCGATGTTTGGCGGTCTCTTGAGTCCTAAAAGGATGTTTTGACCTGCAGTCACGAGCCTACTGCCCAATTCCAGCCGGCGTCTGACGCTGGTGAATTTGGCGTCCGTGACACGCATGAACCGCACCTAGTTGCTCCAGATAGGGCTTGTGCCGCCCTCACAAGTAGCGGTGGTCTTCGAACGACTTGTCCCTTTGAGGGCGACCGATATCCAAATCTCCGATGAGTTCGGTGTCGAGTTTGCCTCGTGCTTTTTTTCGCAGCCATTGTTGTCCAACCTCCGGTGATACTTATGTTGGCTGCCTCCTGAAAAGGTTTCTCCCTTGCTCGTTGGGCAACGTCGAATTTCGTGTTCATGTCAAGGATCGATGTTGCGCATATAAAAGCATATGCTTACCCTGCTTCGGCAGGGTGTGTGTGGGGAAAGCCTGTTACCAAGGTCGTAATGCAGCTGCCTCCGTTGTGCGTTTCAGCTTCTCACCTTTTCATTTTGAATGCGCAGGGGCGTCAGGCCCAATGCACCTACCTGACGCAACGAAGCTACGGTGCATTGGGGGATGGGTGGTCTGATCAACCACCTGTACCTGCCTTCTAACAAGATATAAAGTGCTGGTTGTGATGTTTAGGAAGCTGTGCAACATCATTGTTTCGTAACTTTATCTAGAGTGAACTCACGTGGGGTTCATGCAGGCTCTGCCTTGAAGTCTTCACCTCTGAAACATCAAGTGACCAGAGGGAGGATTGCATGAGTGTGTGTGTGTGTGTGTGTGTGTGTGTGTGTGTGTGTGTGTGTGTGTGTGTGTGTGTGTGTGTGTGTGTGTGGTGTGTGGTGTGTGTGGTGTGTGTGTGTGTGTGGTGTGTTGGTGTGTGTGGTGTGTGGTGTGTGGTGTGTGGTGTGTGGTGTGTGGTGTGTGGTGTGTGGTGGGGTGTGTGTGTGGTGTGTGTGTGGTGTGTGTGTGGTGTGTGTGTGGTGTGTGTGTGTGTGGTGTGTGTGTGGTGTGTTGTTGGGGGTGTGGGTGTAGTGTGTGTGTTGTGTGTGTGTGTGTGGTGAGTGTGTGTGTGTGTGGGGGTGTGTGTGTGTGTGTGGTCTGTGTGTGTGTTGTGTTGTGTGTGTGTGTGGTGTTGTGTGTGTGTGTGGGGGGTGTGTGTGTGTGTGTGTGTTGTAGTGTGTGTGGTGTGTGTGGGTGTGTGTGTTGTGTGTGTGTTGTGTGTGGTGTGTGTGTGTGTGTGTGTGGTGTGTGGTGTGTGTGTGGGTGTGTGTGGTGTGTGTGTGTGTGTGGTGTGTTGTGGGTGTGTGTGTGTGTGTGTGTGTGTTGTGTTGTGTGTGTGTGTGTTGTGTGTGTGTTGTGTGTGTGTGCGTGTGCGTGTGCGTGTGCGTGTGCGTGTGCGTGTGCGTGTGCGTGTGCGTGTGTGTGTTTGTGTGTGTGTGTGTGTGCGGTGTGTGTGTGTGTGGGGTTTGTGTGCGGTGTTTGTGTGTGTGGTGTTTGTGTGTGGTGTTTCTGTGTGGTGTTTGTGTGTGGTGTTTGTGTGTGGTGTTTCTGTGTGGTGTTTCTGTGTGGCATTTGTGTGTGTGTGGTGTTTGCGTGTGGTGTTTGTGTGTGGTGTGTGTGTGGTGTGTGTGTGGTGTGTGTGTGTGTGTGTGTGTGTGTGTGTGTGTGTGTGTGTGTGTGTGTGTGTGTGTGTGTGTGTGTGTGTGTGTGTGTGTGTGTGTGTGTGTGTGTGTGTGTGTGTGTGTGTGTGTGTGTGTGTGTGTGTGTGTGAGTGAGCCACCTTGAACATAGGTGCTGGCGCTTGCAGGAACCGGGATAGGGTCCCGGTCACCGCAAACCCCATTCCGTGTCCGTGCAAACGTTCCTGCATCGGCGTGCTCATTGAACCTGTGTTGGGACGGCATCACCTCATCATGCTTCATCTCATACCGTGTTTTTTACACCATCTGCTGCAGTGCAGGCAGCACCCTCGCCCCATTCTTCGCTTCATCTCCTCCCCTGCTCTTGCTCACAGACGAAGCAACGTAGCCAGGTCCGCAGGGACGTCGTCTGGCTGGAGAGCTCTTGGAACACCGGATTGTTCCAGAACCTGGCGAGGCACGGCATTGATCAACACTTTGAAACCTGTGAATCCCTGAAGGCCACAAATGAGTGTCTTCCGGTCCCACATCATAACCCCAAATACGTGACAGACTCCCCTGAAAACAGGATCCCCCCCCCCCCCCCCCCCCCCCCCCCCCGCCAAAAAAAGGCCCCGAATTTCTTCGGGCTTTTTCGGAAACCTCCACACGCCTCACACCTTGAAAAATACGCCGGGCCACCCGTCGGAGCAGCCCTTCACCTTTCAGCTCAGGGCTGGGTGTCAGAGTTGAGGGGGGGAGCAGCAGCCCAAGAGGTTCAGGAGTTCCACGGCGATTTTAGGGGATACTTTGGGGTAGGTGTAGGGTATAGGCGGCATGTGCGGTAGAGGGTTTAAGGTTTAGGGTTTCGGGTGCGGGGCTCTGGATTCAGGTCTTCTTGCACAGGTCTCCGGCCTCTTGGGCATCGCCTGGCACAGGCTTCGCTTCCGGAGGGCCTCAAAATGGCAAGATGCTTTGAAACGTGGGGCGTTGAAAAATTGAGTGTTATCGGCACCTTGCCTGTCAGCATGGGAACTCTGATGAGTAGGACCCCATTAAAAAGGGACCCGACTTTGCAAGGACACCCACTTCAGGGTTGCATCTCCGTCCGAGGCCCGCTCCTGTCAAGCCCCCCGCGGATAATCTGGCAGAGTCCTCAGTCGCCATCACATCGGCATTTCGAAGTATGCCATGCACGGCGCGCATCACATCACACGCGTACAGGAAACACAGAAATCAACTTACCGACAGAACAACCGAAGGACCGAAGGAGTCAGACAATGCAAAAAAGGGGAGTCCCTGTGAGCCTCGGAGAGGCTATACGGCTATACTCGCTACTGAGTTGAAGGCAAGTCTCTCGCTGGCACCAGGCGCCGCCGAATTGTCCTAAGGAAAGAAGTGGGACCACTCCCACCTACAAGTAGGGAACATGACGACACCTCACGAATGCGCTCTTGAGTCAAGAAGGCTGCCGCCCAGTCCTCTTCGTTTTCTGCGACGGCCTCACGAGCTTTGGAGTTGCTTCAACTCTCGGGTGTCACAAAGCTTGCCGTGGAATCCCCAATGCGAAGACAGTGCCGGGTGTGCGGCGGCATCCACCCAGAGCAAGGCCCCGAAGGGCACGCGCTCTCCGTCCGCAAGGCTCCAGATGCTGTACGCCTCACCGGCAGTTTAGTTTGTAACATCGTACAGCCTCACCAGCATCTTGAAACCTTACTGCCCTGGCCTGCAAACTAGGCACTGCCCTTCTTTTAAAGTGGAGTGCAAGTTGATCAGTATGGTTTTTCTTCACCCGAACGCGAAATTCTTGCTGCAGGCACTTCTGCTCTGCTCTTTCTTCACTTTGAATTTGTCCTCTTGTGCATGGTTCCAAGATCCATCACGCAGCATAGAATATCACTTCCATGCCACTACTCACTGCTTTCCACTTGGCGGATGCCTCTTACAGCTGCGATGACAGCAACCGCACCAACTCATTCTAGCCTCCTTATTCTCGGCAATGGGAATGTGTTTCTCACAACTGTCATGAACTCCATCGCATCTATGTTTCTGAAGTGCTTAACGGCCTCCCCAGCTAGTCATTCAGCTGCGCAGTCCCGGCCAAACAGCTCACAGAGAAGTTGATGAGGGAACTCAAGTTGCTGACGGTGGAAGAGGCTAAGCAAATCAAATGTTCTTGAAGTCTTGAATTTGCTGCCATGCTTCGTAGTCATCACCACGGGCCACCAAAAGAGGTGGCCAACGACAACGAAGCACAGCAACAGATTCAAGAGTGTCCTTCTTCTCTGTGTTTTGCCTGTTGCTTGTCAAGATGCCTAGGGATGTCACTGCGAGATCACAAAGAGGAGTATCACATCGGGCTCGGCTTGCTACGCTTGCGCGCTGCAAAGCCCCTATCCGCATGTGAGTAAATGAAATGCTCGAACCACACCTACGATGGCAGTGCGGCCTTTGTGCCCGGCTCACTGGGAGCTTGAAGTTGGAGAGCCAGGGGCACAGTGCTGCCCACGGGCACCTGCAAAGAAGCCCACACAATCCACAGAACCCACAGAAACCACGCAATCCAGCTTCGCAGACTTGTCGTAGGCAATGCCACCATCCGGCACACCGGCACCTCCCGCCTCCTGCAGTCTCAGACCAACAGGGCCTCCCATAGTGTGCCCATCCCGCAACGACAGCACCTGAGCACCGCTCCACTGAGCATCGCTGAGCCTACACTCTTTGCCAAAACCCGTTTGCTTTGCGCAGGCGCATGGCCTCAATGGCTTCAATGGCTTCTTTCTTCTGGCCGCCAAGGTGCTGTCCCGGGTGGCCAGGGTCTTGTCCCGGTGTTGGCTGGCAGCTTGTAGGATCAACTGCTTAAGTCAGATCCTCTACGTACTGCGCACTCGAAACTACCAGTGATACACAGCCATCAACCACCGCATTGCAGGCAACCTTTACCCCTCGCCTATGACGACATGAATCTCGAAGCTTTCCCCTGGCATTCGCCGGACATACCTCGGTCACCACTCCGTGGGGCCGGATTGTCTCAGCATGCAGAGAAAGTGGAAGCCAAAAGCCAAGGGTCAAGCTCCATCTCGCGTGGCTCCTCGACGCAATGTCTAGTAGACTCCAGGCTCAGTAGCGTCACAGATGCACAATGAATCAAGATGTGCGGAACTGGCGAAAAAACACACAGATGATTGAATGACCATGGGTTGTGTGCCTTCCTCTTCAACATCTCAGCCCCACAACCAGTACATCTAACACTCATCCGAATCACGAACGGCTGCTGAGACCGTGACTCCACAGAACAGAACTGGGAGCCCCCCCGGAACCTGACGGGTTTTGGTTGGTTATGGGTCGTTGTAGTTTTATTGTCCAAACCGTGTGCTAACACTACAAACGTCAGGAATAAGATTGCCGTGGCCGCGTGGCGTGCGCGCACACTCACGCACGCGCCCCACGCACTCGCAAACCACCAAGTTGGCTCTCGCTCGAGGCCTCCTCGCATCTTGCTCGCACCCCAGCGTAAGTTTACGCCCGGAGTTCTTGGGGGTTTTCATCGCCACATGCTTGTGGGCCTGCGGAGGTTGCCAAATCGCACTCTAACTTAGGTCCCGTGCATGTTCCACACTCGAAACCATGCTCCCACCTAGGCCTGGCGGATTGGTTCGCTTCGTGCATCCAGTCCAGGGGGATTTGCATGTCGTGGTGTTACAAATGGCGCTCTCGTCTCGGTCCCGTGCGCATTCCGTTCTCGAGATCGCGCTCTAGCCGTTAGCTGTTTCCCGCACTTCTTTTTGAGCGCCAAATCGCGTTCACTCGCCTAGGTCCTGTGCACGTTCCATACTCGAAATCTGCTGCCGCCGATGTCCAGTTCACGCACTTTGTTGAATGCACAAAAATCGCGCGCATTCGGTTCGCACGAATTCCTGCGTAGGTGGTCTCTCACTGTTTCAGAGAGACAATCAAGCAAAAGAGAAGATCCGAACCCGGTAATACCCACTTTCACGTCGGGCGTAGAGCTCCTGCATTGTGTCGGTAGAGACATCTTCTTTCTCGAAACTGTCGTTATGAAAAGCTGAGGCCCTCGCATGTGCTGGACGTACAAACCATGGCTTCTTTTGCCTTTGTGATGCCCAGATGGTTCAACCGAAGAACCGGGCGATGCTTCAATTCAAGGGGGTGATTTTGGCTTTCTGACTAGTGATTACGCTATCTGTTCCAATGGCAATTTCAAGCAGAGTCAGGCAGAGCCCTCTGCAATGCGAATGGTAACATCACTCCAACCCGCGAGCAACCATAAACAGCTCCACTACCAGCAGGAAGGCGTGCAACAACAACCACAACATGAAGAAAAATCACAACAACAAACAGAACCACAACCACGAACAACACACAAACATAACCACAACAAAACAACAAACAAAACCACTACCACAGCCACAACAGCCACAACCACAACCACAACCACAACAGTTGGCTTCAAGGAAGTCATACTCGGACCCCTAAGGAATTACCTTGAAGAGGTTCCCTTCATATACTCCTAATATGTCCCTTACAGTGGCTTCTGCCAAGTGGAGGCCCAACTCTCCTAAGCCTTGCCGAGGCACTGTTGGCAGAAAGTCGGATCCAGCCTTGGCCCCCATTCTGCTCTTCTGGACTACTACTGCTATGACTGTACTGCTATGGCTACTGCTATTGCTGCTGCTACTGGTACTGCTACCCACTACCACCACCAGCACCTCCACCAGCACCACCACCACCAGCGCCAGCACCACCACGACCACTACCACAAACACTACCACAAACACTACCACTCCCGCTACTACAACCACCACCACCACCACTACTACCACCACTACTACCACTACCGCTCCTACCACTACCACTACCCAGATTCTTACGATGTGTGTGAACCTCAAGCGCATCTCCCGGGGTCGCCGCAGGCCGTGGTCCGCCCCGTCGATCCAGATGGCAGCTGCAGAATCAAAACACATGGGTAGGTCTCTTCAGCAGGGTCCCTTTCTGGGTTTAGGGTTTGGGGTTTAGGGCTTAGGGTTTAGGACTTTACGGCCAGCAAGATGCAAAGCCTAGAAGTGTAGAGTGTAGAGAACTACACACATGCTCGCCGCACACGAACTCACCACACGCATGGGGGTTGACATGATCGTTTAGGGGTTTGAGTTTGGGGCTTATGAGTACATTCCTTGTAGTTTAGGGCTTATGAGTCTGTTGCTTTTAGTTTAGGGTCTATGAGCATATACCGTTTAGTTTTGGATGTTCCATGGTTTAGATCAACAGCCCTCAACCCACCCCCTACATGGCTGGCACCGGCAAGTCGCCTGTGTCCAAGCCACTGCGCTCCTGTCGCCAGTCCATCCTGATGCTAGCAGGTGCTCTGGCTGTACTGTCACTATTCCCAGTTTTAATATCAGAAAGTCTTATTAGAACTTATTGCTATTTTATTATTATCATTATCACTATTATCATTTTTATTGTTATTGTCATTATTAGCAGCATTGACATTTAGCGATGCTTTTGCTTCTGACATCTTGCAGAGGATCTGAGAGAGCGGCCAGGCCCGCAACTCCGAGGGCACAGGAGGCGTTCGCAAGGAGTCGTAGGGTCCTGGCCCCAATTTAGGGTTTAGGGTTTAGGGTTTAGGGTTTAGGGTTTAGGGTTTAGGGTTTAGGGTTTAGGGCCCAAATTCCCAAAGGCCCCCATACTACCAGCTCCCAGAGGCTGCAGGGAGCGCTTCCCACGCAACTGCCGAGCCTAGCAAGGAGCCACCGCGAACGAACTTGGCCATGAAGATCTTCGCTGCATCTGCAGTCTCTGTGGCACACGACCTACGGTATCACGGCACTAGGCTCAAAATACGCCAACCCCGAGCCAATGAAACAGTTGTTTCGGCGATGAACACACATGTAAGGGCTCGGCGCGTGCACGGAACGCATGTTCACCTACCGTGGCGAAGTGAGCTTACCAGCTCACAGCTCACCTCCACTCTACGGAACACTCCCAGCACGGCACGGATGGCCTTGCTGTCGCCCAGGAGGTGGTAGTAGAGAAGCGCATCCCCTTTGCCTCAGTCAGTCAGCCGTGGCTTCAGCAGGCCAAGGGAGAGTCTGCGCTGAGCTTGCTGGCGGAGCCGCAACGGAGCCTTCGCACGATTGAACAGCAAGCGGACAAGCGAACAAGCGACGTGCAGTGGTTGATGTTGATAGATATGGTTCATCATATGATTGATAAGCATGCGGTGCATGTGCCTGTCTTCTTTTCGACCTACCTTCTGACTTAGCTGCACTTATATGACCTTCAACAAACCTCTGCATTCAGCATTCTGTTCAAGGCCCCTCGGCTCTGGCGGTCGCGGCCTTGCGGCAGACCTCTGCAAAGGCTTCGTCCAGGTAGCCTTACGGTAGCCAGCCGAGCATGGGTTGGGGGCAGACAACTCAGGGCACCCGGTCAAATTGATCCTTCCACGTCCGATCGGCCCAGTTCAGGCCATGGGAGGCTGCAGTTGAGGCACGGGCCCAGCGACTTGAAGCTTCGCCCGGTCCCGCTTCCGCGCCACGGCAGCTCGTTACCCTGAGCAGCTCGATTTGTGGAGGGGTTGTTCTGAATTAGGGCCTTCCTCCATACCAGATTTCCTGATTCAAGCAGCTCCCACACGGAAAACCCACCTGAGTGCTCCCCTCTCTGGCTTTCTGCGGGTGATTTTCACAGGAAGTCCTCTGCCTCCTTGGTGAGCTTCTCAACAAGATTCTCATCCTGGCCCGCTGCGCAGGGCAACACAGCAACTCTCTGGGACAAAGAACCCCCGAATGCTCCTCCGCAAGGGCATGCGCTGCAGGCCTCAGACGGACCAGCTTACAGGGTCTAAAGTTGACAGGGGCTGGACACGGTACACGTCGACGCTCGAGAAAACACGAGCTGCGCGCCACTTTGCCAGAGGAAAAGCCACGCCCACGGGGTCGTCCCGCAGTCGCACCAAGACCTGGCCAGGGCTTAAAGTACCAGAACAATGCAAAGATTAGACGCAGGCGATACAAACCTTTGCATCTCAGCAGTGCTTGCGCGCAATACAGGCAGTAATGAACTGCACGTCCCTCACGCAACGGAACCATCAACATCGTTTCTCGTTTCATTGCTACTGTCGGTATCTTATTATGAAGAATCATGGTAGTAACAGTACTACGTGCCTATTGTTACAGCTGTGCGTGTTTGTCTCCAAAAATGGTACCTGTTTACTGTCATTGCTGTGGCTATTTGCCCCCTTACCCTGACTAGGGCTCCTCAGGCCGAGACCGTGGCGATGCGCGGCGGGAACTGGAAAGCGTGACAAGGGTGGTGAGTTTTCCAGCCGGCTTGCAGAGTGACTTGCACCGAGGGGTTCATGAACACTACAGGCACCTGAACCCTAAACCCTAAACAACGGCATCTATGCGCAGACTGTCAAGAGCCGCGACTGCGCCTGGAAGTGGTGGTACGTGTCCATGTGAAGATCTTGCCCTGCACAGAAACAAATGCATCCTAAACCCTAAAGCCTAAGCCCTAAAGCCTAAGCGCTATAGCCTAAGCGCTATAGCCCTAAACCCCAAACCCTAAACCCTAAACCGTCCAACTTTCGTGGCTGACTGAGGCCTCTAGACATTCTAGGGCTACGGGGAACTCAAGGGCTACCGGGGCATTGGGGGGGGGGGGGGGGGGGGCATCATGTCTGAGGGTTGGGATGTTCCCCCTTCTACTCACAGTCCTCAATAGTGGATTCTAGTACCCCCGATGATCATCCTTAAACTAACAGCCCTTAACAGGGGGATTCTCGTACCCCCCTAATTATATTACTTACACTAAAAAAGCCCTTAAAAAAGGGGATTCTAGTACCCCCCCCCCTTTATAACGAGTAAAGGGGAGCTGTTTTTGTTTCGCCTACATGGGGGAAGAAGAAGATCCCCGTCTCTGAAGGGCCCCCTAAACCCTAAACCCTAAACCCCAAACCCTAAAGCCTAAACCCCAAACCCTAAACCCTAAACCCTAAACCCTAAACCCTAAACCCTAAACCCACGAAAAAAAAAAAAGCCCCTAAGCCTCGGCGATTCTTGTCCCAGTGGAAGAGCCAGGCTTCCTCCACGTGGTCCTCTTCTTCGGCGCTTCTTCTTCGGGTTTTTTTGTTGGAGGGTTCATGGTTGGGAGAAGATCAAAAACTTTTAGGGTTTAGGGTTTAGGGTTTAGGGTTTAGGGTTTAGGGTTTAGGGTTTAGGGTTTAGGGTTTAGGGTTTAGGGTTTAGGGTTTAGGTTTTTTTCCCTTGTTCCAAAGTCCCTTGCCTACTTAGGCAGAGAAAGGTGAGACCGTGGGCACGAGGGGCGGCTTAAGATTTTGGCGGGTTCTGGCTCCTTCGGAATTCGTTGGTTCTGCTCACCTGAAGAAACATATTGAGTCGGAGGATTGGAAACCTTAGATTTCTATTCCTTATTGGGTTTAAGACCCTCAAAATTCAAAATGTCACCCAACTACGACGAAGTTTAGGGGTGCCTCAGGATTCAGGGCCTCTAGGGCTTAGGATTTAGGATTCAGGGCCTTGAGGATTTAGGATTTAGGGTTCAGGGCGTTAAGAACATCCACAAACCATCTAAGACCCAGCCCCAAATACCCAAACATTGACCTTTCATGTTAATTGCAACCATACTTATGGTTAACAACTTGCAAGTGTAAAACGATTGTTTGCTTCTTCTTCCAGACCATTCATCATGAGCCTGAATGGATGCTGTTGCTACGATAGTCATCACGCAACTCAGAGTAATCATGAACACAAAATCTCCAACGTGGGTAATGTTCATGCTGGCTATTGTTGTCAGTTTAGTCAAATGGATTGTAGTGTTTCTTAAACTGCGGCAATTCTCTGTTCCGAATTTAACGACTACTGCGGTTGAAAATCCGCCGAGGCCTTGGGCCCCAGGTGTCTGGGTAGCACAAAGCAGGCACCCCGCCCTGAAATGGGTACTCCCCCCTAGCCGACAAGTCTCCGGGAGCAAACGGTGCATCAGGACCAGGAGCACGAGGGGCCGCTGCCCCCAACACCCTGTATGTTACAGAAGCTCAGGCCGAGGTCGCGTAGCGTTGAAATTAAATCCTGTCAAACAACCCTGAAAGCCCTGCCTATATGTCTCAACCCTGACCCCCAAAAAAGACAGAATACTAAGAAAAAGACTGAAGCTCCCATGTGCCAACGAAAACATTCCTGAACCCTGAACCCTAAACCCTAAACCCCCAACCCCAAACCCTAAACCCTAAACTTTGCCCTAAACCCTAAACCCTGAACCCCAAACCCTAAACCCCAAACCCTACACCCGAAGCCCCAAACCCTAAACCCCAAAGCCCAAACCCCAAACCCCAAACCCTACACCCTAAACCCTGAACCCTAAACCCCAAACCCCAAACCCCTAGACCCTGAAGCCCAAACCCTAAGCCGTCAGCTGGCCGGAGCCTCCGCCACCCCCACGGTCGAAGCCACCCTCTCGTGAACCTTCACCATGGCCTGCAGTTGGAGGGGCTTCCCAAGTGACTCCATATATATATAATATATGTAAACCACCTACAAACATAGAATGTGCATGTACTGTATATATATATATATATGTATAACCATATATATACACACACATATACTCTTACATCTATATATCTATATATACATGTGTGTACACACATGTGATGTTTAAAACAAATCTAAGGCCTGGCTGTGTTATAACTGTCATAGCTTAAGTTATAAGTTGTAACTGGTTCTAAGGCTTATCAATGCACCTTTGGAGTTTCGGCCTCAAGAATTTGCACTGCAACCTGAAACTTAGGGTTTAGGGTTTGGTTTGGGATCCAGGATCGACCCCCTTCGCCTGGCTTGCATAAACCCGCCGGTCCGTTTGGAAGTCGCAGCGGTCGCCTGGGCATGCAACGGAAGCGGCGTTGCTGAGGATCCTCCGCCCGCAGCCCGAACCCTACTCCCTAAACCCTAAACCCTAAACCCTAAACCCTAAACCCTAAACCCTACTGTGCCCGCATGCTTGGCCGAGGGATCTGCCGGCCGCTGGAACGGACTCACAGAAGGAGGCTGGGAATCGCCGCACCTCGAGTGTTGCGATTATGCTTATCGTCTCTTGCTCTTTGCTCTTTCTATTCTGCCATGGCTGGTGCACCTGCTCATGCTGCCCCCTATCACTATTACGACTGCCTTCTGTTACAATGACTAGCGCTGGAACTCTTACCATTGCCAGTTGTTTCACACCGTAGTCACTGTGGTGAATGCTACTTCTGTTGGGTACACGTCTCTCACTCCTCACCCCAGCAAGAGCGAATGCTTCGAGCGCCACGCGCAGCGCTGAAACGCCGGCGCACTCGTGTCATTGGCAGAACCTTGACGCGCAAACGCCAAGCCAGGCCAGAAGCGATGCAATCATTGCTACTGTCGCCTCTCATGTGCCCATTGTGTTCATTGGCAACTCTTGACGCACGCAGCTGAAAAAGAAACACCCCAAAGCCAAATCGCTCTTAGCCGTGGCCTCCGCAACCCACACCGGGTCCCTGACGCACAAACTCCGGGATCAGCTCCAACTCCTGAAGGGCTGGATTTGACCACTGTGGATGCGCCTCTTCCGACGTGTTGTCCTGCACATACGCTTAGTTCGAAGTCTTCCTTCTGAGGGCCAGCACATAGTCTCGCAGAAGCCTCTCGGCCTCCCCACCAGAGATGAAGCCGCGCCTCCCCGACAAAAGGGATGTAGAGTAGGGTTTATGCAGGGCCCCCCCCCCCTCCCATGCTCCCACTCCGGGCGCACAGGAGAAAGATGGGCGGATCAGCGGAAAGGATGTCAAGGCCACCGGACCTAAGTCTGACTCCGCCCAGCTGGCGACTCAGCTGTGTCCGTGACACTTGGCTACCGACCATGCTGGGAAAGGAAGGCTGGCGTTCTCTGGACCGAAAAGCCTCCGCGCAGCCAAGGGGAATATGGGCATTTCCCAAATTAGGGGTTGTTTATACCCCCAAAATTGAATAGAATCCCCTTGACAAGGGACCCCCAAAAAGGGCATCCGTATTTTTCGGAAACCCCCATGTGGAGCAAAGGGAAAGTATGGCAGAAAAAAGGCCGGGAAGTGTCCTCGCTGAGGCCGGGGCTGGGGCTGGATGCCAGCAGACCCAACAAAGCTGGCAGCGCAGATCCTGCTCACGGCAACGACGAGACAAACCCTCGCTTGTCTCCCTTTGCAACAAACGAGAATGTTCATTGAGCTGCCCTATCCGAGGTCTTCACAGTGCTCTAGGTGCTGCTCTGAAGAAATTCTGTTTGACATCCGAGGTTCAATCACCTCAGGTGTCGTGCGTTTACGGGGTGTCCTGAGAAGCTTCAAGCCAAGACCGCCCATCGCCAAGGCGGGTGACTACACAGGACCATGCTGCAACGAGAGGCACGAATATTTCAGTGGCACAATTTGGCACAATGCAATGTAATAGTGCTGGTGAACGACTGCTCATAGCGAATGGGACTGGAAACGTGATTCTCAATGTCGCTTTGATCAGCAGTTCCACTAGCAGATCACAGGAGCATGCAGCAGGAACGAAGAAAACTGAGCGAGCAGCACCACAAGGAGACCAGCTTCATTTCTGGCACGACTGGCACATTGCAGAGTAGCACAGATTTCTCCTATGGGAAGCCCTGTGGAAAGCTGGTGTCTGCCTTCAAAGGCTCATGGGACGGCACTTTGAGCTCGAATTAGGAAAGAATCTCCCTGCTGCGGCTGTGCGGCTATTAGCATCTCTCTGCCAACGGCCAGGTAAACAAAGCAAATGCTGTCACAGGGCATCGAATGCTCATCACAGCAAAGCCATGACAGAGGTGCGAGTACTCAGCCTCTTGAAGGCAAAACTCAAGTACTCAACAAGATGCTGCCAGCAATGATCGGGCCGCTTGCTCAGGGGCCTCTCGAGATGCAAGATGCTGCGAGAAGAGAGAGAGGGAGAGCGAGAGAGAGAGAGACAGACAGAGAAAGAGACGGGCAGATGACAGAAAAGACCAGCGAGCGAGAGAGAGGGAGAGAGAGGGACAGGGAGGGAGACAAGAACTGAGGAGCACGTGGAGACAAATAGGACACAAAGCGACGGCACAGAACCTGAGAAACCGAAGCTTCTCTATACAGTGATACGTGGGCAAGTCCGGTGCAAGCCCTGAACAGCGCTCTTTGAGCGGCAACAGTCTGCAACGCGCAGGTCACTGACAACAATGTACTGTAACGCAATACACACATGGGCATTTCCCAACACAGGGGTACCCCTCACACAGCCCAAAATACCAAAAACTCATCGGGTACTAGAAAGCCCCCCCCACCCCAAAAAAACAAGAAAAGGGGAGGCACCCCCTAGTGCCGGAAACCCCCACATCTGCCCTTGCTTGTGCGGGCCCTCCTTCGTGTTGCAGCCCCCGTGATGAGGGGGCTTAAAAGCACCATCGTAGAAGACACATGTATTTCATGATCTCTTCCGATGGTAGGGCAGCTCACCAAGACATGAGCCGCCAAGCCACACTCCAAGTTGAAATCGTGCGCAGCTTCACTGGTTCACAGGGTCATTGTTGGTGGCGCTTCGTTGTTCTCTTTATCGGCTTCGTTCTCTGCGGCTTCGATCTCCAGCTCCTTCGAGGGCAGAGGCCCCTCAGTCTTTCCACTGATCCCTTAACGCATGCAGAATCAGAAACACCTTGCTGTATACTACTACTACTACTACTACTACTACTACTACTACTACTACTACTACTACTACTACTACTACTACTACTACTACTACTACTACTACTACTACTACTACTAAGCAGCTCCCCTCCTCCTTCTCCAAGCCGGCGATATCAGAGGACTGGCGTGACATCGTCACTTTGCCGTAGCGCACCCACGAAATCAATCGAGTGAGCAGCCACTGACCCAAAAGGGTCGCGAGACCGATTCCAAGTCCAAGTCCAAACCACCAAACGATAGCTTCGGCATGCGACTGCGTGTGCAGATCGGGGTTTGAGGACACAGTGCTCAGTCCTGCCACGATCTGCCACGGGTACGGAACTCGCAGCAGCTTGGACGTGATGCATCATACACAGAAACCGTCCCGCCTACGTGCCAAAGTGCTGCAACTGGCAGGATCATAAGGCCGAACAGGTTCTGGCTGGCATGGGCGAGGCGGTTGTCAGTTGTATTTCCACGGCGCCGTACCATCAGAAGCTTTGGCAACCGGGAGTGTAGGTCCAACTGCCGAGCTAGCATTTGGAAGATCAGCCCCCAGGGATTTATCGGGGCAAACCTTAAGCTTGCAGCACTCAAAGGAATCTGCGTCGGTTTCCTTCTTGTATAACGTTAAAGAAACATGGGGCACCTGCTAATTCAATCTCCGGCACAGTACCATGACCATGAAGTTCAGCTTCAGAAGCTTCAGTTCGTCCAGGGGGTCCATCGGGCGCAGGAGCCTCTGATCTAAAGGCCCGAAGAGCCCTCCGATCACCGCAGCACCCTGCGGATGGCATTCTCCACATATGTCGTCCCCACATTTTGCACAATGCCTTGGCAACACTCCGTGCACCATGAGCCCACTGCTTTGAGTACGGTTAGGGGGCGGGGTGTTGCCAACAGCTCCGATGCGGTCTAGAAGCCACCTCTCTGCGCCTTTGCTCTCTTCGCTGGAGCCACAGACTGCATGGTGTCGACACTTCCATCCCTTGCTATTCTTGCCGGTCCAGTGCATGTCCCTCTTGCACTCGGTGCAATAGGGGCCGAATGCCTGGGGCTGTTCCAAATTCCAAATCACACTGCAACATGTCGCACGGAGAACTGCAGCCAACGTGAACACTATGAAACACAGACACCCCACACCATTGCCTTGGGGTTCTCTTCCAGAGTGATCTTTGGAGCTTTGAAAGGGAACCCCTTCCAGATGTATGGGAGACCAAGCACGCCTTCCGGAAGAGCGCTCAGCACTGAAGGTCAAGAACAAGCCACATGCATGTGTGTGTGGACGTGTGGGCATGGGGGTGCCAGCGTCGGTGTGCGTATCTGCGTGTGTGTGTGTGTGTGTGTGTGTGTGTGCGCATGTCTGCGCATCTAGTATTGATCTTGTCAAAGAGGCAGCAAAGGAAAAGTTCTCGCAGGTACAACACAACACCGCATCCTCAACTTCACAAAGCAAAGTCACCTCGTTCGACCTTCCACATGCATTAGGCATTACAAGAAGGCTACAAAGAGAGCTTGTTCTCAAAGATCACCCGTCAAGATTTGGCTGACAAAAATAAAGGGCTTCCTCTTCTACTCCCAAGAACGCCTTCTAGCCCTCAGCCCTTGTAAAAAGTATCTCCGAAGCTACAAATGTCGGCCTCTGGGACTACGGCAGCTCGTTCAAGGGTGGCTGTTGCACTTGCAATCAATACAGGTTTATTATTATTATTATTATTATTATTATTATTATTATTATTAATATTATTAATATTATTAATATTATTATTATTAGTGGGTTTGAGGGTCGAGTTGGGTCTCTTGTTTGCAGTTTGGCACATTGTTCGGGGATCGCGACTTGGATATGGGGGCTTGGAGGGTTCGCATCCGTGGCTTGCTGTATGACAAAGGGAACTCTGATTCGTCCGTTGCATGCATCTTCTGATGCAAAGTGTTCGAATGTCGAATGTGACTATAAACCAATTTCCCAACCTCCGTCCAGCAAGAAAATGAACCCAACCAGCCGGCCAAGTCCTCGCAAGCATTTACTCCGGCAGCCGTGCTCGACACTCGTGGTCAACTCACATTACTTCATGTACCCCCAACTAACCCCGAAAATCGAGGTTGTCTCGGAGTCCTCGAAGAAATCCGCAGCAGCAGGCGCAAAAGCCGCATCCGCTCGGCCGATCCGACCCATTCTCATCCACGTCACGGAATCCGTCGCGAACTAGCTCACATCGCACATGTATCAGGTATGCCTTACATTCGAAACGAAACGAAGTGACTGCGATGGGACATTGTAGTGCAACGTTGCCGGAGCTCTCAGAACCAGGCCAAGAGCGGAATGAAGAACAAGACGAGGATTTCCACGAAGGGAGCGACCACGAAGAGTCCAGCCAGCCATGCCTCAAAGACTTCTCGTCTCCTAGGCACGGATCAGGGTCAAATTCTGACATCAAAAAAAGAGTCTGTGGGCAACCGACTGCCCTCTGCCGAACTCCACAACCTGTCCAAGGCACTGGTAGAAGTTCAGCTTGGATCTTGTACAGAACAGGGACCCCGAGCAACAAGTCATATCGTCCGGCGCACAACTTCGCAAGACTCGACAGGCCTAGCAAGCATGAACAAGGTGCAGGATTGCACAGTGTACTGGTTCATCCAGGTCAAGGGAAACTTCAAAAAAGAAGCAAGACTTCAAGAGCAGACTGACACTAGCTCCCTTGTCCATAGAGCTGCAGATTTCTTGCCTACCACTAAATACGGCATCAGCACGAACACCCATCTTACAGCCAAACAGTTAGCAAAGGCAGCTTTGGCCGCGCTTGGCGCAGTGCAGGGTGCGCAGTGCAGGGTGGCCTTGTAGTCCCAGAATATCTCGCAACCACTGGCATCATCCCACGCTGTCTCCACTGTAGTTTCCCACTCGGGGAGGAAGGAGAAGGCCAGGTAGGAGAACATTCCAATCGTCGCAAGAACATCAACGAAGCTGGCGGTGAAGTGCTCCACGAATTGTCGCAGGACCATGCTGCGGAAGTTCCACATCCTGCAACTCTCTCTGTTCTCATTTTGCCCCGGCGTGCGTTCGCGCGTGCGTGTGCGTGTGTCAACAGCTTGGCTTCTTTGTTTGTTTCCGGGGTTGAGGGGAAGCTTCTGCTGGGGCACTTGGCGATTCGGTAGGCAAACGCTTTGCAGAGCTCCCCGGTGGCCACGTTCAGCGTCAGCGCCAGCAAGATGTCGCAGGCAACCATGGAGAGAAAACCCGAGAAGCCGTGCTTTACCGATGGATCGTGGCATTTCAAATTGTAGCAATCGCCCCATTCGTAAATCCTTGGCCCAAGAAATCAGTCTCGAGAAGAAGCTGATCTTTCCGAGAAATACGAGAGAGGAACTGTCAAGAGAAGGACCCCGTCTGCGAGAGGTCCTATAAACCCTTGAAGCTTATGTCTGGCCAGGCGGCAAGGAGAACTTCAACTCCATGGTAAACAGGAGGAACAGCCCGGCCAGCAGAAGGCACAGTAAGCACCCCAGGCCTTTCGAACAGGTCTTAATTAGTTGAATGGTCTTCTGATGTTTGGCTTCAGGGGGGTGCCCCCCCATAACCATACCCTCAACCCCAAATCGTTAAGTTCATGTGTAATAAATTCACGTCGATGTTCTAGTTGAAGACTAGGTGAAGGTGGGCCTGACAGAATGATGCACCAGACCATCCAAAGCTTTCGGTAGACCACCTTCTTGTGATCCGGATTTTGGCGCCTTAGAGCGGGATTCATGGCTACGGCTGAAGCACATCGGCATGCACTGCGTGTTTTATCCGGCTAATATTCCTAGCTATGCTTCGGTTGCAGAGAGGCCTACATCCGTCTGTTCTCTGTTCTGTTGCAATGCCCAGGCTCATATTCAACATGGCGGCGAACTCGCCTCCACTGCCCGTCTGCGACATGATCCTTCGCAATATCTGCCGCTTCCTGAGAACCGCGACCGCCACCCAAAGCTGAACACATCTTCTTGAGTTCCAAGGTCTGCTTCAAGCCCTGGCTTACACTGCCGGATCTTGAAATTCAGTGTGAGTCTTGTTATTCAGGCTGCGCAAGGTAGCATCATGCACCACTCTGAACGCACACTTACGTATGCGCGTATGTGTACGCAGGTGTATATACACACACGTATGTATGCATGTGTGGCACTCCCCCCTATGGATCCACCCTTTGTCTCTTTATTTCGAAAGTTCAAATACTTGGGGTAAGTTAGTTACACTTGCTGGAGGTAAGTTTTGAATTTTGAAGTTATATTGCTTGCATGGCCGGAGTATTGGAAAGGAATGGAGGACAGCTATTGGAACAACGGATGCCCTATAGCTTTCAACAGGGCTAGCTATGTGCATTATATTGCAAAAATGAAGAGTAGACCAGAACTGAGCGATTGCACACGTCTGAACTAGATGTTAACTCCTCCAAGGTCCAGGAGACACGCTACTCCACTGCAGAGAGTACTCCAAGACCAGGCTCGGGAACAAGCCTCACCATGACCGCACTTCCCGCCACCTCCACCCCGCGAGGGCATCACGGGCTGGGTAAGTCCCTGACACTCCAGGGCGGAGGTTTGCCGCCCGACGACACTATCACTGGGTGACCCTGCCTTCCTGACTACGGCAGACACACCAAGAAGAAAAAGGCCCCAGAGGAGCCAAACCACCCGGCCGGGTTAGCACAGTAGCCGTCACCCTCCAGTCGATTTCCTACCCTCTGCACGAGGGGGTTCAGGGTTTAGGGGGTATAGGGCTTGTGGGGTTTATTAGGCTTTAGGCTTTAGGCTTAAGGCCTTACGTTTGAGTAGATCTCAGCTCCGGGCGCATTGCCACGCCTAAGGTCCAGCCCCCTAACTTACCCATAAGGCCCTAACTCCTAACCACAAAGAGGAATGAAGGCTCAAGGGTTTCAAGGAGGGATCCGGGAATCCGGGAACCCCAACTTGACCCAACATGTCAGCACTCGGGACTATGGTTCTGCCAGCCATTTAACTACCTGACCTGAGTCTCGAGGCCAACCAGCCAAACCAACCCCTAGACGGATTTTTTATTGGCGCGGCACATCAGCACCTGGGACTGGGACCCTGCCTCCCTCCATTTACAAAAGCGGGTCATCTGACATCTGACTCCGAAACAACCTAAATCCTAAACACCCCTATAAGCCCTAAACAGCCTAAACCCTGGCCGCTGGCCCAACCTGTTGCCTGCTTGCCAGCGGCCGCGCCAACGCAGGGCTGCCTGCGCCTCAAAAGCTCAAGCCAGACGCTTGCAGGGCCTAGGGGTTCGGGTTGAGGGTTTTGGACTTCTTGACTTCGGGTCTGGGCAGTTTCGGGTTTCGGGGCGGTTTGGGCAGTTTAGGGTTTATTTAGGGGTAGGGTCCGGGGCTTCCCGCTAACTAGAACCGCAACCGGACAACCAAGCCCCGAGGAAAGGGGGGGGTGGAGCCGGGCGGGGCGGCTTGCTCTTTTAGGGTGGGGCGCCCCAAGAGTTCGGGTCACAGGGCCTTGTGCCTGACGGGAGTTCAGCACACCCAAACCCGCCACCTAGATGCACCTAGACTGGTCCAGGAGGGGAAAAGGCGCCTAGTGTTGGGGACAATTTGAACTTAGTTAAAAAAACTTAAGTTTCCAGGGCCTGGTTGGAACCCACCAATACAGTTCACCGTTGACCCCCAAACCCCTAAAAGCATGTGGAACTGACCTGCCCTATATAAACCAAAAACTAGGAAGATCTAGGAAACTACCCGGGCGGTGTTGGTGGGTTGATGTTTGACATTCGCTAAAAATCCGTGTGTGTGCGTTTGGTTGACTTAAATGGGATCCACAGCCTGGCACCTGCCAAGACTGAGTCTTAAATAGGGGTGTCTTCATCCCCGATCTAAAGTAACCCGAAGCCCTAAACAACCCTACCGAATAGGCCTCGCCTATTTAAACTTACAACCCTACTAACACTCACGCCGCACGCCACTCATCGTGCTGTCAAGAGGAAGCTCCATGAGTTCCTCCCACGGCCAAGGATCGGCTGCAACCGAAGTTGCCGATGATACTGAGATACTGCTTGTCCTCGAAGAAGAACTCGGTACTTTCCAGCTTCCAATTTCCAACAGTGCCTCGCTGCCCTTTCCGCAATTGTCGCACCTGTTGTCCGGCAGCGCGTTGCCTTCCTCGAGCCCTTCCATATAGCGCGGCTGTGACTGTGATGCCAGGCGCCGTGGGCTTTCCCTGTCACTGCCGTCCGTTCGGGCTCACACTCTCCCATCTGCGTGTTCGGTCTGGCTACGGTTATCTCAGGGTCTTAGTAACTTACCTCCTAGGGGTCCCCCAAGTCTCTCTATATGGGCGTTTGGTCGGTTTGCGTTTCTTAGAAAATCGTCTTATGCTCTAAGCCTCCCACGAACCCTAACCTACAACCTTAACAACCCCGCTCCGGCCCAAGACTTACCTCTTCAGTAAAAAAACTTAAGCTAAAGGGTCCGGGAAACCCGAAGCTAGCCCCATAGGGCTGCTAGTCCGCGTCTGGCCTTGCGGCGGGAGCCGCAGCAAAGGCAGGCAGCTAATAAACTGGGAGAGGCTTTTGGGAAAGGCTCTTAGGCTTTACAAGGTGTTTTTTGGGACGTCGAGTTTAGGGAGTGCTTCTTGTTCTCAGTGGGTGCAACGCGGAAGCTTTTCGTGGATGAAGAAGAACAGGAAACTGTTTCTGACGTAATCCCAGCGCTTAGCACGGGTAGGCATGACCTCGAAGGTACTTGTGCGCCTGCCAACTATCGTTAACCCCGAGACTAAACTGAACACCCCCATCCCTAAACCCTGAACCCCGGCCCGAACCCAGAGCCTGCAGGGCCCGGACCGGCCACGCCAGGCGCGCCGGGCAATGCCTGGAGCAGCCAGACTATGCTCCAGGACCAGCAATGGCATTTCTTATACTGTCACACCCCAAACCCAAACCCTATATTTACCCCAAACCCTAAACTAGAGTCTGGGGGTGTAGGGTCTGAGTCTGCGTAAAGGATTTGAAGGATGATATACTTTAAATTTACGGCTTATGGATTCTGAGTTGCGGGTTTAAGTCTTCAGTACTAGGGTTCGGCGGATTAAGTTGAAATAAGCCCCTATCCTTATCCCTGAAAAACCCTCCATTGGGCCGCTGCCAGCTCGAGGTCGACGAGGTTTCAGAAGCCCCGCCCAGAAGGCCTCGGTCACGGGCACAGTGCTCAGGCTGAGAGCAGAGGATCGTAGATCCAAAGCTCACCACCGTCGAATCTCATCTGCCGATGGCACTGACGAGCCAAGTGAAGGTGAATCAGGGCCCGGGCAAATGGCCGATTGCATCTGCACAGGCTGCTCAGCGAATTGTAGGCCATGGAGAAGCTCTGGGAAGCTTGGGCGGCCTGCATTGTTCTTGTCAGTGCAGCCCGCAGCGGCTCGGGACCTAAACCCCAAAAAACACTTAGGGTCGCGGGGGTTAGGATTGGTTGCAGCAGGAGTGGGTCAGGGCTTGTTAGGGCACTCAACCAAAAGTCTGACGTGCCTATGTGCCCCAAGCAGATTTACACGTTACTGCTCGGCTCACGGAGACGTGGAGAGCGCTGAGCACGAGGCCGATGGCACGCAGATCTCCGATGAAGAGTCTGAAGAGCTTGCCAAGTACATTGGGGCGGACTCACAAAGATTGTCCCAAGGTAGTCTAGCTTGACACAATGAACGACAACGAAGGTCTTAGTTTACTATGACACCCTAAATCCTCTATAAACCCCTCCGCTACTCACTCCACCCGGCCTGGACTTCCCACCCTGAACCAGAGACCTCGCATGCACCCTAACCGAGGTCGACCTCTAGCAGACTCTAGCACTAGCACCACACCCTCCTTCAATCCGAAACCTGGACTCTACGCGTGTGCCCTCGCAATCCCTGACAGCATTGAGAAGGCACAGGCAGAAGCATTGTCGGGGCGCAAAGAGTCAGTCTGTGGTCTCGTACCACTACAGAGTCCCGAAGCCAGTTTGCACCCCTTGCGCAAGGGTGAAAACACTACGAAAACGACGAGTGTTCTTTACTTTGCTAACCGAAAAAAGTTTTCTGATGCCTCAAGCCAAAACAGAGTTCCGTCCATGCTTCTCTCTGGCTCTCCCTGTCTTTCTGTTTTTGCTGACACGCTAGCCAAGCTAGCAATCGCGTCTGTCTGGAGTGAAAACCAGAAAAACACCAAATTTGTGCATCCTGAAGACAATAAATTGTTTTTGAACCATGACAATTTTCTCGGACCACCGCTCACGTTTGGGATTTGGAGCCTCATCTTACCAACTTACCGAAAGCTGTGGGTCCTTAGAGGACGAAGCCGTCTCGACCTTTGATGTGGGGAACACTATTTGTAGCACTACAGAGCAGCAATGAATAAAATCTCTTTGCTCACACTCACAGATGGCACGTGCTACCGACCAGCCGGGGTTTGACACAAGCCTGTTACCCAAAGCACGTTGGAGGTCCAAGGGCTGGTTTACCACAGCTACCGCTCAGCTACCGCATGCACCCCAATGGGGTTGAGCCGAGACTCGAGTTCGGGTTTGAAATTCTCAGTCCTTCAATGCTCGACTACATGCAAGAGCCATGGCGAAAGAGCAAACCTCAAAGACTCAACGTTCCTCAACCCAGCTAATGCAGATTCCATGCTCTCATTTGGCGTAATCATACAGCAAGGAGGTCTTGGAGCAAGCAGCATAGCACATGAATGGTCGGCAAGGCCTCGGACATTCGTTTGATTGGTAGCTCGTTAGCTGCTTTATGCACTATGGAGTGATTCTACCACCGGTTGTGATAGACATGATTTGTACGAGACACTCGTAGGGGCCCGTCAAAGCTTAGGGCCAGTTGCCTAAAACCCCAAAACCTCTAGAGGTGGACGAGCCCGTGACAGCCCTGGGAGGCGCCTGGGAGGCCCTCCCAGGCTGAAAGCTCGAAAGAGGCCCTGGGAGGCCCCTGAAAGGGTTTGCAGCCTCGACCTGAGAAAAACTGCGAAGAGAGGACGCAGAAGGCCTTCGAAGCCCTGACGACTCGGGAGGCCCGGACGTGCCTTGCCTCCCCGAGGAGCCGCTTGGAAGGCTGCCAGGGCCGTGACTCTTGAGGCAAGCTTCTAGATCTTTCTAGCAGCCGCTCGCCAGATGCGCATATCCCGGAGGGAGCTCGCACCCCGTGGCGAGTTGGGGCGATTTGCATCTCAGGGAGGGCTGGTTATCTTCTTCCCTGACGAGTATAAGGCCTTTCGAACGGGGCCGGCGGAATATCGGCTGGAGGGCGATCCTGACCAGGTGCTCCATCGGCTCCAGAGAAGCCTCTCTGACGCCATAAAGTCACTGATCTTCCCGGACGACTCCATGATTGCCAACGGGGTTGATCCGGCTGACTCTCTCGCTTCAGATCGAGTCCACTTCCTTCAATGCCTCAGAAACACCCCGCTCGCGGGTGTCCAAGCAGGGGAACACTCTGACTTCGTCTTCGCTTGGGCCATGCTTGGCAGATACGCTCATGAAGTTGCTTGGAAGGATGCTGATATGCATCCGGCCAGGCCCGTGCCGTGCATCAACTTCGAGGGCTCCCCGGTTTCGAGAGTGCGAGGCGTCCGCGCCGCTGAATCAAAGGCACAGGATCGTGACGTTTGCCGCATCTCGCCCAAAACCATGCTGCGTGCCCTCTCGTGGCTCGCCCGAACTGCCCAGGTGGAAACCCTGCTTAGCGAATGCCATCATACAAGCCTTCGGCTGGGATCTCCAGCCCCGGGATCGCAAAGAAGCCCTGCCCCTGCCCATGGCATGCATCGTTGCCTGGGAAGAACTTGTGTGCAACCCGGCCTCGGGTACACAGCTGGTGCTACTTCTGGGAGCCTTCCTTCTAGCATACCACGCCTGCCTGCGCTTTGGAGACCTGCAAAGGGTCCGCCTATCCAGCCTCAGCCTCACTGCCCAGTCCCTCCGCGGGATCTGCTGGTCCACAAAGACCTCTCGCACAGGCCAGCCTTTTGCCGTAACCCTCACCGGCCTCTCAGGCCGCTGTGCCGAACCTGGGGCCAGGGCCCCTTTGAGCAGGGCTTCTCGCCGCTTCTTCACGGCTTGAGCAGCCACGTCTCGCGACCGGCAGCGCTACCGGGTCTGGAAATGTTCATGGCCAATCGGCTTGGATCGTCAGTTCCTCCCCCCTTTGCGCACGGCTACTCCGCCCCGGGGAAGCGGGTCCTGCAGCAATGGGGGAACGTGAAGTTCTTGCCCACGCTACCCGAAGCAGTTTGGGGGACGCGACGCGCGCCCCCGCTGTGGGCCGCACTCTCAGGCAGTTGCCTTCTACCTGCGTCATGGATGTTTGCACTCGGTAGTGGAGCGCACATGTCCTCCTTGGCACGCGCGGTTAAGCACGCATTGGAGAGCAACGTACCGGGCCTTGCGCTCTTTACGAGCGACTGCACCGCGACCCTTGCACAGGTTGTAGGGTGCACCGATGGCAACCACCGCCTCACCGCCAAACAGGCTACGCGTGACTGGAAACTTCCTCTCTTTTCCGATAAGGACCGGCTGCCGCGTCAAGACATTTTGCACAGCATAGTATGCATCTTTGTCATTTTCACCCCCCGAACCCCCCCACATGCTTTATCGCGGCTTCAAGATACCCAGAAGCGTTCCAATCATCAAACAACCCATTTGGCGGTTTGCCAACACACGCCCAACCAGCGCAAAACGCTTCTCGATGTGTACCATGTAAGCACGGCTCCACTGAGAAATGGCTCCATTAACTTAATCACAAAGATGCATTGTGTGCTGTGTTGGCTTGGGGCGTCAACAGTGTTTGCCTATAAGCCCCATGCATTTGAAACATGAAAAGACTATGTTTTCACAGTTCGAGGCCATGTTTTTTTGCGAAGCCAGTTGCAAAAATCAACCCCTGGCCCGACATCTGGTATCCGAAGCGTGCAGCTTCTCGTCAACGACCCCTCATCAACGCCCTCGTCGCCCGGCTCACTTCATGTGACTTCTGCTGTACTAGCCCGCCGAACACACATTTTGTTTTCATCGTTAATCTTCGCTTCTGCTACATGACACTCATCCGGCCCATTTGCTTCTGCCATTTATACTTCAAACCACACACGACACGGTGGATCCAGGGGGGGCCACTATATATATATATATGTATATATTTGTTTATATTTGTTTATTTATATTTAGTTGTTTATTTATATTCATATTTGTATTTATATTCATATTCATATTTACATTAATATTCTATTCATATTTCTATTTATATTTATGTTTATTTTTATATTTATACCTATTTTCGTACTTATCTTTATATTCATATTCATATTCATATTCATATTCATATTTCTATTTATATTTGTATTTATCTTTATCTGTATATTTATGTTTATAGGTCTATTTTCTTATTTATACACATATATATATATATGTATATATGTATATATATATATATATGTATATATATATGTATATATATATATATGTATAGATATATATATATATATTTGTTTCTATTTATGTTTATTTCAAATGTATGACTTCATCCGAGTCACGTAATGGCGACCTGAAACAGGTTAGCAGCTGCAAAGGTCCTGCTCTCTCCAGCTTCATAGGACTGGACAAACTGCGTGCGATGTCGGCTGCGAGCGATCATGAACATGGCCCAAACCATCACAATCACCTCGCCAAGGGGTCAAGTGCTTGAAACTGCTCCACGAGCAGCTCGAACTCTCACTGCCGTTAATGCACTGCTAAGACGACAGCTACAAGCCCCGCCTGAAGTGTGTAGAACTCCCAGCTGACCGTGTCCAGTCGCTCAGGGTTTACAAAAGCAAAAGGTACCGACACCACCAGCAAAGGCCAAATTCCCTGCGTGTACTGATTCAACCACGCCAGAACATAGGTGGTGGATGGAGCATACTGCTCCTTCACGTGGCGCTGCTGCTCTTGAAGGCAAATGGGCGTGAGGATACGTAGTGTTCGAAGAAGCCGCCAGAACCAACTGAGCAGTCGCAATGGCAGAAGAAACCCAAAACACGGCTGCTTCCACGGTTCAACTGATGTGGGACTTGATGCAACCCAGGCACCATTCTGAATCGTTCACCACCTGCACCAAGCTACCAGCCAAAACACTAAAAAAGGCAGGTTTGCGGGGAGCTTGGCAGAAAACAGGAGCCCAGAACCTTGCGCATTCCACATCACATGGTGACTTCTCTGAATTATTGTCTCCCTTTTGGGGTTACCATGATTACCCAAAAAAGGGACCACCATTCTGAGAGCCGGCCGCAAAGTAGTCAAAAGAAAGCCCAGGCCTCGCACACCAGCAGAGCTGCGGCGACATCCTGGACGTCTAACTTCGACACAACGCGAGAAGCGTCAAAGGTACTGCACCCCCTTCAAGACAAGAACCCCCCCCCCCCCCCCGAATCTAAAAAAGCCCTACACCCCAATAAAACCCTAGAAACCCTATAAGCCCTACAAGCCCCCATACTCGCTACAAGCCCTGTAAACTCTAAAACCCTATGAACCCGAATCCCTCAACCCTCTGCTCTTTTGCCAAGCTGCGGGCTCTTGCAATGACCACAGCCAGGGCCCGTCGGGCGCCTTTACGGGCAATGTGGCTTCAGCGACCACCTGCGCAGCTCGGGGCTTAAGAGTTTAAGGATAAGCCTTCAGGCTCAAGGGGTTTAGAGTTAGGGTTTAGGATTTAGGGCCAGGGTTTTGGGATGGAGGGTTTTGGGAGAGAAATGCCGGGCGCCCGGGGGCCTCGAGGAACTTCTGCAACTGCGCTATGGGGCTTTCGGTGTCGACCTGTCACTCGCACGATGCTGCATGGAGGGGGTTGTTGCAACACAAGCACGCTACTCTGGCGACATTCCGCTGCAAGCAGTCACGAAATCTAGTCGGAGGCACGGCTTTTGTCTTGAGGATGTAGAGCATTCTGGGGCTGTCCCAGTAACTAGTCTCAGCAGCGATGAGGATCTCACCACCTGGAAACATCGTGTCGGGCGACCGAGCGAGCTAGCTCCGAGCTTGTTCCTTCTTGTTCCGCGGACTTCAGAGGGTTGGTGCAACATTCAGCAAGTGAGAACTGTCGCAAACTCGCAAGCAGCGAATGCTCGCAAGCTCACTCACATCGCGCACAGCGCGCACACACACACACACACACACCATGCTTTCTCTGCTCGTCGCCTGCTTGCTTGATGTCGTCCAACGCCTCTTGCGCATCAGCGGAGAGCGGCATGGGCAACATCAGGGCAACAGCCGGCACTTTCGTCAAGCTTTGCATTGCTTGCACGCATTCTGCACGTACATCCTGGAGCAGCATACAACACCATGTCACAGCAACACCACCAGAGTGACCTATCCAGCGACACATGAGCTTACATTGCGGTCCTCCTCGTGCAGGTGACGATGGAAATACTGTGCGAGGTCAGCAAGTCTTCTGGGAACAGAGCTGCAGTCCCAAGCGAAATGTTCCTGGGAGGGCGCGAACTGAAGTTAAACCCTCAACAGCCTCGTACAAGGTCTGGAAGGGACTTTCGGAATCTTGTCAAGACACATGCTTCTCACGAAACACATGCGGTGTGGTTCGCTTGGCCACCGTGATCATGGCCAGTTTGGAGGAACTGCACAGCGCGCTCTATATGCATGAAAGTGCTTCTGGAAACGATGATGCAACAACGGGTAGGTAGCAGAAACCGTGTTGTGCAGGTTGATGACAAACTCTGCGCTGCATCTGCGGGCCAAAGGTGGGGCAAAACTAGCAAGCTGCAACGGCTCCTACCGTCTGTTCATGTCTTTCACTCCAGCCCGGCCAGCTGCTTGCGGACCAACTTGCCTCCAACCCAGAACCCTTTGGAAAGCTTTCTACACCATGGTGGCTACTTGGGGTACCCTAGGTGTATGGCTCCATACTCTGAATTGGGAGCCCCCCCCCCCCAAAAAAGGGGACCACAATTGCAGACAAGCTTGGCTGCCTGAGTTGGCTTTTGACGCCTGGCATCGGTGCAGAGCCCTCACCCCAAAAGCTGCAAATTGACTGCCAGGAGGTTGGTGAGTGATTGAAACCGAACCAGGGTGCCCACTGGACTACCAAAGCTCATTGTGCTATGACTGCATATACACTTGTAGGGGGCCATAGATATCTGTGGAGTCCGGAAACTTCCTGCCATGGCAGGGCTGGTCATCTGCCGCTACCTGGGGCCTCATCTCTTCCACACCATTGCAGAAGATTCGGAGGCTTCGGAGGCAGCGACAGCTATCCGATGTTATCCGACATGCGCGCTTGTGCCAGGCACTCCTCCGACTCACACCGGGCATCTGCTTAAGCACTCTCGCATTCCGGAGGAGTGCCGCGCGTCTCAGTCTGCAGTCATTAGCACTACCACTCCTCACACAGTTGTGGAGCGGCCATGAGGCCCGAAGAGGAGCGCCACGATGTGGGAGGTGCTGCGATGCCGTAAATTTCTGTGTAGTTTTCACACCCACATGCACTCCCCTCCTCTTCTCCTCTTGACGAGGGCCCAAGAAGCGGCTGTTCTCAAGTCTCAACTGTCAGGCCCGCCGCCTGGCAAAATGTAAGATCGGAGATGAGAGGGGCTTTGGGGGGCTTTAAGGGGCTTCAGGGAGACCTCCTTCACATGGCACCCAGGTGCAACACATCTCGCAAAAAGTGGGGGGGGGGGGGGGGGTTGGAAGGGGGGGGGTTTGGAAAGGGGGGGGTTTGGGAAGGAAGGGGGGGGGGAGGGCGGGGGGGAAGGGGGGGAAGGGGGGGGGGGAAGGGAAGCTCAGTTTTTGCACCCTTAACCTGCAACCCTAAGCCCTAGACGCCTAAATCCTTGGGCAGCTCCCCTCAGCCGCACTTCGCAGCCTCCAGATGCTGAACCAAGGCTTCCAGCTCCTCGGCATCCACAAGAGCACCAGAACTTGATCTGTTCCCCCGTTTTACTGACAGTCCTTAGTAGGGATTATAGTACCTCCTAATATGATCCCTATTAAGGACTGTTCGTATAAAGGGGAACATCCCAAACTAGAACTCCTGCATGATCCCATCGAACCTGCACATCTTTTAAGAAAGAAGTAGCCCAGCTAAAAGCAGACCAGTCACGGAACCGTCCCGTCCAGGGTTGTAGCGCACCATAACCTTGGCACGGCCTGCGTCAGATCTTCGGAAAGGTCTGGTTCTGAACATGTTAATTGCTCAGTTTCCACGGCCTTTGCAGAGGTTGCGCACAGGATCTGTGTCGGCCTGGCACCACTGGAACTGAGGTTCGGGGTTTGGGCTATGTCGGCTTAGGCTTCTGGGCACTGGCACCACTCCCCCTCCTAGCCATCTTCAATGGCTAGGTCTGTCCTTGCCCTGCCACACTGAGGTTTCCCAGTATAGATTGGGATGTTCCCCCTTTTACTCACATTCCTTAATAAGGATTCTAGTACTCCCTATGCTAATCCCTACTAAGGACTGCTAATATCACAGGAATCTACTCAAGCAATCAGGGGAAGAAATCCGCAAAGGCCTTGCACTTGACGATCTGGAGCTCAAAGCCCGAGCACAGTTTCTTGAGCTTCTCCTGCGTTGGCTAGGGCCATGCTAACATGCGGAGCTACCGCTGCAACGAGCGCGGACGAGAGACAGACGCAAGAGCAAGAGAGGGTGAGAGAGAGCCAACACAAATGCTAGTACAAATAGCATCTGGCCGAACGGTGTTCAGATGGAGGCCTTTTGAAGGGCACCAAGCACGAACTACTCAACAAGCCCTTGCAACGTTTCGGTGATAGCCACTTATAGGACACTCCCTTCTTCAGGGCATCACTGCCAAAAAAAGAAAAAAGAATTTCCATCACCCCCCACTCGAGGATAAGGGTTCCTAGCTAGCAGCAAGTCGAGTATGGCAGCCATGGGCTTCTCATGACAAGCACAGGCAGCACAGGTGTCACCAAGCAAGCGCCCAGCAAGCAATCGGCCAGCGTTTTTCTCGTAATGGAGACTATCCTCGCCCGGCTCGCCAGCCAGAAGGTCCCCAAACCCCAAACCCTAAGCCCAAAACCCTAAACCCCAAACCCTAAACCCCAAACCCAGTAAAGCTACGCGACTTCTGGGGCTGGCTGTGGTCGCACTCGGATTCGCCTTGTCTTCAACAAGGCCGGAAGTCCCCTGTGGCCAATGGGCCGAGCAAGTCTGACGGACGCATTGCTGGGTTTAGCGCTTAGGGTTTTAGGGTTTTAAGGTTTTAGGGTTTAGGGTTGAGGGTTGAGGGTTGAGGGTTTTAGGGGGGGGGGGGCGTGATGTAAAACGAGAACATACATTGGGGATCGGGGCTGTGGGCCTTGGGTTTTGTTGGGGCTTCGGTGTGGTAGTAGTTTGTTTTTGTGGGTTTGGGGTTTGGAGGCCTGGTTCAGTTTTGATGTCCGAACAACGCAAAAGTCGTGTAGGCACCTCGGACGCCTCCTTGGCCACAGCTTGGTTCCAGGCCCCGGAGAGCACTTAAAAGTGAAACAGGCTGCTCGCCAGAGACCCAGGCGCCAGGGTCAACGAGCCTGAGCTGCAGATGGCACCAGGCTGCAACAAAATGCCATGAAGATGCAGGTTGCCTACTACTCGTCTCACGAGCACGGGACTTTCGAAGCTTCATCCTCAGCTCTTCAAAGACAAAGCTCCTCACAGACATGGCCAAGGCACTTACACCCTTCCAGAGCCTGATGCTGCATTGCCAGGATGCACATAGATGCACCGAACAGACACGGGCACCCGTCCTCCGTCGGACCCTTCTAAGCGCATAGTGTACAGTACAAGTAGTACAAGAGGAGCCAGGCCGGCCTACCAAGAGGCACACGAAGCAGCCACACAGCTTCGGGCTCCCGAAGCCCTAAGCGAAGCAAAGCTTTGCTTGTGCAGATTGCTCTTCAACTCAGCTGAGCCCATCTTTTCTCTCACTCTTCTATGCCCAGCTCGTCGAGCACCATCGGCTGAGGAGTCGGAGCCTCAGGACGGCGACAGCCGTGTAGGAGCGTCGTACACTTTACTTTACGCGACGAGGCGCAAGAAAGGCGAGAATAGTGTGGATGCAGCAGGTCCACAAACTTGTCCGTCAATCTAGATCTCGGGTAGGCCAAGTTAAATGCATGCACAGTTGCGGGCGGTGTCGGCAGCGATGGAAGAGGCGGCGCGGCGTCTTGCAACTTGAACCATGTTACCTCAAAACATGGACTGGGTGAGACATGAGCGCGTGATAGCGCGTGACTTCCAGGCTCTGTGCTGTCAAGAGACAGACATCGTCTGAATGTCCCCTGGGGGTAAGAAGACTTCGATCAGGAAGCGGTCCCTGGATACATGCGACACATCCAACAGAGGTTCTGAGGCCTGCGACCTACGAGGGCTCGGCACTCTTGCACTTGCAACATCATGCAGAGTCAGTTGGCTGCAACTCCACCCATCCCGGCTCAAGCTATCACAAGCATCGCCCTTCTCGTCCCAGAGCCAGCCTCTGTGACCCCTGCCAAGACAGCAAGAGTGAAGGCTCAGAGGACATCACTGTGGGGGCAGGAGGGGGGAGCTTAGTGGCCTCCCACCATGCATGGAAGGGCCCCGAATGCTAACAAAGTCATCAATCGTGAGAGGTGATGTGGAAATGCATATTGGCATAATTACCACCAGAGGGTCTCCACTCTCTCAACGCTGACGCTGTTCTCTGCCACAAGCGGGCGCTGCCCTCCGAAAGCCTTGACCAGCCACGACAGCTCGCGCCCAGCATCGTGGCGCGGGCCCTGGACCGCCGCAACGCGGCAGGTGCAGTGAGGCTCAGGGGGGTGCAGCACCTGCAGCGTCAGCGTCATCGTCAGGGGCTGTTTTGCATGGCTTGCATGGCTTGGCCGCTGGAGTGCTCGAAGCTCGGAAGGTGCAGGGCCACGCTTTTGAGGCTTCAGGGATCTGATCTCTCCTGCGGTCGCCAGAGTCAAAAAGACATCCGTCTCCCGTCTGCCTGTGAGGTGAGCCCATCAACCAGGACCTGCGCTTGCAGCGGAAGCAGCTACTGCAGCTACTGCCCTTGCGAAGCCGAATCAGAAAGCTAGCCCAGGCCTGGAAGCTTTCGCTTCCAGTCGCACCCAGCACCAGCTCGAACTCGTACAAGCCCACGCGGGTCTCCCTCACGCACAACCACTTCGGCACTGAATGTCAAAAAGATCCCCAAAAACCGGTCTTTCTACATTGCTTTCCGGCATCTTCGGCTCTACTTCCCCAGCCTGGCCACCATGCTCTGCGCAGTCCAGCCTGCCGCCAAAAAAAAGCGCAATATCCAGGCGCCGCGACTGATGCAAGGCCCTCGCAGCTTTTGCTTCAGGACAAGATGTGCGGCGAAGCAGCCATTGAAGGACCCTTGAATGGACAAGGTGTTGATGGATCTCGGCTTCGACGATGGAACTTCGGACCAGAATGTTCCTCAGCACACGGAACATGGAAGACGTCGATACCAGCTGCTGCTTCCATACCCCCCTGAAGTCTCAGTTTATAAGGCCGACAATGCAGACAGCAACACGCGTGAGGTGCTCCCTTCTCCCCCTTTCTGGCATACCTCTCGAACAAAGTGACTTACAAGAAATGCTTCCAAGCTTCGGCCTCCTTCCATGACATCAACCTGCACAGGGAACTGGCATAAGGATCTTAAACCCTAAACCCTAAACCCTAAACCCTAAACCTGAGCAGTATTGAGGAGTGCTTCTCAGAGAGGGCTCAGCCATGTCTCTGCATCCGACCAGGCTTGAGCTTCGACTTCTGTTCTTGAGAGCCCCGAAGGTCCTGGTACGACTGCCCCGGCTTCATCGAGAGATGTGGCACGCCGTTGCTTTGCCAGTCTTCGAAGTTGTCTCCGACCTGATTTTGGCGCCAGGAACGTCCGAAACGCTCCAAGAGCCCTTCGTTCGCCGAAGCCCTCCTTCGAACCTCGAACCCTCCGAAGTAAACTCCCAAAGTGGACTCGCGAGTAATCCTGCGAGGTGCCATGGCGATCTCCGGAGGGGCGCAACGGACTTGGCGGATGAGGGCGTCCGCCTCGGCGTCGGGGCTCTGGCTCTTTCGACTCTTTCTGGACCCTTCGACCCTTCAATCATCCTGACCCCTGTCATCAAAGCTCACCTGCATCCCTCGGCATCCCTCAACTGCAGAATTCTACAGGCCATCTGGATCGATGCCTCCCATCACACATGTGAGAGACTGGACGTGTGCAGGCGGAGTTGTGTCCTGGAAAATGGGTTGGCGTCCTCGAGCGAGGAACCCCGAGGGCCCAGCAGAGTTCTTCTGGCCCTCGCCGCGTGAAGTCACAACCTCAAGAAGTAACCCCTGAAAGCTCAAGGGGGGAGGAGGGGGGGTGTGGAGCACGCTTGCCGCTTCGCAGCGTTCTTGCCGAACGCCATCGCATGACTGTTGGTCCCACCGTAGCCAAAGCCGCTCACGCCAACCTCAGTTTGTAAACCACAAGTGTGGAGATTGCCGGACATGCGGCAAGGACAGCGGCTCCAGGTAGGCAAGAACTTCTCAGGTGCGTTCAGATGTAAGTCCACCGCATATGAGGCCTCACCCTTCAGCGGCTGGGCCTCCTGAAGTAGCAGCGCGGGCCAGCCTGACAGCACTTCAAGATGCATCTTCAAAGGGTCTCACAGTCATCGGCAACTTCCACTTCTCGGCTTCCCTGGCCTTCTGTGTCCATGTTCGGGTTCTGCACACGGAGGTGCTGGTTGGGAGCAGCTTCCGCATGCATGCAGGCAAGGACACACCTGGCAAATTGGTGGGCCGAGGAGGAGGAGGAGGAGGAGGCGCATTCTTTGGGTAGTTTGGAGAACTTCCGTCGGGCTTCAGGGCTCGAAGCTGAGCCGAGGTACTTGCAGAACGCGGACATCCCAGCACCACCCTCCAAGTGCCCCAGGTTGGTCTTCGAGCAGGAAATCATCACCTTATCTTCTCTTTGGACACCCTTTCTACTTTCTGTTGCCTTTTGCTTCTCTTCAGAAACAGATGTCGCTTGCTCCCCTCATCTGAGCTGCAGACGGGGCCGTCCCTTTGCGTCAGAACCTGGCAGGATGCACCGACTGCTACGGCCCAACCAATCGTCCCGAAGTCCCTAAACCCAGCTTTGCAGGTGCCACCTTGCGGACAGCGCTCACCTGACAGAAGCTGCAAACGTGCGCTGCTGTTGGACCGTACTGCAAGCGGTTTGGGATCCTACCTCGATCGGGTCTCCAAGGGAAGTCCCCGTGCCGTGGGCTTCGTAGATATCCACATCTGCGGACTGAAGACGCGCCTGGCAAGACAAAGTCAAGTCTACAGACGTGGACAACGGAGAGAGGGAGAGAGAGGGAGAGGGAGAGGGAGAGGGAGACGAAGACGGAGACGGAGACGGAGACAGAGAGAGAGAGAAGGAGAAACAACGTTTGGGAGCTTTCCAAGGAGGCGCCTCGGTCAGGGCAGCTCGCAGCAGTCGCCTTCGTCGGTTTAAGGTTCTGGGTTTACATGGGTTAGGATTGTATGGCCTAGGCTTGTTGTGGGAGGCTCAGGGTCCAGAGTTTAAGCGTTTGAGCGCATTTCTCGTTCTCACCATCTCTTGAACCAAGAAGAGGCAACACTGCAACACAGAGAATGCAAAGGCTAAGGCCCGAAGAGGCTTAGAGCCCAGGCACTGCTGTGCTGGGCCATTCGGTGCTGTGAGGCTGGCAGAGCGACCATCTGAGTTGCTGTGACCTTGGTTGCTCTGCTGCTTTGCCCTTTGCCGTGCTTTTATCACGCTTCTGCCCCGCAAAGAAATTCGTGCACGGCCTGAATGGTCCTACATGAAACTTGCTGGAGATGTTTGTAGAGCCATGGGATTTAGGCTCTTCACGGCTAAGCAGCTGTCAGGACACCGAGCTTGGGCTGCAATGGCGACTGCAAGAAGTCTTCAACACTCGACCTCCTCAACCCGCACATATCGCCCAAGATGCTAGCAGCAAGTGTGCCACAGGTTGTGTCGTCATCTCGGTCGTACCTAAGCATCAAGGCGCTCTGGCAGCGCAAGAAACAAGATCGACCGAAGTGCTACAGTTTGGTGAGTTCATGCTTTGCATGTTGCCATCGCAAGATCCTCCGGATCAAAAAAACCCCAGTCCAATTTCGTGGAGTTTCGTGGGCTTCTCACGATGTCTCACGTCTCCATGTGCTGCCATCAGGCTCGCCGCGGGCGATCACTGCGGCGGCGCAGCCCTCGCCGCGACCATAGCCGTCCGCCGTGTTGTTGAAGGAGAAGCAGCGGCCACGGAAGGAGAGCATGGCACCTGTGGGGCACAGAAACGGCGTGATTGAACACTCGAAGTTTCCATTGACAAGAACCCACCTGCGCAGTTGCCAGCCCATGTCCCCGGCGAGACGTTCAAGCCTGAAGGTGAAATTCAAAGGCATCCTCTTGGCGACTGACAGTGCTGAGCTCTTCTGGTTGACTGCCGATATTGGTGCTGCCATCTCAGACAGAAGGTCTCAGAAGACCTTCTTGATCCGAGGCACTAATGCCAGCAATGAGGCAGCCGTCCAGAGGGTCCTGCACGGTGACAAATCAGCAGATCGGGGATCGGGATCCACCCTACCGTCCAGAAAAGCCGGCAAACCAGAAGAGGCCCCATTGGGCGGGGGGTCCCATTCCCGAGCTCCCCTAGGTCCCGGTTCCTTAAGGAAAAGCACGTGTAAGTCGTGTAAGTGGGATGGTCCTGGGGCATTAGGAGGTGCGTCTTGGCGGAGTGCAGTGCGACCAGTGAAGCTGAACCTTGGTGTATCCATAATCGGAATCAGAAGGAATGTGCAGAGTTTACAGTCTGGCCGCCCCGAACACACCGCAAAAACCCAATTCGGATCCAGCAAAAAAAAAATGCAGACCCTGAGGTCAGGGCTTTACTCTTGCACGCCGAGAGGCAGGCGGTGTTCACGATGAAGCTCGGACCCTTGAGGTTGATGGAGTAGGAGAAACGGTTCCTCGGCACAGGAATCCTGTAGAGGCCCCTTTAAAAAAAAAATGCAAGATTCCAGACCACCCCCCCAACATAGCCCTCAATACAACGCAAGTATACACCTATGCCGTCCCCCGAAGAATATTGGGGGGTGGGGGGGGGGGGGGGGGGGGCGGGGTGAATAATACTCTGAACGTTGTTCTTGTGCCAGGTCTCGCAATGAAGGTCTCCGGAACTCCATTCGCCGATGGCGCTCTGCAAACATCGCGCCAATCCTGGGTCAGGGTGTTCGAGGTGGTGGCAAGGTTTGGAGTCTAGGGTTTAGGGTTTAGGGTTTAGGGTTGAGGGTTTAGGGTTTAGGGTTTAGGGGCCAGGGCTAGGGTGTCGCTTCTTCTTTCCAAGTTTCCGAGCCACTGATACCCACGAAGACTCCCAGGTGAGCAGACTCGATTCGCACCTTCTCGCGCTCGTATCCGGCATCACTCATGGCAAGCCAACCTCAAAAACATGCCAACGAAACCCCCCCTCGCTTTTGACAGGGGGGGGGGGGTTTCCGAGATGAGGGGTACCTCGTTGGGGTCCTATTATAAGGGGACTCTACTATTTGGGGGGTCTAGAATGAGGGGTCCCTGAGTTTCGGAAACCCCCAAAGTGGGAAAAGCTAGTGGCTTCTGAGGGCTCGGCCCGTTTCCATGAAGATCCGCTGCTCTGGATCCATGCCCCTCACCTCCTGGCAGGCGTTGGTTGGCCGATGAATCGAGAGGCCTCTGGAACTCCTGAAAAAAGGGAGCCTGGCCTGGTCTGGGATGTTAAAAAAGGCCGCGTCGAAAATCTCGATGCCTCTGGGGAGTAGGGAGGCACAGGAAGCTGAGAATGCTGAGACAAGCCACTCAAGCTGGCCTTCGATGTGCCCTTGATGGCGGCAGTAGCTCTTGAAGGAGGCCATGGCTCTCTGCTGGTCCTCAGAGAATCTCACCACAGCTACAGACGCCCGTCGAAACGTGAAAGCCGCTCCTCGTAGTCTATGTACTGGTCTACGTCAAACCTGCCGGAGCTGCTTCATGTGAGGAATCATTGATAGACATCTGCAGAGGTGCTATTGACTGCACAAAGCGATGCAAACGTGCCCCTCCTTGTCTTCGGGATCTCGAGAAAGCCATCGCAGCCGCCATGTCGCAAGGCGGACCAAAGCTTTTCATGAAGGTCTGCCTGGCGATGGCTATTGTGGCTATGTTCTGTCGCTCCTTCATGTACAGCACAGGAACAACTAACATCCTGTACCACACTGCCTCGCAAGGGTCCCTGGAAGACATACCTTGGCTTGGCTATCAAGCACATGAAGGCTTTCGTTCCGCAAGTAGACATCGCAACACAGATCGACATGGGACTGTGAAACCTCACTAATTGAACTTCTGCTTTCCCTCGCTGGGTCACCCTTCACCAGGACCTGCGACTGTGAAGCTCGACGAGAACGAGGGCGCCGAGCGGGCTTGATCTCAGCCTCCCAGGTCCAGGTGAGCATTCGCCACATTCAGCTGCATCCGCTGCAACATCTGGCATGGACGACCACACTCCACGCTCCACAGCGGGCGAGTAAGCCGTGCCGCACCTTCTGGAAGACCATCTGCAGAGGCCTCGGCATCTCAACCATGGCACTCGGTGCAGGGCACTCATGCTGCCGCTGCAGGCAAGGTGCTCTTCCAAGAAGAAGCTCTGCAACACCAAACACTCTCCATCCGCTTCGAACTGGAAATCGTACCTCGCTGCAGCTGAATTTCCTAATAAGAGTCTCAGCCGGAGTGCCGATTACAATGCCGAGTTGCAGCTGAGTGAGGAAGACCACTTGTAAGTCCAGGCATGCAGCCATGCTAACCTGAGAAGCCCAAGACATCCAAGACGTTTAAAGAGGCATCTGCGAATCTTCCTTCCCGACATCTGGGTCTCTTCTTCTTCCTCCTCCTCCTCCTCCTCCTCCTCCTCCTCCTCCTCCTCTTCTTCTTCTTCTTCTTCTGCTTCTGGGTCGCTCTCTCTCTCTCTCTGTCTCTCTCTCTCTCTCTCTCTCTCTCTCTCCCCCACGCATGACCCCCCCGAAGGGAGGCCGCCCCCAGGGGCGCGTGCTGGTCTCGGGTTAGTTGGTGAAGGCGTCCGTCTCGTGTTGAGATGGCGCCCGGCCCGTTGGCCAAAAACACAGGAGGCAGGGGTTCAGTAAGACACTGCTACTGTTCGACTTCCCCCCTCTGTTCCTCCAGGTTTCTTCGATGGGTTTGGGGTTCAGACTTCACTATCCAACCAACACTTCGGAGCTGCACTACAAGGCAATCCTAACCCAACAGTCTCTCTCTCTCTCTCTCTGCTTTTCCTCCTTCCTTCTGGATTCTCTCCTTACATACGCACGCGCCTCCGGGTAGTCTGCCTCCCGCGGGATGAGCCGTAGCGTGCCCGTGCTGGGCCCCAGAAACCTCGGGAGCTAACCTGAACCTCAGAGGAACCACCTCCCGTGATCCCACGACACTTCTGCGTTCTTAGATCTCCGTACGCTATACTGTATGAGAATAAGTATGTATCTATATATATACATATACATATATAACTTTGTTCTAAGTATGCCGTTTTTATAGTATATAATCAAATATGATATGATGTGACATATAGATCCCGTTTAAGAAGGGGCAGAGGTGCCGAAGAAGGCAGAGCCGCCGCCGGCCCATCAGCGCTAGGAACGCTTCCTTGGCACTCTCAGGGCTTCTCGGAAACAGTGGCAAATTCAATTTGTTCCGTTGCCAGTTTACGGCGTTTAGGGTGACCCTTTCAATGCTGCTCCCTGAAACAGGTCACCCTTTCCTTTCCGGGATCGCGGTCTCTGCGGCCTGGGAGCCGCCTCGCGGGACTCCGGCGCCCGTGGCGCCTCGGCAGCCGGCGCCGCGCCGGAGAGGCGCAGCAGGAGGTTCGTACCTGCGCAACCCCCTGTGACAGCGGAGCACGTAGCACTGATCCGCAACGTGCCACAACGCGGTGGCGAAACAGAATCACGTGAAGCTGGGCAGGCCCTAGCCATGGCCCTCAGCATGTCTTTGTAAGCACTTGCAAGCATAAGTGTACGTGTGTAAGTGTCTAGGTCTGCACGTGAATGAACAGCATGCGTTGTCGGCGTTGACCTGAGGCCGAGGGGCGGCTGGAAAGCCGGAATCCCAGAGGCTCTTGCAGTCGGTGCTTCAGCAGCCGGAGGTGCTCGCTTACCTTAAGAAGCAGATTTGAAAGGTGCGTGTTCAAAAACATCCGCCTTTTTGACAAGCCCCTTTGAAATTCGGGCAACAGCGGTCGTGCAGCCGCTGCAGATCTCGCATCGCTAGCCTCAGCTGGGGCCTCCGACGCTGCGCTCCTGGGCGAGCAGCCCAGAGGACTCGGCCAGCGACCCGGCCTCCAAGCCCTCAGTGACTCAGGCGAACAGAACAGAGCCGCTGTCGGAGCTGATCAGAAAAAATTGGACTATATCAGAGTCCTCTTCTCTCGCCTCGAGCATCGCCACCTTGTCACACCTCGCCGGTCCGCGGCCAAGGTAGCCTAGCTCGAACCTGGGAGGGCCATGCTCAAACAGTGTTGAACGCCTTCCGTCGATCCTCTTCTAGTACAGTCCAGGACGATCTTTGCCCTCTGACAAAATAACCGACGAGCAGCTCAATCGGCAGCCGATAGAAGCAGTCCTTTGCACTTGCTGTTGGAAAAGTGGGTGGGTGGGTGGGTGCGTGAGTGGGTGGGTGGGTGGCTGGCAAGTAAACTGTGCACGTCCTCGAGCTGCTTCACGGCGGCCAGGATCCCTGCACGCCCTCGGGCCGGCAGGATCACGTGGGTGGTGACCTGGGAGGAAAAAGCACACGATAATGTGCTCATAGTTGACTGCTTCTTACTTTTACTTTTTCTTGTTATACAGGCACAAAGATCACACAAGCGGTGCTCTCGATGCATTTCGCGGCAGTTCCTCCCGGGCACCCTACGAAACCGCGCTCCAGGAGCAAGTCGGGCATCTGACTCGCCAAGCCCTGCACCGAAATGAATGAACAGTATGAACACATCATCTGGGTTTGGGATACTGGTATAACCCTTCACCCTGAACCCTAAACCCTGAACCCGAAACCCGAAACCCGAAAGCCTAAACCCTAAACCCTAAACCCACAGGGCTTGTTGGGATCATCAGGCTGAAGCGTCGGCCTCAGGATCCGAGGTCGGTCCCAGGACCAGGTCGTAGCCGTCTAGGGCATCGGCCGGCAGCCGCCTTCCGGGGAAGGCTTGTCCATTTTCTGGTTTAGGGTTTAGGGTTTAGGGTTTAGGGTTTGGGGTTTGGGGTTTGGGGTTTGGGGTTTAGGGTTTGGGGTTTAAGGTCTGGGGTTTAAGGTTTAGGGCTTAGGGTGTGCCAAGGGCGAATGGCTGGGAGATTTGTCAGGTTGAGGGTGAGGCAAGGGTCTCAGTGTCCTTTGGGGCCGGCACCTCGGGATGTTTATTGCAAAGCGTAGGATGTGTCGGTTCGGGGATGCCGAACGAAGCCCAGCCTGCAGACGGATGTTGACACTTGTAGGAAGTAGCCGGTGAAGGTCACCACCTAGACTCAAAGCAGCTCTTGGCTAAAGGAGAACCACGCTACACGTTCTGCACTCAACCACTTGAGCCTCGACGTAAGCATGAAGCTCTGTGCATTATTTCCTTTGTTAGACTATCGGAATGCATTTAGCGCTTCCGTCTTGATCTGCGTAGCCCGGTGTCCTATGCGCAGCTTTCCCTCAGTGAACACCACGCAAGAGGTGTACTTCAAAACCATTCATGCGGGTGTGGTCTGAGCAGTACGCTAGCAAGCCAAGCTCGCCCCCGTTCTCCACCAGCTGGGCCTGCAGAGCATTTTGGGAACATGGAAACTTATCGAAATGGAGAACAAGATCCCGCGAGCCGGTTGTACGCCAGAAGCGACGTACAGACTCGGACTTGACGTCTGTCAGGAAGCTGTGGACACAAAGCACTTTGCCTGGGCGCCATTGAAGTCCATGGGCTCCACCTCCTCTCCCAGGGGCCGCAGCGGCTCCTGCCCATGATGCAGGAGGGGTAGGTGATTTGAACACTCCCGGTCTCTGATAAGGGGTCCTCCAAACCCTCCAGCAGGAGGAGGGCCCCTGCAGGCGTCGCGGCATCGACAGCCATGGCTCGGGCTGGCAAGGCCCCGACAAGGGACGCAAGGGAGCACAGCGGCTCAAGGCACTTGCACGATGGGTTTCGGGCCAAAACTGAGTGCTGGTGGGCTTAGGGCTTAAGGAAGGACGTGTAGGCCAGAGGCATGCTGCAGATGGAGCCCCCAACGGGCTTAGACATGACCCAATGCCTGGAGCCAAAAAAACAAAGGTCCCCCAGCAGCAAACCACAGAGAAGCAAAGAGCCTCAAATGTCGCAACATGTCACGACTTCACTCCATTTCATCCTTCACCCGACAGAAAACAGCGATCGTGTTGAAACACACATGATCTCAAAGAGTGCTGACGAAGCCTTATCTCCAGACAACTTTGCGGGACTTGGTGGCAGCAGTGGCTGCCGAGGCTGTCCGTTCCTGGGGTGCGAAAGCCGAAGTAGCTCTTGAACACTTGCTACATGACCGTACCGGACCCTAAAACCCTAAACCAGAAATGCTCACTGAAGCGATTGCGTTTTGGGGCCGAGCGGATACCACCCGGACCACAGGCGACTCGGATTTGAGCGCCTCCTGCATGCATGAGGGTATCTTGGCATGCGTCTAGAGATGCCTTCGTGTGCGTGTGTCTGTGTACTCGTGTCTTGAACAAGAACTCAAGAACTTGCCCACAAAGGGTGCCTCCCGACAGTCTACAGCACCCGACCCGTAAGCCGCTACCCACTGGGCCTTGACTGGCGACGGCGCACGGGCCCTAACGGAGGCATGGCCAAAACAACACGCGACGGAAAGCCACTACTCGACTTTGCTATGCTGTTTGCATGCTCAGCGTGGTTGCACCTCATCGGGTCCACGCGCTGCCGAACACTGGTTCGCCTGACTGCGAGGCTTTGCCGAGGCGTGCCAACGTGTGCTCATGTGTGCCATTTGGCCATTTCGGGGAATGCAGAAACCGCAGTTCAGATGCCAAGGCATGGTAAGTGAAAGCAGGAACTGAAGGCAACCCTTATGCTAGGATCATTTAAGATGAATGAACTTAAACCGAGGCACAGCTTTGACTTGTATTCAGATGCATCACATGGCCATACACGGCGTGCGTACTCGTCTGTGAAAACAAAACTCATCATTGCGAATGGGCTACTGTGTATGAATGCTGGCTATTCTGCGACCAAGAGTACAATATCATTGGGATTACGATCTGCACTCCCATTGCTGCAGCCAACAACTTCCACTATGTTTTTGTTCTATAACAGCGCCTCTGCACTGGCTGGCAAGAGATTCGAATTTCTCTGCAATCTTGCAGAGAGCCAGAACTTTGTCACAGCGGCATCTTACTTTGCCATGTGTTTTCGCAAGTCTGCATTTTGGTTTCTTGAAAGATGCCTCTGCACAGCTGGCACACGTACCTTCAATCATTTCGCACGTCGCAACACCTAGTTTCGAAGTTTCTGTTTCCAATCATCAATTCGGGCTTTCAACTTGCAAGCTGGGCATCAACGCACTAGCGATATCAATGCATACCTGTCCACGGCATCAAGACTATAAACTGAACACGTACAACAATTCGTGCCAGTACTCCTGACGGATACAGCAACAAGCGCAGCAACTTATTTGATGGCCGCCTCCGCATAAGACCCCTACAAGACTACGAGTTCGTCTGGTAGCTCCCCAAGACGCCGACACCAGCATCGTGTGCATTCAAGGCGTTCTGCAACAGTGCTAATGATTTTGCTTTTACAGCTGTATGTAATTCTCGTCCTTTAGTTCAGTTGAAAGGGTGTGTTGGGTAGCTTCATTTCTGCGGAGCAATAGGGGACAGGCACGAAACGATTATCTCAACGCCTGAAGAATGTCTCAGTTTTAATCTTGCGCTCAAAGCTGCAACTTTGCAACTAGCCTGCAAGCGACCGATAACCCCGACATTGCCTAGCAATTCATGCTGACTGGAGCTCATGTGGCCTCAGAAAACCATCCACAATGGGATGGGCGGGGGGGGTTGGATTCTGCATTGAAAACAACCCAGCAAGCAGAACTGCGTAGACCCATATTGTGTGCAAGAACTGGCTGTCGGAGGTGCTTGAGAAGTGTGTCAGGGACGCTTCAGTGGGGTCAAAGCTCTTTGTACGGATTGACTTTACGGGAGTCACCCAGTGAGGCAACTCTCACACAGGAACCCCTTGTAAACAGACCCCCCTGCCCCCCAAAAAATTTAGCAATAAACATGGTTATTTCTTGCTATTATTGTTCTGATTGTTCTTGTTATTGTCATTGTCATTGCCATTGCCATTGTCATTGTCATTGTCATTGTCATTGTTCTTGTTCTTGTTCTTGTTCTTGTTCTTGTTCCTGTTCTTGTTATTGTCATAATTTAAGCCTAAACCCCACACCCCCTCCCTTAACCCTGCAAACCCTAGATTCCCCGTTATTGGGCTACCAAGACAAGAGCCCATGGCAATCCTTTTGAGACATTTGCCCTTCGCTCCCCATGCACACCCTTGAACTCCAAACCTCAAACCTCTCAGCCCCAAAAGTCCTTGGCGGCTGCACCTAAAAACCCTACCCAAACACGTAAGCAAAAGTCGAAGATTTGTTGAGCCCCTTACTTTACTTTAAATCCCCAAACCCTCAAACCACAAAAAAGCAACCCAAACCCTAAACCCCAAACCCCAAACCCTGAAACCTAAACCCCAAACCCCAAACCCTGAACCCTAAACCCTAAACCCTAAACCCTAAACACTAAATCCTAAACACTAAACCCCAAACCCCAAACCTCAAACCCCAAACCCCAAACCCTGAAACCTAAACCCCAAACCCCAAACCCCAAACCCTGAACCCTAAACCCTAAACCCTAAACCCTAACCCTAAACACTAAATCCAAACCCCAAACCCCCCCAAACCCCAAACCCAAACCCCAAACCCCAAACCCCAAACCCCAAACCCCAAAACCCAAACCCAAAAACCCCAAACCCAAAACCCAAACCCCAAACCCCAAACCCCAACCCCCCCCCCCAACCCCGAACCCAAACCCCGAACCCCGAACCCCGAACCCCGAACCCCGAACCCCCCCCGAACCCCGAACCCCGAACCCCGAAACCCCGAACCCCGAACCCCCCCCGAAACCCGAACCCGAACCCCGAACCCCGAAACCCCGAACCCGAACCCCGAAACCCGAACCCCGAACCCCGAACCCCGAACCCCGACCCCGAACCCCGAACCCCCGAACCCCGAACCCCGAACCCCGAACCCCGAACCCCCCCGAACCCCGAACCCCCGAACCCCGGAACCCCCCGAAAACCCGAACCCCGAACCCCGAACCCGAAAACCCCAACCCAACCCCAAACCCCCCCAAACCCCAAACCCAAACCCCAAAACCCCAAACCCCAAACCCCCAAACCCCAAACCCCAAACCCCAAACCCCAAACCCCAAACCCCAAACCCCAACCCCAAACCCCAAACCCCAAACCCCAAACCCCAAACCCCAAACCCCAAACCCCAAACCCCAAACCCCAAACCCCAAACCCCAAACCCCAAACCCCAAACCCCAAACCCCAAACCCCAAACCCAACTCAGCCAAAACATCTTCCCGGCACATTCGGGGCCCTGAACTCCAAGCCTCCGCTCCGGGCTCTGGCGGCCTCAGCAGCGTTGCACAAGTGTCTGACAAGACTCCCCCGAGGCGGGTTTAGGGTTTAGGGTTTAGGGTTTCGGGTTTAGGGTTTAGGGTTTAGGGTTGCCCGCTCACTGCCCTCACGTTGCCAGTAAACCAAAGCAAAACCACCCTCAAGCGCTTCAAAGGATAGCGCGCTCTGTTGGGCACTCCTGCACTTCACGAGGAGCATGCGCGGCGCAAGGCGAGAGCGTCGTTTCGAGCACCCCCACATGAAAATCCAGCGTGTAACGGACGCACGAAACGGAGCCGTCGGACGTCCCTGCCACGTTTTCGCTACATGGAACGGTTCAAGCACACAGGACCGAAGCGCGAGCCCCATTTGGACCACAGAATCCGCATAGGATGTAGGTGAGATCACCTCCGCGACATCGGAGGACGCCAAGGGCTTGCCTCTGACTATGAAAACGCGACGCCTCGCGATGCGTTTTGCGGTCAAGCTGCAACTAGGCCAGTGTGATTTACTGTGTGATTTAAAGCTGCCGGTCTTCCGCGTGCATCGCACCTGAACCTCACATACGTCATACCCCCATAGCATCCCATAGCATTCCCACATTCTCGGGCAACGGGAGCGACCCTGTCCCAGCCTTGCGAGGAGGGGGTCTGGCTCGCATTCTGCGGGGAGATCTCGCTGCTTGAGCCTGCCACCGGTGCTTTTAAGGTCCTTTGATTCTTTGGGTTTTTAGGTGTTAGGGATGTTGGGGTCTCAACGAGTCTTGTTGGGGAGTGCGAAGAAGGATTTTGTGGTTTAGGGGCCCATGGATTCAGGATCCGACCCTCACGATCCTTTAGACGTTTCTCATTTTGCGGTTTGGAACTGGGTCTTAGTGAGTGCACAGTGACAAGTGTCCATGGACCCTAATTAAACTTCTTAAACCCTGTCCCTAAACCCTAAAACCCTAAACCCTAAAACCCTTTTAACCGCCTAGATTGGTGTTGATGCCGGTGTGGGCACCGCATCGTGCACCAACACGTAAATACACGCTTAACCCTTGGTGCCTGACTCCTGCTCAGCTCGCTCCTCCAGAACCTCACAGGTGAGCGTGGGGCTGCTCAGGCGGTTTAGGGATTCTGGGGATGTGGAGTTCTTCAGGGTTCGGGTTTATAGGGTCCAGAGAATCGGCTTTAGGAATCACAAGATCAGAGCGCCTCCTGCATCTCCTGCGGCAGTGGCGTCGCGCAGGCGTCAGGGGTGTCGGGCACCGATGGGTTTTGGCCTCAGGATTGGGAAAGCCCCTGCTGACGCAGCTAGGGTGAGGGTTGGTCCGCCGTGGAATGAAAGGCAATGAAACACGAAGAGCTGACATCAAGGGCCAGGCTCGTGGCCGCAGTCGCAGTGGTTGCGATCCTGCAAAGGGCAAATACAAGTCTCTCGGTTCAACCCTAAACCCTAAACCCTAAACCCTAAACCAGAGGAGGGCCATCTCCCCGTCCTCGGACCAAAGAAGCTGAGGGGCGAAGGAGGCAAGGGAAAATCACCTTCGAGACCGGTGCGGTGGCGACGGGAAAGCAGACTGGTGTCAATATGATAAAACCTGACGTGATCATTCTGAATAAGCTAGAAGAGATAACACAATATGCTGTGTAATTGAGGGTAGCAAAAGAGATATGGGACGTGCATTTGTTTGCAGGCCTGAGTTCCAGAATCTGTGACGCACAATCACTTGGCCTGAGTGGAAGCGTGGAACTGGAGCGAAAGGCCTCCGGCACGCTGGCACATCAGTTCATCAATATCCTCTTGGCACAACTTTGTGGTGTGACTAGGAAGTCGGCGGCAAGCCGTGAAAGAGCAGGGTTCAGCATGTGATGCTTCAAAATGCTTCCGATGCTTCAAAATGCTTCCGAGAAGTCCTGACAAAGGATTCGTTAACCAAGATGCTGTTTGTGTTTGCCAAGGCGACGCCCCCGCTTGGAGACAGTGGAGGAAGCAAACCGTAACAGTCATGATAAGGTACAGACGGAGCAGTGGCTGTATCTCCACCTGGCTCGAAGATGCAGAGTATTCATGCACCTCGCTGCCGTGCCGCTGCAGCACAGCTAAGAAAGAGGTAACAGGCAGAGACAGAGAGAGAGAGAGAGAGAGAGAGAGAGAGAGCGAGAGTCGCGAGAGAGAGACACCGCAGCTTCCCGCAGAAGTCAGCAGCTTGCGTTTGCAAACACTTCCGCAGGGCCACTGGTCCGGAAGGTCTGTGGCAGCGGAGTGGAGGCCTGGGCACAGATTGGGATGTGAGATCACGTGAGCTTCATACGAACTGTGTAAATAAGGCATACGGCATGATGCTTATTTGAGGCTTAAGCGGTGCAGAGGCTCCAAGCTTCTCAGGTATATCAAGATGCATTATCTTCAAGGCCCACGGTCCACACAGAGGTTGCAACGCTGCCGAAGTCCCGATCATACCATGCTCATAATTACTCACGCTCGGCTCCCTGGCGCGCCGCACCACTTCCGGCCTATGCATTGCAGTTGAAGCCGGGCACGGCAAGCTGTGTGCAAAGCCACAAGGAAGTCCACGCGCAACAGCTTCACACTTTCACGGCTTCCCAAAACAACAACGTGCTGCGGAGCAACGCGCGGCTGGGCAGCGAAAGCGAAGCGCCGCGACCTTCCGGAGATATTTTGGAACTGACTGGAGATGAGGTTCTTATGATGCCTAGTGATCGCCATAGAAAAGGAAGTCTGCTAGTGAATGCCAAACACTACCATCAGGCCTGCAGGGAGCGCCGGAAACACTGCAGTAGCCGGCAGGCCTTGGCAGCAGGCCCCCGTTTCACGAGATTCGGACCCTTAAGCCTGACTTTGGGTGGCCTGACAGCTTGCGCTTCCACTCTTGCCGGCACCCTGCCCTCAGAACCGTGACTTCTCGTCCCGTGGGACTTGACCGATGCATCCATCACTGCACCCGATGAAACATCCTCCCGCTGGCCCACATCGCAACACAGAAGCCAGGTGAAGGCGTGTTCCACTACATGACATTACATGACATCAGGCCCGCCGGCCCGGCGCTCTCCCATGTAAGGCCGTGGCACGGTGCCGGGGACCTGGGATGCTAGTGGCTCAAGTCGAGAGGAGGCGAGAGGATGTTGCAACGGGTACGCCACAGGCGTGTCAGCCGCGAAGCTCACGTGCAAACTCACGAGGTCTCTTTCACGAAAGGTCCAGGCCAAACTGTGTTGGTCACCGTGTGCGAGATGATTGGGGAGGGTGATCGCATCGAAGCGCAGCGAACCACCTGCTGGCTCTCAAGGCGACGAGGAGCTGAGGTTTGGGAAAGTTTGGGTGAGGATGGAGAGGGACTTCAGGAAGATAGGCCACAATGCGGATACAAAGCTGCCAATGGGATGACAGCCCTTGGATGGACAACAGAAACTTGCCTAAGCCCTAATGAAGGCCTACAGGCGTTCAGGGTTTTTAGGGATCATCCAGGGCAGCCACCCCAAAACCAAACCCCCCCCTTCACATCGTGCTGCTTTCACATCCCGGCCGCCGTGGTGCGCGGCGGGCCACGGAGCACGGGCCCTGCAGTGACCTGGGCAGCACATCATCAATCCTTAGCGGGGACAAGACCTTCTCCCGGCCTTCACGCTGGTGATCTCGCGAGCATCTCGCACAAACCTGGCGGCTCTTTTCACCTACAAGAACTCCTGGATCCCACAAAGAGAAAAGGGGCCTGGTGGGCTGCCTCGACGTTGGCAGGGATGCAAGCAGCTCCTGGAAACTCATTTTGAAAACGAAATATGCACAAGTACAATATGGTACGTATATACTGAGACTAAGAACTGAGAAGAGTCGAAGAGGTTATAGTACTGTAATTGAAACGGATGAAAGAAGTTGCTTCAAATGTGATTCAGGAAAGAGATACAGTAAAGAAAACAAGAAGACACGGTGGCTCCCTGCATGTGACGAAGCGAGAACGCCAGACACAAAGCATGAAGACGTGGCCTGCGCAGCTTCTTAGGAATGAAGAGTTGCTCGACTGCTCGACACATCTGACCACACTCGCCATGTTCATGCACAAGGATGCCATGAGTCTGAAAAAAAAACGGATGACAGAGATCCATCGAGTTGCTGAGGCTACAATCTACAATGAAACAAAATTGGCCAATTGGGAGCTGCGCTTTTGGACTCCGATTTGGACCCGGCTCCTAGTTAAGACCAACTCCCAGGCACAACCAATGAACTGACTGTTGGGGTCCAACAGCTGGTCATGGGTCCACGTGGGGTCCCCTAACCTACGGTATTCCCTTAGAATCATAGTTATCTGATTAACATTGCTAAGACCATTAATATTATGAATATTGTTATTGTTGATATTATTAGTTTAGGGTGCCCAGGCGGGCCCATGGTTTGATCCCACCTCCTCACTGAGCGGGTCGACCACCTTGGCCCCTGGCCGGACGAGGCGCCAAGCACCTTGCAAAATGAGGCCATCTCGTGCCAGGTTTCGAGTTCGGTTGTGGGGTTTACGGTTCAGGGCTTCTGAAGCTCAGAAACTCCCCGAAACCCCCAGCCCTGCACCCGAAACCCAACCCCTAAAACCCTAAGGCATGCCCCTCGCTCACGGCCTCCCGGCAGGCCGCTCTCAGCACCGAACCGCTGGAGCACCTGCCCAAGGGTCGCAGTGGCTCGTAGGGAGTTAGGGATTTAAGGGTTTTGCGGTTCAGGCCCTTCAGGGAGTAGGGCTTAATTAAAGCTTGGTGGCTTTTGTTGTTTTCGCGTTGCGCAGGAAGGAGTCTGCAGTCCTCAGAATGTCTCAGAGAATGGCTGCTAAGAGAAACTACTCAGAGACTGCGCGATACCTGCGCTGCTGCGTGCCAGCTGTACGCAGTACTCGGGGTGCTTCTGAAAAAAACCGGGGGGGGGGGGGGTTGACTGGGGATCGTAGTGTGTCGTTTGGTTTGGCTATTTCAATTGTTTTCGTTTTCGGGTGTTTCGGCCGGCCTCAGGTGCGCACCTCAACTCAGCCCCCCAAGATCACTGCGGGATCACTCCAGCGACCACAGTTGGGACACCGTGACATGCAAAAATTCTTTGAGAACGGGCGCACGAAGCGAACCCTTTTTATGCAGGTGGGGGCCCCGAGCTGCAGCCCTCAAGTTCCAAACCATCCGGTAATGAAAGTTCGCAACCCCAAGGTATCACAACCCCTGCTTCACTGGAACTATCACCCTTCAGAGCATCGGAGCTACATGCCACAAGTCTACGAGCAGGTCCTCTTCACCACTGCAGTTGACGCAACGGAAGTGAATGTTTGAAAAACACACAGCTCAGCCAGAAAGCCCTGAAACCAAAAAAACCGAGAAGCTTAAGCAGCAACGCCAACAAAAAGGTAAGAGCACGGAATACTCCCCCCCCCTACCCCCCAATATTAAATGCCCCCTTGTCGTTATATTGTCAGGGAGGGAGGGGTAAACCCTGAACCCTAAACCCTAAACCGTAAACCCTGGGTTCGGGAGACAGCTTGCCCGCTCGCCTGGCTCCAGACCCGGCAGGTCTCTGCCAGGCCGCCGGGGGCCACGGGCACCCTCCCGAGCCGCTCCTCTCGTCGCTTCTGAGATCTTCTGAGGCTCTTAGGGGCTCCTAAAGGGGCTCTTGGGGGTTGTATAGGGGCTCTTAGGGGCTTCTATAGGGGCTCTTAGGGACTCTTAGGCGCTCTGTGCGGGGCTTTTGGGGGCTCTTGCGGGCTCTTATAGGCTCTTAGGGGCTCTTAGGGGGTCTTAGGGGCTCTTCGGGGCTCTTCGGGGCTCTGGGGCTTTTTCGGTTTTTGAGAGGGGCTGAGGGTTCAGGATAGCTTGAAGCTCGCGGCTTTCCGTCATTTGAGGAGTTTTGGGGCTTGGAGCAAAAACAAAAAAAGGTGCCACTCGGAAGGCTCCAGCAGCCCCAAGTGTATTCGCAGTGCATCCGCCGCCAAAAGCTCGGCCTCCGCAGGCAGGTCTTGGGGTTCAAGGCTCTTTAAGGCTTATTGTTCAGGTTAGGCGATAAGGTGGGCCTACAGAACGATTCCCACGCGAGAACCCACGCATCTCTCCCGGTGAAGGTCCCTTTTTTGAGGGTGGCTCCAGGTGCCAGGCATCCCCGATTCAGGGCAAGAGTGGCCTGCAGCTGCGGATGGGTGGAGATGCCATCCAGCCTCACCCGCCAAAACAGGAGAGAGATGGCCTTTTTCGGCCTGGCCTTACAGAGAGGGAGATGCCCCTGAATGTCTGGCCAACACCTTTCCTCATGCCCCTACAGTAGATTTCTGGCATCTTTCCTGGCCCATTCCTGGAAGCGTTCCCGTCTGCCATGTCGCCTCAGAAGCTCCGCGCGCGTCCGCACGACGACGCTCAAGAGCAGCGCTAGATCGAGAAGCTCCTCCCAGCGGGCTGAAGCGCAAGCTGCAGCCAGAAGAGGCCGAACGACGTTCCAAAACCATCTTGCAAATGGCCTCGCGGTGCGTGGGCTGCGGATGCGTAGCTGCCTGTCAGGACTGTCAGGACTGTCAGGACAAGAAGCCTACGACATGGAGGGCTTGTGGATGCGGCTGCAAACTTGCAAGTTCTTTCTACGAGGCTGCTAAACCCTAAACCCTAAACCCTAAACCCTAAACCCTAAACCCTAAACAGACCACTTGGGGGCTTTGTTGTTCCGAAACCCGAGCTCTTGTTAGCACCTCCTCCAGCCATGCCACGAGGCCCTTCATTGTGGCCAGGCCTCTCAGGGAGTCTCTGTGTTTTCTTCTCAAAGACTGAATTCAGGCTTTGTTTTTGCTTTTGCTGACTACAGATGCTGCCGGATTGAGCTACAATCTCGAGGCGCAGGAAGCACCACCCGCATCGAAAGTGACCGAAACTTCCGGCGAATTCGTCGGCGCGTCTGCTGAAGACTCGTCCAGCAAGCCTTGTGATGTGTGCACCATGTCGGCGTCCTCATCCGACTCGTCCGAGTCGGAGTCGATGTCGCCTGGCTCAACTTCCCTCTTCTGCTTCTTGCTCTGTCAGACCAGATGGCGAGGAAGGGCCTTCTACACATGCAGCCAACTGCACCCATATATCCCGAAAAGTCAGCAGTGTTGCGGGCTAGCCTGGCGCCAAAGCACCTGGGGTTCTGCAGTGCAAGGAATACACGTAGAAATGCCTTGAAGCGCGCCCGAAGCATCCAGGAGCCCGGCCGAGTGCCTTGATCAGAACGACCAATAGTGAGGACAGGGCCTCTAAGCTCCGCCTGCGCAGAGGGAGTGACCTTCAGTGTACCTTCATCGTACCTTCGTCCCTTGACCCGACCTTGGGTGGAATGGTTCGCCTTTCGCCTGACTTCGCCGATTCCTTTGTACGAATGTGTTCCCGCTGCGCTGGTGTAGATTAGGCGTGCACTTGCTGGTGTCGCGCTGCATCTTTGTATCAGCATTGGGAGTGGAGTTGCAAGAGCTGAAGTCTTTTGACAAGCCATCTGCCAGACAGACAGACATTCTTCAGAACCTGTTTTCAATCCCCCTTCCCCCCCAAACTACGAGCATCAAACCATGCCCCAAGCATCCCCAAAGCCGCACAAGCTGAGGACCGAAATACGCCCAGACTGTCACAGCTCCTCCAAACAGGCTTAAGAAGTCCAACCACCAGGTGAGAAGAGTGTCCGGAAACTGGCCTGTATGACATGTAGACACGCAGCGGCCCAAAGCCCAAGGGCCCTCGGTATAGCAACTCGCCATAAACGAACCCTGAGCATCCGGATCGGAGCCCCCCCCCCTGGACCCCGAACCCTAAACCCTAAACATAAAAGTAGCAGGACCCTAAACCCTAAACCCCGAACCCTAAACCCTAAACATGAGTAGCAGGCCTCAGCAGTGCTCGGCGCTCCCGGGTGGCATCTTTGGCGCGGATCTCCGCGCGGCCCCAGGGGAAGCGGACCCGGACCATGCCGCGGTCGTCTGCCTCTTCTTGGAGGAGGTTTGAAAGGGTTCAGGGGGTTTAGGGGGTTTAGGGGGTTTTGAGGGGGTTTAGGGGGTTTAGGGGGTTTTGAGGGCTTTGAGGGCTTTGAGGGCTTTCAGGGTTTTGAGGGTTTTGAGAGTCCTTGTGGCAAACGGGGAATGTGTCGAGCTTTCAGGGGCTTTAGGGGATTTGATTTGGGTACCTTCTTACGATCGCGCTCTGGCTTCTGGATCCCCAATGTCTTGCGAAAGGGGTCCCGGCCTCGCTTTCAAGAACTCCGACACCTGACAACATAGCTGGCAGTTTTGGAGGTAGGACTGCAGCGCTCTTCGTAGGTCTTCTAGGGTTTTTTTCTGGTGATTCAAAAGGCTTTTTGCTGGAACCTATCCAAGAAAAGTCCGAGCCGCCATACGGAGTCAACGTGGACCCCGGAACCTGCACAGCCCCGAAAGGGGTGGAGAAGCGGAGAGGTGAGTGAGGCTTCGACCCGGCATGCTGGGCCCCAAACTTCGCTCGTAAGGCGATTTAGCACTTCTGGGCCCAGGCCTGGCAGAGGGGTGGGTTCGTCTTTCTCGTCTTTCCGGGCAGAGGGCTTAGGTTTTGCGATTTTGGCCTTACAGGGCGTACCAAAACTAAACCCTGAACCCTGAACCCTGTCCCAGCAAGCCTGGACCTCGCCGGACCCCTCCGGCGAGGGGCTCCGACCTGATAAATAATCATCCAACATAACATAAGTTCATGCAAAACAACGGGGTTAAAGGCTTGTCGAGAATTGTCTGCGGGTTGCCTCTAGATGTCTTCTTCACGGGGTCTGAGGCTTTAGGGCCAGAAGTTGATAACCCATGTTGACCCCATCTAAGCTTAAAATTGCGGAAGAAGTGGGCCGGGGCACGGGGCGATGTGCGACGAAACAGAAGTTGCAGAGCCGAACCCGGGCCCCCCAACCGGAACCGAGCCCAGGCGGCGTTTGTCTGGCCTTAGGAGCATCTCACGCTGAACACCTCATGAGAAGGCACTCGTGTGAACGGTGCGATTTGTGTGGTTTGCGTGAACTGGACTCAGGACCCCGTCTCTCGAGGGCCCGGCTCGGGCGCTCGCGCGGCCTTCTGAGCAGCTGCGAGCAGGGCTCTCAGGAGACGAGCTTCCACGAGACTTCTCCCCATGCCCCCTGAGTCGCTGCACAAGGCTCGTGGAGCTGCAGATTCCAGCACCGCCTGGTCAAGCAGAATGGCGATCCCAGTGAGCACCAGCTCGGTCGCCCATGAGTGCCGCACCTTCAGCTTGCGGCTCTGCGCTTGGTCGCCACCATACCTTGGAGTCCCCGCACTAGTGCAATTCAATGCAACCCCATGTTGACTTGAAAACACCAATGCCGAGAATCCCAAAGTACCCGCGCAAGGCTGCCCAAGGATCAGTTCCCTCGTCCGAAAACCCCACGAAACCGTCATAGTACTGCATAAAACATGACAACCATGATCATCGACAAGAATAACAACAACAAAGAAAATCATGACACAAACAGCAAGATGTAGTAGAACCGCATGAACGCTGAAGGCCACAGGGGCAACAGAAACCCTGGTTTGTCAGGCACCCCCACTTCTCGAAGATCCGCTGAAGGGCGGCACGGGAGTGCAGAGAGGTGCCTGAACTTAAGAGGCTGAGAGCTCTGGGCTTCGTAGCGGGGATTATGCAGGGGTAATTCAGGGTCTTGAAAAGTTCAGGGTTTAAAGGTTTTGGGCCATTTGGGCTACTGATTCGCGGAGCGCTTTTGGGAAACTTCCTTCTGTAAGAATCCAGGTCTAAGTTTTGCTACTCGTCCAGCTGGCCCATGTGCGTCATGGCCTGTCGACTGCCCCGCTCTTCCCATGAGAGCACACACTAGCTTATGTAGACCTCAGACGCCAGAATCTCGAAGAAACCTCATCACAACCCCACACGAGAGATCTTGCCTGTGCATTGGTCGACCTTGCTCGCTTCCTTGGGCTCGCAAGGGTCGCGCAACTGAAGATTCGCGAAACATCTCAGGGCACGCTTGATGCCACGGCACGCGCGGACTCGGTGGCGGGGCTGCAGCGCCTTCGGACCTTTGCCACACCGGAGGGCCGAGTCTGTAAATTTTTAAGCACAGGCGTTTCACGGGCAACTGAGCACTGCACTCGGCCGCCATGTGCTGTGAAAAGGTGAGTGGGGTTCTTGGGCAACTGTGGGACTCATGGGTGAAGGTGCTATGAATCAGAGGAGTCAGGAGGGAACCTGTGACGGGTGGTGATGTCTCTGGTGTCGGCGGGACGTCTCGGTGCGATTTGTCTTGCACTTGATGACATGGCATTCATGGCATGAGAATGGGGGCGGGGGGGGAGGGGGGGGGGCGAGTGCCTATATAAAGCCAGGTCTGGAGCGCCCGATGCCGTTTCCCACCAACATCCAAGCACGCTCGCGCCTAGCCCGGTTCCATCATGTTCCACCCCATTCCTATACTCCGCCTATCTCAACTCCAAGCACACTGCAAGCAGGCAAGTGGGATGCACGTCATCTGCATCATACGGCAGCCCGGACAGGTGCAATTCGATGACCTGCTCTGGCGCAAGGGATCTGAATGCAAGGAGCTGCACGTCAACACAATCACCGATACCCATCAGAGCTCCAAGGCCTCCCAGTCCTTGATGTTTGTGGCTGTATGGTAAAACTCTTCAGATTGGATCGTGGCCCGAAGATGCGCCTCGATGGGTGGCTGCAAGGCACTGAATTCGCCATTGTTTGGCCGATCACTCGGTCGCCTGTTGCAGTTCTTGCGGCTTCATGCCATCCTTGTACTTGATTTTCTCGGAGTTGTCGTGCGTGACCTCGGAACTCGGAAGTTGCAAATCCCCGCCCGGTCGGATCCCACAGATCTCCGCACGAACGATCAGCACGTCTGGGGGCCAGGCCGCCTCCACCTTGCCGGAGCCGCCCTGCCAGCCCCGGGCATCACCATCACCGAAGATCCTCGCCTGCTCACACACAATCCCGCTTATCTGGAGCCCTCACCTTGTTCCCCTCGCCCGCTCCTGGTGGAGCTCCTCCGACTTCCGCACATCTGGGGTGGCCTCGCCGCCGAACTTTCGTGCACCGGGCAGGAGCTCGGTGCGGCAATCGCTCCAGTCCTCTGGCCCCGGCTTTTGGGAGTACGAGCATGCCTTTCAACGACTTTGTACGTAGTGGTCCCTTTTGTGTTGCTAGGGCTTTAGTTGGTCGCTTGCTTCTCTTGTTCACAAGAGCATTTCGCTGGTTTGGCGGTGTGGTTTCTCACGGCTGTCCAAGACTTGATACTTTAAATAGAGGCCTTGTAAGGAATTCTTTCATTCCACGTCTTTAGAATGGGTCTGCCTTTCTTCTTGGCGCTTCGTCGCAGGTTCGGGAGAGAAGAAGACTGTTCATAGTCTCTTATCTGCTTTTGAGTGGTTCTTTAATGCTGCTGTGGTGGGCTGCTTATGTCACTTATGTCTTATGTGTTGCACGGGTTGGTCGGGCAGCGTTTCGTGGGGGGAAAGTAGAACCATCCCGGGGCTTGGGTAACCATTCTTCTCACTTGCAACTGCCCCCATCAAGCGCCTGTCCCTCGCTACCGGAGACCACCTCAGAAACAGACCGATCGTGAAAACAAATCCCGTCAGTGAGGTGTTGTTGGTCTTCTGGTGGTTTAAGTTTAAGTTCCTTTTCAGGCTCAAGGCATGCCTTGGTCCTGCACGAGGCCAAGGGAAGCTTCTTTTCTGCAAGAATCTGGTGGCAGTCGCTCCTTGTGATCCCACTGCTGCACATGCTCGTCACGTTGCGCCCCGCCCATTACCCCATGCCTGGGTGGAAAAACACCCCCCGCTGCATGCAAGAACGGGACACGCACCCACCCCCAGGCGATTTTGCTTAGCAGGAGTGGCTCAGACAGTTTCCCCAACCATACGACTTTCCACATGCCGTGGAGACTTAAGGTAGCCCCAGGACCAGGAACTGTCCAGCAACTGCTGAAGGTCTGAGGTCCGACTAAGGATGCATGGCAACAGACGCCAACTGTACGGACGGCCTGGTGGACGATGAGGTGATCTTCGTGCCCCGTTCGACTCTTTGGCCGTCTGGCACTGAGGAGAACCTTCGCCCCAAAGCGCGCCACGGCAGAAGCAGTCGCGCATTTCTGGGCGGCACAACCCTAGAAGCCCTAGAAGGGCCCTGAACCCATCCCAAACCCGCAGCCCGCCTCCGGGTCTTCATAGGCCGCGGATCGCCCGAACAGGTCACTGCACAGGGGGCGAACTCAGATGTCCCTCATGGCTATACATGGCTCTCCAGCTCTCTGTGCCTGTAGTAGACGTTGGCTCTGCGTTTCAAGTCGCCCTCCTGTTCCTGGCCATGTCTCCCCATCTCAGCCACTCGCCAGCCAAACACATATGCGACAGAGTCCGATCACAGCCTCCTCTTCTTTGTTGCGCGATGGTGCAAGCAGAATTTGCACACCTAACGTCGCCTAAGGTCGAAGCATACCCGGAGGTCTAATGTGAATTGTTGAGCCGGTGTCAAGTTGACAGCGCTCACAAAATACCTTCTCTGCCACCAATACATAGAGAGCCTGGAGCCTGCGACGGTTGTCTCAGGTCCTATGCCGTGCTGAAGAACAAACCGTCGGGGGCTTCCGGTTCTCCTCCCTCTGAATTCATCTACTGTACAATAAAACTCGTGCAATGTGTCTTCGTGCATCTTATGGCACTCGTGCAGGCGGGCACTTGGTGCACCAGGGATTGGGGGCTCTTTGCCGAGAATCCCTGCAAAAGGCCAGCATATAGTTCTGCCTGGCTAAGAAACTGCAGATTGCGCATTGGTCACCAGGCTGAAGGCAGCGCCAGCCGGGGTCACCAAGCATGCTGGCACGGCATGACTCTCCAAGCAAAAGGGACGGCTCTCACACCCAACGGTTTCCTCCGACATCTGTCCTAAGTTCATTCAAGCCCCATCCATTCCACAAGAACGGCCCTGGGGAGTTCTTTGTCAATGCCAGTCGAGCACCCTCATGCCCAAATTAGATCACCAGGCCACGCTCACTCCAGTGCACTGTGACGGAGCGAGCGCTCTGGCGAACAAATTATGTCCGGAAAATCTGCGTTCGGAATACTGACTGTATTTCTGTAGCCTCGCAGCCTCACAGGAGATTCCTCTCAGCCGCTTTGATGTCCATCACCTCACCGCAAGCTCCCACGAGAACCAGCATCAAACAAGCGGATAAGACTTGGCTTCAACACAACCCTAAACCCTAAACCCTAAACCCTGTACCCCTTCGGAACTGAGGCCGCAGCCCATGTCCAGAGCCAGCAGTTCTTCGCTGATTGAGGGACGCGTCGGCACATGGCATAGGTGGAGAGCCTCATGAAGCCGCTCCCAAAGCAGTGAATTACACTGGCCGCACTATCTTTGTTGCGGCTCGCTCCGGCCAGTTGCAAGGCAGGGAACGGATAGAGGATCCAGGGAACCACTATGAGCCACACAAGGAGGTCCTTCACCTGAAGATGGGGGACGATAAGATGGCGAGCATGCCACGAGAGAGAGAAGAGAAGACAGAGAGAGGGAGAGAGAGAGAGAGAACGGCATCGTGAGGCAACAGGAGCTGCACACCTGGAAGACGATGATGTACGTCATGTAGGCCACGCCGCACAGGAAAACGACCCAGGTCCTCAGGACAGCTAAACGACCATGAGCATCTAAAGTTAGATCAAGCGGGATCCCCTCCCCCCTTTTCTGCGCTTCACCCTCGTTCAAAGCTCAACTTTGAATAGCCGAGCTGCTTCTTGAAGACGTACCACAATGACAAGTTCTGCTCCACCTCTCGCTCCACAGCATCCTGCAAAGAGAATAGCCGAGGCGGCAGAGCCAACTGCAAACTGTAGCTATCCCCAGGGGTTAGACAGCCCCAAGAGCCCATAAAACCTTCAAGGGAAGCCCCAACACTCCCTTAGCCCCCCTCCCTCTGTCAAAAAGACTTAAGGCTCAACAAAAATTCCCAACAAAACCCTAGTCCTTGTTAATCCCTTCCCCCTAGATACTAAAAAACCCCCCTGACTCCAAGACCCGCCCCTATTCAAACCTCTACCGAACTAGGAGGGTTAGGGGGGTCGGAAGCCTGAAGCAGAACCTGAACCTGACTCTGAAAGCCCCAGACCCTCAAGACTCAAGTTCCTCTGTCCCTGGGCTTTGCTTGTTCGGGCATTCGAGAAGCCCTTTGGGGGTTTTGGGGGGGGTCTTAATCCTAGGGCGGGGAGGGGCGGGGGGGGACTTTAATGTTAGGGGGAAGGATTCAACCCTAAAGCCTAAACCCTCAACCCTCAACCCTAAACCCTAAACCCTAATCCTTTGATCGGCGGGGCCTGCGGCTTCCAGCTTGCCGAGCCCGAAGACTGCGCCCAGACGGCGCGGACGACGCGGAGAACCCCGAGGATGAGCTCTGGAGAGTACAGGAGGATGGACAGCACGATCCTGGGGGGGTGGGGGGGGCGTAGGGTTTAGGAGTTTAGGGGCTTAGGGTTCAGGGTTTACGGGGTTGGGTTTTTGGGGTTTAGGGTTTGGGTTTTAGGGTTTAGGATTGAGGGTTTAGATTGTCTAGGGCGAAAATTTCTAGAGTCTACAGTGTCTACAGTTTAGGGTCGGAATTAGGGTCTTGTCTTGGAAAGCTTATGATGGTGCGGGCCCTTGATTCTCTCTAGTGCCCCAACAAGGAGCATACTTGAATTTTTGGAAGGACCCTATTCTGCACCTGGAAGGGTACCCAAATACTAGAACCTCCCGGCAGGAAGGTATCCCCTCAGGGACCAGGTCCTCGTCAAGGTTGCACTATTCAAGGTTCGCATGAAAACCTGAACCAAACAGAACCTCAAACCCAACACCCTGAACTTGGCTGACTTCTGAACCCCTCCTAAAAGCTTAACTTTTCGGCTCCTTATAGTACTTTCGATAAAAGCCCAAAAGGTTAAAGTCCTAAAGTCCTAAGAGCCAGGCAGAAGAAAGCCAAGTAAACGCCCAAAGCCCCAAAAACCTCCCCTCGAGCCGAGCATCTCAATGACCGAAAGGGCCAGCTGCCTGGAGAGAACCGAGCAGCGACTGAGCTGAAAGCGAGCCTTTCAGGAGGCAAAGGGGGGGCCTTCCGAAGATGGCTTGGGGCGGCGGTATGGCGCAGAATCTGAGGAGTTAGCAAACTAACTTACACCATCTCCCACGCCTACTCAGGCGGCAAACCGATGCTCTAGAACCCAGGTAAGCGAAGCATTTCTCACTGCTACAAAAGCAAAAACAACCCTAGACGGGTTTCCAAGGATGTCATGTGTAGGGGCGCCCAGGGACTTTGAGGGGGCGGGAGGGTTTCAGCAATGCAGGGCCTTGCAAGGAGCCTCCAGCGGTTCGGCCTGATTCCAATTTCGGAGTTTCGGCGCGTTCTTTTTTGGAGCTGCGGGAGCCCCCGCCTCCAGCCCCCCAAAAACCAGCAACATCCAGGATCAAGATCTGGAAATTTAGGGGAGTTACTTCATATTCATCCTGAAACCCCCTCAACCTCGAGCTGCTTCACTGGTTCTGGCCTTCTTGTAGCTGGAGGAGCTCGAGTCGCTGTCAGAGGCATCTTGACCTCGGCTCGGGCCCCCCGGGGCTTCGGGTTAGCTACCTTGGGAGAGGGGTTAGAAGGTAGGTAGGGGGTAGGGGGTAGGGGGTTGGGGGTAGGGGGTAGGGGGAGAGGGTTGGGTAGGGGGGTAGGGGGCCTTTCTTTCTGACGAGGCTCCGCCGATGAACAAAAACTGAGAGGAGATGTCCTTCTCGAGCTTCTCGTCCGGGTCGCCAAACTTGCCATCTCCGATCTTTGAAGCCTTCCTGTGCTCCCAGCACAACGGCTTTTCCCAACGGTAGACTGATACGCCAATGACCCAAGTGACCCTGTTTCGGCACCCCTGCAAACCCCAAGCTTTCGGCAGCGCTGTTCCTTCTAGCCGATCCTGGAAAGCCACGGCTTAGGGCTCAGGGTTTCAGGTTTGGGATTTGAGGGGTTTAGCCGTAGGATTTATACAATGCCTATCCAGCTGAGAATCCTCGAGAGGAGGCAGTACCGCCCGAGGCGGAGTGATGGCAACTTGTCCAGGATGAGGAAGCCCTGAGAAACTTAGGGCAGAGAGCTGAAAACTTCAACCACAGAGGGGGGGGGGGGGGGCAACCTCTCTCCTGTCTCGCGTAGCATCCATGAAGATGCTCGACGTTGTTGAAACAAAGTTATTTGAACAAACTTCCCCCGCCAGTCCTGGCCTTGGGAATGATGAAGAGCGCCAAAACCGTGAAAAGCAACGCCGAGAACCCAAGCAGCGGCAGGATGTTCAGCTGAAGCCTGCTCGAGCAGGAGCACCGAACATTCCGACACTTCCTGCACGCCTGCACGATGCACGGATCCCAAGTCCCAAGCCCCCAATCGTTCGACGCCAAGACCGTCGAGAACAGATTGATCAGCAGAATGCCAGGTCCTGGCAGGCCCGACAAGAACGAAGCTTCTTGCACCTAGGAGAGACAACCATACTCTCTCCACATATCAACATATGTTATACACATATTTTTATTGGTGTTTAAATTCATATTTATACTAGTAGCCACGCTTTTTGTTTGACTTCATATAACATATTGCATTATCTTATGTTGGAACACATTTTCTTTTCATTCAACATTGTATATTGTCTTATAATATTGTCTTATAGTATTTCAAAACATACTTCATGCTATACCATGCAGTACTAGACTATACTTCACTCCTCTTTCCTTTCTTCTATACTGTACTCTATGTGATATTGCATTGTATGTTACGTTGCCTTCGAAAGATATACGCCGCACATGTTACTTACGCAACCTACTTTAGATACCCTAAACAGGCAATGTGGTTCATACAATTTCATACACGTATACAGGTATGATACTGTCGTTTGTTCTGTAACATTCTTACTTTCCGCAGAGTGTTGCAGGGAAAGCTCGGCCTGCGTGGAACAGGCGGAAGCCCGTGTGCGACAGGTACTCCGCAGAGGTGGCGCACGGAACATCGCGCCAGCGCACGTACTTCCTTGCAGGAAGATATACGGTACTCTATGGGGGTTTACGAAAATAAGGCACCCCCAAGAAAGACCCCAAAGAGGAGGATTCCCTCATAGTAAGGGCCCAATAAGATACCCCTAACTTCGGAAACCCCCACCGGGTTTTTGATGCCTGATTTCGGATCAGCAATCTTTGTTGGCAGCGCTTGGAGAGCTGACTCAGCACCACTTGCAGGCAGGCCTTCTGAACATGCCAAAGACTGCACCCGAAAAATCTGAAGGCGCAGAGAGCCACGCCATCCCACGACCCAAGCGAACTCATTGCGGGGCTTATGCTTTCTGATTGGCCACGAGACTTCTTTGGCAGCTCCCACTTCGTGGCCAGGGAGTGGATGGCGGCGAGCACCTTCCAAACATCACGAGTCCCACAACGCCCCACACGCACGCAGCAACGACGTGATCTGTGCCTATTCCCTCAGGTCTTGGCTGCCAACCAAACTTGCTATCCCAAGAGTGGCCATCCATGAGGTGTGTGTGTGTGTGTGCCCAAGAAAGTCTCCCCATGCCTTCACCATGGGTGTGTAGATGCCACTGGCATGGTAGCAGCAGTTGCGCACCTGACCAAACACACAAGCGGGCTGGAGAAATTGTCCAAGTTGGTGAATGCATCTCCACCCACAGAACCGAGAGCCTGCGGTTCTAAGCTCATACTTCCATGTTTGCTGAACTCGCCCGGGCCTCCCCAAGCATCCACCTCGTGGACTGCGACATGGCGGAGATCGGGTTCCTGAACCAAACCCTCTTACAAGGAAAGTTCTGCTAAAGATGCTTGCATCTGCTCTGACGTCAGCACTACCACAGCCGCTCCTCGCGACATCCTCGTAGAGCGTGACATCCACATCGATAGCAGGCTGCAACAACTTCGCCTCGCGATTGGAAAAGTGAGGCGATCAAAAGCCCAACTTCCTTCCGAGACTTCTTTCTCTGCCGGTGCCTCAACCGTGTCGTGGCTGAGGATGTCCTGGGCTCAAGAGCGTGGGTGTATGCTTTAAGCCTTTAAGCAAGACTGCCCCCCAGACTCTGAAGTAAAGGCTCGATGGGAAGCGCTTCGATGACGCTGCCTGGTCGGCCGATGAGGCGGGGAATGTAGAGATCATTCCGGATCAAGCCTCGCGCAAGGCCCGCACTCTTCCGTGCCTTCCCCTTCTAACTTCTCATGGCAGATTCCCGGACGATTTCAACCCAAACTGTTGCCATTGCCAACAGCCGTGCACATCCGTAAGCCCTGCAAGCCAAGACAGTGCACGACAGTGCATAGAAGGCCTTTGCCATAGAAGCCCACCCGGTTAAAGATCCAGAACTGGCCACGCTGCAAGTTCACCGTGGAGACCTGGTCACAGAAGCTCAGGTGTCCGGTCCTCTAAAAATTTGCGGTCCCCTTGCTTTGGAGGAGGGCATCCTTTACACAAAGGTCTCCGGTGATGATGGTACCTCCCCCCCAACCTACTTTCAGAGAACCTCCCCAAGGAATCTGTGGAGCTGGAGGCCACCAGTTCCAGGCCTCCATAAGGGCATTCCTCCACATGTGCCAAGTGCAGCTGTCGTCCGCAGAGTAGTCGTTTGCAAGGTTGGCGTTGATGATGCCGTACGACCTGAAAGGAAGAGAGACGCCCTCAGTCCCTTCTTCAGGTTCTCTTTTTCTCCGTTCCTATTCAAGGTCCCTTCTTGTGGCCGGGCTGCTTGTTTCGCCCGTGCTCCGCCGTCTCCACAAGGCGCCGGATGCTTCGGGGGGGGCAGATCGTGTCAGAATCCAGGACCATGGTGTAGTAGTATCCTCGAGCTTGCTTCACAATCTGGGAGGTGGGGGTGCTGGCTCTCAAAAAGGTACCCAAAATGGGGAGGACCCTGACTAGAACAACCCTCAACTACGGATGGTCGCCGGTACTTACTTTGAGCAAGGCTGGCTCACAGCCGTGCCACAGGGTGACAAGGAGCAAAATAACCCCTCGAGCCTTTGAAACCCCTAATCCCTGCGGTAGAAACGAGCCGGGCTTCGGTTCTCAGCATCCCTGCCATACTCCGCCACAAGCATGATGTCCTGCAAGGTCCATCTGGAAACACTTCAAACTTCAAGCCTTGAAGGCAGCAAGGAGCGATGCTTGCTCGTGACTGCCCACCCTGCTCCAACCCTTGCTTCTGTTTCGATTCCACACAAATGAAAAAGTCTGCGTCTAGAACTGTCCATAGAAACACGTAGAAACTGCGTGTCGCGTGTCCTCGCGGCCTCGAATCTTCAAGTCCTGGCCAAGGGAAAGCGGCGAGAAACGCTTAAAAAGGCTTCAAGAGCGGCAGCACCGCACATGGAGCATTCCAGGTTTCCCCCTCTCCATCCTCGCAGGCTGCATCGAACTCTTCAGGCTGGCCATCGTTCCTCGGTGGCTCTTACGATTACCCCGAAGGTGCCGCTTTAGAAACCCCCACCATCTCCAAACAACCCGCATCATGAACCCTGCATGAAGCCTGCTTCAAGCTTAGATGCTCCATGTTCGACTCGAAGCCAAAGCAAGGACTTCGGAACTTCCGACCCAGGGAGCCATAGTCCTCATGGAGGTACGTATAAGCCTGCAGGGGGTCCAATAATGAGCTCCTGCTCTGAAATCCTGAAAACCCTAACCGCAATAACCGCCCCGCTTTCCGACAAGCCGGCCTCGTTGCTCCCCGTGGAAGCCAAAACCATGAGATCCTGGTACTGGCCAGGCTTCTTCAGGATCTTGCAGTTCCTGCACACATCGAGCCCAGAAGCAACCTATAAACCTTAAACATCGTTAAACCCATACAAGGCAGCATCGACGCATTTGTGTGTACAGATGTGTATATATGTATGCCTAGATATATCCATAAGTATAAACACCTATATGTGTGTTTCTAATGATATTCGTTTCGTTCTTTGTGCTTGTTTTCTTGTTTGTTATGTACACGCACTCACACCCTGCACTATACATGTGACCATGGCGCCTCTTCTATGGCCGGTGTCCTTGTGTTACATCAAGCAACCACTCGATATCCCTTCCGAGCCCTCCCGCAACCTAAGCAAGGTTTTCTCCCACATGTTGCGCCCAAGTCCTGTGCAGGTACAGGAAGTGCCGCGCGGCATCCTCCACGCGGAGGTGCAGGTTCTCTTCCAAGGTTGCCGCGCAGCCGCGTGCGCTGGCCCAGTCGGACTCCAGGCCTCAGGATCTGCTGGTGGCTGAAGTCTTCTTGCGAGGGTTTGGCGTTAAGTGCTTTGGGTGGTTTCCGGAATCCCCTAGACCCGAAGATGCATGTTTCGGGGGGCCTAGGGCGGGTTCTAGCTTCTTGCGTGCTGGCGAAGAGCACTGAAGCCAGTACTCGGCTCGGTGGCAGGAGGCCTCTCAAAAATAGTGTTCTGGGTTGATATTTGAGTGGTCCTTGGGGTGAAGGGGCTTAGGGGTTTGCATGGTACTTTCATAGGTCAAACTGCTGCCATGCCCAATTTCGGAGGGCCCTCAAAAACTAAACACGGTGATGCAAACAGTTCGGGGGTTTGCACGATGGGTGAACCACAACCCGGAGCATTCCACATTGCAGGACCGATGAAGAAGTCCCACCCCTTAAGCCCTGGGCCACAAAACTCTTACCCGCAAGCCTAAAAACGTGATTCACTCCAAGCCCTAAAAACCCTAGAGCCCAAAAACCCTCAAACCCTAAACCGTCCCCTTCTCTCTTTCTGACCCGGCCCTCCAGACCTGGCCTTGCCCACAGTCTCCAGAGCACTGCACACGCTGCGCATTCGGGCAGCTGGCTCAGTACTCTGTTCGAAGGCCTCTGTGCTTCCACAATGCTTTGAGGCTGGGGCTTTAGAGGGGCTTTAGAGGGGCTTTTGGGGGCTTTAGAGGGGCTTTGGAGGGGCTTTGGAGGGGCTTTCGAGGGGCTTTCGAGGGGCTTGGGGCTGTGGAGGGGCTTAGGGCTTGCACATGGGCTTAGAGGTTTGGGCAGGAGATTCGGGATCAAAGGTGTGGACGGTACCTTGCTGTTGGTCTGGGCGTCGGAGCGGGCCTCACACTGCCTGCCTAAACGAATCGAAAGCAAATCCTGAAACCCCGAATCCTCAAACCCTGAAACCTGACCCCCGAAACTACCCGATCTAAATCGAATTCTTAGAATAAGCACCTGCAACCCTAAAACCCTCAATCCCAAAACCGCTAAATCAACAGCGGTACAACCTTGAACTCTCCTCCCAATACCTGGTAGGCCTTCGGAAAGGCCTGGAGCAGCGCCGACACCTCCGACGTCAGGGTCCTGTTCTCGGGGGGCCGTTGTAGGGTGTAGGGTTGGGGCTTAGGGTGGAGCCACATCCAATTACATGCAGCCGCTTCCAGTGCCAATAACAGGGCAAGAGGAGCAGCATGCTAGGACAAAGGCTCTCAAAACTTTGCGGCCAGGAAGCTTCGTGATCTCCTCTCGGCACTTGTCTCGGCAGTTCATCTCCTGAAGCACCCGGGGTTCAGGCGGGTTCAGGCCCCTTCTCGCTTGGCCGCGCCGTGCCCGCTCACGCACCATACCCACGCCCAGGCTCACAGCGCACCACCGACAGCGCGGAGGACACAGAGACCACAGCAGTGGTGATGCGGGACTCGGGGTCCTCGGGGGCAAAGCCGCCTCTTAACTCCGCTCACTCGGCGTTCACTTGCGCTCCCAAAGCTACAACAGCTCTTGCCCGGTCCAAGTTGGCCAGGTGGGCAGCCAGCGCGGTGCGGAAAGTCTCTTCCGAGGATTCCTGGTGAAGGCTTGCAGGGAAGCAGATGCATGTGCTGCATGCGCAGAATACATGTATGTAACACATATACATATGTGAACGTAAGCTTTCCGCAGCTCTTCATTGCTGATCGTCTGTTTACCGCTGTTCTTCTCACATCTGAGAGTTGAAATTGATTGCCCCGCCCGAAGGACACTGGAGCGAGTCTTCAAACCCTTCCAGAAGCCCTTTGTGACGCCAAAGGACTGCTCGAGATGCCCGAGCATTTCTAAACAAACAACGCTGCCTCTTGGCGCGAGAGCAGGCAGTACGACAGGATGGTGCGGCCAGTCTTCGGCAAGCCTGCAGGGACAAAAGATAAGGCTCCACTGTGTCCGAAGGAGGCAAAATGTCGAAACTGCCCGGGCCTTTGCTAAAGTCCTTACGAGGTAGCCGCGGCATGCCAAGAATGAGCCGAATGGCGTGGAACCAGACGGTGGTCAGAAAGAACCTGTAGAGAAGTCCAGGCTGGCTGGAGTGAGATGGACATGGAGCTGCGTGCTTGTTCTCACTGGGACAGGGCTTTCTGTTTACCGACTACTGGAGCTGATTCCTCGTTTGTCTGAACGAACTGCTTCCCCAGAATTCCGATGATGCTGCGTCCGGGATGCTCGATGATGCTCCACAGACAGAACGCATTTGCCACCACATAGACCAACCCGATGAAAAAGTTCGTCTCGGTGCCATCTGCCTGCCACCCACCATGTTGAGACCCCAGCCCGAAAACTTCGAGAGGATTTCTGGCCGGGCCCGAATTCGCAGGTGTGACTTCTGCAGCCGAGGTGCCCAGTACACGAAGAACGTGAAGGCATAGGTTGCCGTGCACGACAACCTGAGGAGAGCAAGCGAAGAGCCGAAGCGGCGGAGCGTGCTCCTCAATGCCCTCAAACCTTCTCCTCCACATGGGGGGGGGGGGTTTACGAAAATAAGGTACCCTTAGCGTAGTCCCCCAAATAGTAGGATTCCCTTATCAGAAGGACCCCAAGAAGGGTGCCCCTATTTTCGGAAACCCCCATATTATGAGACTGTGCAACTCTGGCATCTCCGCAGATTGCCAGGGCGCAGCACCACGAAGAAGAGGAAGATCCAGGTGGAGCAGGGCGTGGCCAAGTTGGAGGCCCAAGTGTTCTTTGGGTCCCTCCTTGGTGGCGCAGATCTTGGGGGAAGAGCGCTGGGAAGAGCGGATCCAGCAAGTCTTGTGGCTCTGAGTGTGGCCCTGTGCAGACCAGCCACATCCAGAAGCACTTTGGATCGTCAACTTCCTGCAAGGCATTCATAATCAAGCCAGCAAGACACGCGCAACAGAACCCGTACCCAGCATGACGCCCATTGACTGCATTGACTCTTAAGCTCTTAAGATGATCGCTTTCAACCTATTTCAACACTCCACTCCGGAGAGAGCCGGCAGCTCTCCCAGCCTTCTCATCCTCTTCATCCTCCTTCGGCGGCAGTCCGTCTTCCAAGCCTTTGCGGAAAGCAAGAAGTGGCTCTTCGGGGTTTGCTTCTGGCTGTTTTGAGTGACTTAGGTGACTTCAACTGGCTGCTCTCAAGCCAAGCTGCTGGATGCCACCGGGTTGCCCTCGCTCGGGTGCCTTGGCGCTACAGCACACATGCCGATGATCTTCTGTACCCTGATATCGATACTCATGTGTAGCCAAGCGTTGGTGTTTGTAAAAAATAATGTTGAAGTTTATATATCTATATATACATCATGAATCCGGATACCCACCGCACCCCCAAAGCATGAATGGCTTGCAGATTCGCTAACGGCCAGGCGACCGGAACTTCTTGGGCTCGAAAGGCTTGTGTGGACGTGCGAGGCCAACGAAGCTGGCCACAAAGTACCTTCGTGGTCTACTTGGGGTTCCTAATCTGATTCTGGCACTTCAGGACCAAAAAGCAGACTTATCGTTTGGACGTCTTCGTTGGATCAGCTCGGGAGTTGTCGGCACTTGCTGGCAGGTGCCGACCGCCGCATCGCTCTTGCATAATTAATCTGCAAGCACAGTTGCTGCGTGATGAGGCTCACGATGACCAGAACCCAGAAGGTGTAGAAGAAGATCTGGCAGGAAGAGCGGGCCGTGCACCACTGGACACCTCAGCTTCTCGTATCGGACCTTCGACTCAGCATTAGCAAAATGGCTCCACTCTTATGCCCTTGCTTATCCGGGGCCGGAAGATGAGCGCAGCAGTGCCCCGAACAAGGGAGTGGTCCCCCGAAACCTGCCATGCCAAGACATCTGCCAAGAGGCGATTCTGAACCAAAAGCCCATAGACCAGCGCGCCATTGATCCCATCCTGTTCGCAAAACACTCTTCCACCGTACTGGCTTTTTAGGACACGGATGGCGAAAAAGCGGAGCCTGAGCACTGCAATCGTAGTCAGAACCTGAATCCGGGTTCCGGGTCCTCCGTCCACACGAAGTAGATGGCTTGCACGGTCACATGGGCCCCAGCGGCAGCACCAGAAACGCCAGCCAGGAAGTGGCTGAGCTGCCGCGGCCATCGCACGCCTGGGACGAACTCGGAGCAGCAGAGGGGATGCTGCTGTCAAGAGTGTCAAACCGCAGAACAGAGCCTACCATGCGATCATGGCACATGCGTGGCCCAAAAACATCCCCAAGCACAGGAGGTAGATCGCGATGACACAGTCGTTGCCCCCTGTCAAACTGTTCCAGATTCCTTCCCAGTGGTCTTCCTTGTGCCATGGCGGGGAGTAGTTGTCAACTGACACAACCCACCAAGTGTAGATGGAGTAGACTCCCCACAGCTGCAGCACCAGCACGCCTCAAGCGCAAGGGCGCAGAACAGCGAAACAGCTTGGACGTCCCAGACCAGCCCGCAAGTCACATTGCATTCCCTGCCAAGCGACCAACAGGTTCCGAGAGGGCGCAGAAGAAGGCACCGGACACCCCGGTTCCGATGCAAAGGCCGATGGCGCTCTGGCTCACGTGGCCGAATGGATTGGCCTTAGCTGCCCCTTCAGGATGCACCGTCGCGCCTTCAGGCGCTGTCAGCCTTTCCAGCCTTTCCACCCCAGAGAGTTGCCAGAGCCTCCAAGAAAACCCTTCCCTCTAGCATCAACAAGCTGGACCCTTCAGACCCTGCACAGATGAGACGGTCGCGACTCCCAATGTCCCCTGAGACCGGGAAACCGGGTCCGCGAGGTTTGGCTGCTGCAGCAGCACCTGCAAGGGCTTCCGCGCGTCAACGCTTACAAAAAAGCTCTGCTCTCCATGTTGAGTCCGGCCTGAGTGGTGGCCTGGCTAAGCGCGACAAAGCCAGCGAAGAGCCGAATCCAAAAACTTAAGGACCTCAGAGTGCACATGAGTGCACGGTGCACTTTGGTGTAGCCGCTGCAAAAGCGGCGAGAACCCGCTGGGTAGGCTGGGGGCGCCCCAAGGAAAGGGGGACAAGCTTCCACAACACAAAGTGCTGAGTTGAAAACAGGCCTGTGCCGTTGGCCTCCTGCCCTTTCTGGGTGCAAGCTGGTGGCCAAGAGTACGTCATGAGGTATGGTCCAAGGACCAGGTAGCTCCAGAAGAACTGCTCCCACTGAAACAGCATGGCGACAAAGGCGAGGCGATGTAGGCAGCAGCCCTGGTTCTCAGCCTACATCCACTGAGGGCCACAGTTGCTGCGGAGCAAACGCCTTTGTCAGGGGCCAGCTTAGTCAGATCTCTGGAGCAAGACAGCGCAGCGCAATGAGGGACAAGCAAACCGCGAGTAAACCCCTCAAAGCCCTACACAACGCCTCCAAGCCCTGCAAAATATCTTACAGCAAAGCCCAGATGTCCCAGACCCTTGGGCAGGCGCCCACGAGCCCCTCAAAAATTCTGGGGGCCTCTCGCCTTTCCTGGCGCTTCTGGTCCGCGTGCATCTTCCGCACCTCAGGGGCTTTAGGGGACTTGCTTCTAGGGGCTTCAGGAATATTCTTTAGAACACTGTTCAACTGAGCTACAAGGTGGGGTCTTGTTGAGTCGGCTGTTGCAGACGTTTGGGAGGTGGCCCCCCTTGCCTCAGGGGATTGGTACTCGAAGACCTGGGAGCACTTCTGCTCGTAGGCCCTGTCTGCGTGTGTCTTGCCATCCTCGGCTCTACGCTCAGTGGGTTTGGGGTTTGGGTTTGGGGTTTAGGGTTTGGGGTTTAGGGTTTACAGGGGAAGCCGGAAATAGGGCAGGTTCTCATGTGTGGAATTTTAGAGAAGATGCGTAGCTGGTTCCACCCAACCCAGTGAAAGCCCGAAGGAGCCCTGCGCCGGGTGGCTTTGTGCTTTGGCGACACTGGCTTCTCCGGGTGGCTGTGCCAGACGAAGTCTGCGATCAAGGCATGTTGTTTTTATCTGTTTCCTGGATCGGGCTCAGACACATCAGACGACAGCTGCCCTGCAACAACCCGAATCGCGCGAACATCCTCCCCCACTCTGCCGCACCGTTGGGCATCAGCCGGTTCCCACGGTCATGGACCGTCTCGGCACTCACCTCCGGAGCGGACCGGCCTGGGCAGAGGGCAGGCAAAAGAATACGACACCCGGATGCGTACGGTCACACCTTTGGGAGGACAGTTGCTTCTGCCCGCACTAGGTATCCGAGGTGTGCTAGTGAAACAGATCGCCCCAAGCCGGTGCGGATCAATTATCCTGAACAGGAGTTCAGAGAGTTTGACAAAACTAAGCATCGGATTGCAACGGATCGTCAGAGTATTGAAAATTGGCCGACAAATTATGACATGGTGTACTATAAACTAAATATTATGGCGTTCCACCAATGCTCGTATGGCGGTGCCTTCATCTGGATTTGTGACATGTAGCACGTGAAGGTTCCTAGAGGCCAAGACCCTGGCCAAACATATTCGATGAGAGATGCATCTGCCGCACCATTGCCGTGTCTACCCGAGACTCGTCGTCTTCGTCCTGCGGGATCTCTCCGCCCACTGGCAGTGCCATAAGCAACTGAAAACATGGTGTGTGTGTGTGTGTGCAGAACCATGTTTCCCCCATACTTGGCCGAGTCATATCCTCGACATAGCCGGCGTTGGGCTTCTGCGCTCTTGCCTCCACTCACCATGATGCGGAGATCGATAAAACTGAATCCTCTAAGAACCTATGGAACCTGAGCTCTACAGAGAGAGAGAGAGAGAGAGAGAAAGAGAGAGGCGGAGCCACATCTGGAGACCACTGATGACCGTGGGTCTCTACCACACGACAGGCAAGCTTCGTCTCAGTGTGTCGCTGCGTGATCTGCATGTGTCTGCCTCAGGTACGGGAGCCGGGTAGTTGCTGGCAGGCAGGACCTGGGAACCTGCCATGTGCCGAAGTCGCACATGATTGGCAGATGTAAAGTCTTTAAGCCCAAGTGCCAGGCTGCACTTGCTCTCTGAGTTTCTCTCAGCTGTAGCTCTGCAACACACGCCGGCTAGGCAAAGGAACTGCTGCTTCCGCCGGCGGGCCGACATGTTGTCCTGCCAAGACAAGAAGGCCATTGCCATCAGCCCCCTAAATCAGCCCCTCAATATCCTCCTTGGGAACAAAGGTCTTCGGCATGGCTCTGAGGTCCTGAGCAGAAGGGCAGCTCCGAACTGAGCTCTGTGAGGCTTTGGGAGTTTCGGAGAGGCCGGGTCACTTCATGGAGCTTAGGGTCTTTGGGTTCATAGGTCCCCAAATCATAAGCATCCCACATCAATGCTGATCTCTCACGCGTCCTTCTCGTCATAATTCCCGAAGAGCTCTCCCGTCGTCTGATCCCGGCGTTTGCCTGCGGCACAGCATCGAGGCATTTCTTCCACGGATGTTTCACGAAACCCCCGGCCTGCTGGCACGAAGCCCGAGGCGCTTTGCGACGAAGGTGGCTCGAAGATTGATGAAGTGAAGGCGGCATTGTAGCGCGACCTGCCGGGTAGCGGAGAAACAGCCGAAGAGATGGGGAGCATCCCCACACGACCACCAAGGCTACGTCTGATGCCGACCACCTCGCCTCGCTAAGTTTGGAGATTGCTGCGTCATCGCCATGCCCCTGCAGACTTGGAGTGCGGCGATTCTTGAATTGCAGCACTTCCCCACACCCACCCGCCCTCGGCCGCTCGATCTCTCCGTGTCTCTCCCTGGTGCAAGCTTGGCCTCTGCCGTGAGCACGGCAGTGAATTTTTGATTTACAGAACTCTGCGCCCGAGCCGAAGAGAGGAGCGCGCGGTGTTCCATGATCCGCCGCGTGTGGTGGCACATGGAGGCTGCAGTGCTTTATATTGGTTTACAGGAACATGCATGAACATCGATCTGGCCAGTTGCTACATGAAATTGTCTGGGATGGAGGCATTGAAGTTGCCGCGGCGAGGTGTGGTGGAGACACGCAGTTGATTTTCCCGCTCGGAGCTGGAGACGAGACGTAAGCGAGGTAAGCAGCCCCTCAGACGTTGTCGGAGCTAGCCAAGGGATCGTAGGGCTCTTCGGGCTCCGGGGGGCCCCAGATGTACTCCAGGAGCTGGTCATCACGCGGCTTGAAGGCCTCGGGCGGGTACTCCGTGAAGCCACTCTTCTCGGCGATGTCCGATAGGTCCCGGCCTCCCAGGTACCTCAGAGGAGACTGCTACCGCCCGCGGCAGGAGGGCACCATTTAGGAGGGCAACTTCAACCCCTATCATATGTACTATCACCTTGAAGCATCTTTCAATTGGCGAGGCGCTTCTTGCCATTGATGATCCTGACATCAGATTCAACTCGTCAGGCTCTCTTGGAATGTCTCGGAATGTGTCCGACAGGTCTAGGCTTCTGAACAACAAGCAGCCACCGAGCAGTCGAGTGTCCAGGTGGGGTAGCTCTCAATGTCTGCGTCACGGCAAACCGGAAGCTGCTGCCTGCTCTTGGAAGAGCACTCGACGAACGGCGCCACCTGCGAGAGCATACTCGGACCTCTCTCCAGTCTCTGAACTCTAAAACCGTTTCCGGGTGGCCTCCACTGCTTGTTTGCCAAAGCTCTCACGCTGCTCTTGGCAATGGGGACACCACCAGGTCCTGGGTACAACTTGCAATATCTCCAAGCAAATTCATACCCTTTAATGAGCAGCGAGCACGGGTCGACTACCTGGGCCCCGCTCGAGTAGCAGGCTGCTCCGATCTTCTGGAGATGTCTCGCCAAGGCCATCTCGGCCTCTCAACTGCCAAGAGGAATCCTATCCGCTCGCACCTTGCTAGCACGTTGCTAGAACCATGCAAGTGCCTTGCTAGTGCATGTATTGCATGCTTGTTGCTGTGAATGTGTGTAGTGGCATGCAGTGCGCTCTCAATGCACCCTCCCGTGCAAGGAGCCTTGGAGGAATCGCTAAGGACCGGCGGGTGGTTCGGCTTGTACCGCTCCACAAGCCTTGCTTTGAAACTGACGAGGTATGACAAGGCAGCTCAAAGGCAGCAAATCATGACAGATCACTGGAGCATCAAAAGAATCCAGGATCCTCTTGAGCCGTGCAGCGTGAAGTAGGCCCAGGCGCTCTGCAGCCGCCGAGAGGGCATGGTGCCCCCGCGCAGGGCGCCCAGTGCGAGCAGCCCGGAAAGGCCGAGCACCGCGCGCCGGGGCTCGGCCTCCACGGAGACCACCGAGGCCTCGGCCACGGCCGAGCTCGAGGAGTTCGAGGAGTTCGAGGAGTTCGGGGTCGGCTCCACGGCAACGAATCCCAACATACTGGCCCAGTCGTTGGTCGGAACGACGGTGGCCCCACCTGCGGCTCCACGCATCTCCCGTGCAGCGTCCCGGGCCCTCTGGGTCTCCACCAAGGTGAGGAGCATGGCGGAGATGAAGGCGGAGGCCGCGCAATACGGGCAAGGTGCTTGTAGGACAAAGATGAGAATGCCAGTGAGGCCCAGGGATGAGAGGGCCATTGTCAAGCAGAGCCAGAACAGAAGATCCTTGTTCTGGGGCGAGACGCTCAAGGCCGCCACGGCTAAATACGCCACTAAGCCCAAGGCGGACAATGGCAGAGGGCCAATGGAGGCAAAGCTGGAATTCAGCACCTTCAGGCACAAAATGTGTTGTCAGAAGCGCAAACAAAACACATGAAGGTCCCTTTAGAAGCGCAGTGCTGATGACTTGTTTTTCGAGCTAGAAGCACACTAGACGCATCGCTTCCCGTCTCCCTGTGCACCTCAGTGCATCCTCCTTCCACAGGGCACGCCAAAGGCACTTGCGTCACCTTGGAGTAGGTCAGGTACGCGCAGTCCACGGCGCCAAGCCCCGCGACGGCTCCCACAGGCCATAGCGCTTGCATCGGCGCTCCAGGGAAGAAAACTGGAGGCCCCACAAGCCTCTGAAAAAGACACAAAGAATCCGAGGCAGGGGGGTCCCCACAAAGGAGTCCGGGCCCCTTCGGAGCTCTCGGCCCGGACAGGAAAACCGTTTCGGCCCTGGCGGCAAGATGCATATGTGCATGCCCATGTCTGCCCTTGCATGCCCCGACATGCCCAGTTCGCCCCACCGTCCTCCATCTGCTGCAAACTCTCGCTCATTTTTGTACCCGCGGTTGTGCGGTCTTGGCCAGAAGGCCGTGTTCCATCACAGACGAAAGGAGGCCTCCGTACCTATTCCAACCTCACTTCTAAACTTGCTGTTGCTGCTGCTGTTGCCGCTGCTGCATTATGCTGCATTCGCGGATATGTCACGGCCTCACAGCCCTTGCCTGATCTTACGGGGAATGACAGTTCTACGGTCACCCATCTGAACTGTGGAGGTTGTTAAAGGGTGGAGGCCTTCCGACAGCCGATGCTGCAATCTCTTGCGCAGTTGGCCATTCCATCGTTCTCTGTGTGTTAGTACATGGGAGCCAAAGCTTGGGAATTCTTCCCCTCCGTATCGCTTAGCAGGCTGAGGGTCTCATCCGGGGAAGAATGCCCGAAGAGGAGCATCGAGCTCCAAGTTCTCTGCATTTTCACAAGACGGGATCCTTCGCTGAGTGGGGGGGGCGCAGCTTCGTAAAAAAAAAGCGGCTAGCTGGGCTTGCGGCGCCGGGGTGTGTTTTGTGTGTCAAGGCCTTCCCCCCTGTCTTCCAAGTCCTGCACAATCTCACTTTGGTCACTGCCGATGCAGCCTGCAGCCTGCATCAGCTTCACTCCGAAGTCACCACGCAGTGTGGTGCCTTCCAACCTCAGTATGACTCAGGTGCTTGGCTCAATGGCAAGAGGAAGTACTTGACGCAAGCACAGCTTTCGTGACTGCAATGGCAATTAGGTGCTTGCCGTTGCGCCTTCTTTCGGCCGGCGAATCAAGAATTGGCGTCTTAGGGCGGTGGCCATTGCGTCTAGAAGAAAATGGAAGCTCCAGCTCCCTCTTCCTGACAGCCAGGGTCGTCTCCTTCTCTTAGAGACATGAAAGCTCTGGATCATTCGGATTGGCTTGGGAATTCCAGTGAGCCGGCAACAGAGTCCACTTGGCTTCCAGTTCCAGGCCTTGCAGATCTTCTCGAAATACTCGTAGATGATCGTCACCGCCTTGGCCACAAAAAACTAGAGGAAGCGGAGGAAACACAGACGCCTTCCAGCAGCAACTCCGACAAGAAAGGGGAGGCCACTAAGGTCTGTTCCAGCAAAATCCCGGTGCCGCTACCTCACAGACGAGGGCAAAACATCATGCGTGCCAAAGGTGCATGAAAGCGCTCATCCTGGCCCTCACCTTTTGGGGCCATGGCCGATCGCACCTAGGAAGTCGGCGACGATCGTGAGCGCGCCAATGCAGGCGCCGCCAAAGGCGGCAGCCGTGGGGATGTAGCGGTTGAGCACCTCCGTGATACACACTCATACACACTCATACACACCCACTCTGGTCCCCGCTTTGGTCTACTGTCAGGGCTACTGTCAGGGTCTGTGGTTGAAGGGTCCGCGGTGACACAGGTGATCAGAAAGCGTAGACGGTGATTGCAATGAGCACAGCAGAGCAGAGAACACAGAAGCTGGACAGATCACGATTTCTCGGTTCGACTCACACGACATGTCACGGAACACACGCGGAACACACGCGGAACACACACGGAACACACCTTCGCATCACCCTTGGCCCCTCAGCTCCAGGCCTTGGGCAGATCGGAGTCTCGGTAGCCTCACGAGCTGGGAAGTTCTTTCCCTGCGTTTTCCTTCGAACGCGGAGAGAAATTTGAGAGGCTTCTACTCCGGCCTGGCATCATGAGCTGCTGTTCCCGCAGCTGCCTCGCCACGTCGCGTGCGGAGGAGCCCGAGACGTCGATCCAGGCCTCAGATATTGCGAGCGCCCAGGCGCAGAAGGACCTTGAGGCGAGCAACAGGGCTGCCTTGGAGAAGAGCGCGCAGGACACCAGGATGAAGACGACCTGGAAGGTCAAGAAGCAAGACCACTCCCAGCACCTCTACATCCTCTACTCCGCAGCACGTTGCTGGGAGGCCAGGATCCCGCACGTAGAAGAGGGCATGGATGGGATCCTCCCATACTTCCCCAAAGGAGTGCGGCGGTGAGATGTAGTACCTGGGCAGCTCGTGCTTGTGTGGAGCAACTCTGCCTGTTTGGCAGAAGGCTCTGCTTAGCAAAAACTTCTCACTCCTGGGACTCCATGAGACTTCATGAGACTTCTGATTCTTGCGGCCATGCAGCACGAGGCCACCGACGGGGATCGACTGGCCGGTGATCTCGGTCTCCTCTTGCGAGAAGGAGAACAAAGGCCCCTTCATATGCCCTTTTCAGAAGGAAGGAAGGACTCTCTTTCAAAGCTTCTTCTGAACAGGCTTCAGTCCTGCCATTGACCGATCATGTTAACGAACATGTTCGCCTGACAAAATCCAGCATCAACTGAAGATGAAGTGCGCAATCCTTTGTAATTCTGCACTTTGCTTCAGAGTCGTGCTTCAGTCACAGCTGGCATCTTACTTGTCAAAACAAGCCTCTACTACTACATACTACGACTCTACCGTAGGAATCAGGGAAGTTTACATCTACTTCAGCCCTCGCAGGATCCTATTTGGGACGTCGCAGCTGGCCTTGAAGCGCTTGTAAAGCAACCTGGGCACGGGATGCTTAAGCATCTCAAAGAGAAGTCGCCTCAAGATCTGTCCAACAGCTGACGATCCCCCATGTGTTCCACGACACACGGGCACATGCACGCGAAGGATACCGACACAATCCAGCAAGCAAACAACAGCGACGGAGGGACTGGGAGAAGAAGTACAGGTTGGAGACCAGCGCCGTCTGCACTGCACTTTTCTTTCCGTGCGACACGGATGCAACACGCAAGGGGCCCAAGGAATGTCAGTGCCTGCAGAATGATCGGGATGTTGGAGGTGTAGAAGAGCTTGATTGGATAGGATCCCGTCATGCCCCGGACCTCGCAATCACTGGCTTTTACAAGGCCACAGCCAACCCCTTGTTGTTCAGATTGAGCTCTGCGACCCTCTGGTTCTTGACCGCGAGGTCCACGCGGAAACCTTGAGCACCACATGCTGCCCAATGCTGCAACTGTCAACCACAAATTCTGCAAGCACACCAGGCCTTGAAAGTAGATCACGAAGAAGAAGACCAGTATCTCGGCACAAGGACAGTCAAGGCTGCTGATCTTGGGCCATGTTGCAGGGAAGGCGGCGCCCTAAACACAAACCAGGAATCATTTGCTGTCGGGCTGCTGTGGCAAAGAGCGATGTAATGTTTGGAGCGGTCTGCCGGTAGAAAGCTTCTTTCAGCGCAGTTATCTTGTCGCTCCTGCCAGAAGGGTTTACAGAGGCAGGTCAGCCTAGAAGCGCATGTCCCCCCTAGGCAGCCCAAGCACATCAAAGCTCCCAAGGTCCTTGAGATCAGCAGGTGGAAGAGTGCAATCACTGCACCCTCAAACTCAGGGCCTTTGCCTGAGAGCAAAAGGACACGGATGACACATTAGGCTCCATCTGTCAGCGCTTGTCAACGGCCTGTGTTCATAGTGGTGGGGCTGAAGGCTTTCCAGCAAATTGTCTCACCTCGGCTCTACAGTTGCGGAAAGATATAGATACATGTGTAAATATATTCATAATGTATTCATATATTCATATATTCACATGTTCAGATATTCACATATTCATGTGTTCATATGTTCATGTGTTCATCTGTTCATCTGTTCCTATGTTCCTATGTTCATGTGTTCATATGTTCATATGTTCATATGTTCATACATAGTTAGAGATCCCCAAAAGGAGCTGACAGTCTGTTCCACCAAGATTCAAATGTTGGTCGCGATGAAGAGGGAGATACCTGCTGCACGGGGAGACACGCCGCTTGCACAAACACCAACAGAAGCGGGGCCCTGCCTGAACCCAAGCCGTAGCCCTTCTGAAGCAGCTCATCCAAAATGAGCACCTCGGAGCTGCGAGCAGGGGAGCAGCACACAGCAGAAACCAAAGCAGAGGCTCTTGAAGAGGCTTCTCTTTCAGCGGAGTCTGCGCCGAGCTGCGATGACCCCGGCGCAGAAGAGCTGCAGGATAATCAGGATGGCATTGCCGGCACCGAGGTCCTTCGGACAGCCGGTGCGGGGAGCAACCGGGCATTCGGCTCTTCTTTCGCAATCACACGGGCCAAGGCTGGGCCTTCACCGGACCATACATGCCGCTGAGGACGTATGCCATGGCTTGCCCAAGGGTGATGACCTCAGACGGACCCCAACTTGCAACACATCATGCTCCCACTATGCTCCTCATCAGCCTCTTTCCCCGGCCTCCTCCTCCTCCTCCCTCCTCCCCTCTCCTCCTCCTCCTCCTCCTTCTTCATCCTTCCTCCTCCTTCCTCCTCCTGGAGCGCGAGACACTCCAGCGGGTGATTGTCCTCGCATGTATCCTGGTGCTGGCACCCTGAAAATCGAAGGGTCGATGCCCCCTCCTCTTGGAATTCTGCACAAGAACGAGTTTCCATGTTGCGTGTCACATGCTTAGTCTTTAGGACCCGAAAAAATCCACTAGACATCCGACACGGAATCTTCAATGGACCTACACAGCCTGCTGGTTTGAAGGTGCAATCTGGAGAGCCACTCCAAACTGTGAACCGGATGCCAAAACTGGGTATCCAGAGTCTCACCTACAGTAGCGCCTTAAACATGGTTTATGGGTGCTACTGGTTTGAACCTGCATTCTTGGCAGGTATCATCACCCATTAAAAAGCAGCCGTCCGAGCCACCGCAACATATATTCTGATTGTTGTAAGCTAAGGCAGGCTGCACCGGCAGCATATCTGTGGAGCCAGGACACCATGCCGAACAGCTTCTGGGCTGCTTGGAAGAGCATTCTATCCTCCTGCGGGTCGGATAGGCAGGATACAGCCGGGCTACACCACGTCACCAAACAAAAAGAGACTTGCCAATCACTCATGGCTCCGACACATAGCCACTTGCAATAAATGATGTCAAGGAAACCTCTTTAGGGGGCCTCTTTAGGGGGATCATGTCTCCCTCAACAACTGCAATGGGGCTTCACGTGGCTTCACCTCACGCCCGGCTGCCCCGTCCTTCACCGATTGGTCCACCTCCAAGAGCTTGGACCCTGCCAGCAGCTGCATCACCATGCCTGGCATGGCTCTTCAGGTCCGCACATCTTCGGGCTTCGGGCTCGAAGTTGAAGAGAAAACGGGGGCATCTTTGCAGCGCCACGGAAGGGACTGTTCTTGCGTGGTGATCCAAGGTCTCGTAGGCCGTGGGCCTGAGGTGACGATCGGGGAGATGCCCAGCTCCATCAGGGTTCCACGGTTCGATGCCAGAATCACCCGCATCCAGTAGAAGGGGTCCTTTGCATGCGTCAAGGCGAACACACTCCTTCCAGTGCCTCTCCTCTTAGTGCTCAGTTCTCCGAGATGTGGGCCCCCTTTGGCACCCTTCTATGGAAAAGGAGAGAGGGGATGATAAATTCCGGAACTGACCTCGTGGTGAATGATGGGATGACCTGATCTGCCAACAAGCAGCGGTGGACTTGTTGGCCGAGATACCATACAGCCTCATGTTCGGGGCGAGTGTGGCATGCAGTTTGCGAAATTGCAACCCACTGACATTCACCACAAGCCTCCTCGAAAGCACCTCGAACAGAAGCCCGATACATGCACCCATACCATTCCAGGAGCCTACTGTAGATGCTACACTTTGGCCCTTACAGTCCATGCATCCTGTGCTGGCTGCAGGCAAGTCACGGAATTTGGCAGCACACCAAGAAGACGAACAGAGAGATACCCGTCCACAAGATCTTCTCACGGAAGGGGATCCTCCAGTCGCCACACAAGCGGCACTTAACTGGACTTCGGCTCGAAGAGCAGCACATACACGGTGTGGGAGCTTCTCTCGAAAGCAGAAAGCCCGCAGTTTTTCGGATGGCTCTACAATCCTGGGCCCTTTCGTGGGGGAGCCAGTCATGACATACACACTTAGGTCATGTCCCCTATGGTCAAGGTTTCAAAGTTAAGAGCCCTAACTTTTTAGGTGAACACAATAATATAAAGTATACCAATACGATATTATGTGGATATATTCATATAGTAGTATAATATCAAGGCATTATTCATTAGAGTAGCATTTTAAGTTAATGTACATCAACATGCGCCTGCGGTCCGGGGTTGCCACTTCCGGCAGGACGCACATGCATGGTCCTGGGCGCGGCAAGGTATGGCACTTTAGGTTTCAGGGTTTAGGGTTTAGGGTTTAGGGCACAGAAAACAAGGCTGCAGAGCTTCAAGATTTCGGGCTTCAGGTGCAGAGTTCAAGGTTCAGGGGCTAAGCACTTCAGGGTTGAGGATGTCAGATGTCAGGAGTCCCCACATGAACAAAGCTGCTTTCAAGGGGCCAACCGCCAAACCTCAGACCCAACTTTTCCCAAAAACCCTAACCCTAAATCGTTCCCTAAGCAATTGAAACCCTGAACCCTGACTGCTGCCACGCGACGCACCAGCTCTATCAGCCGGAATTTGCCCATGGCACCTGCAAGCAGGGAAGCAGCGACCTCCCACCCAGACCATTTGGTTGTCCGAGAATGGGATTGCCCTTTCTGGGGGTCCCTTTAAAGGGAATTCTATTCTGTTCGGGGTATAAAAGGGTAACCCTATTTTGGGAAGCCCAAATTTAAGACCTGCAAGTTAATTTTAGAAGGTGTCGTCGAGCAAAGTTTGCAATGGGATCTGCTGCCCAAGCCCCAAACCGACACACTCTCGGCTTTTCAAGAAATTTGGAGCCAAAGATGCGCCCACCCAAGCAAGCTGCAAAACAGATAGATACAAAATGGTACAACCAGATTGATGGACAGATGTGTTTTTGACCGCTTCCAATCCCAGCAAGTGGCTCTCGAGGGCAAGCGTACGAAACAAGACAGCATCTCAAAAAGAAACAGCTGGATTGATAACATCTGTACTCAGAGAAAAAACCGCGTTGGCACGCCAGCTACACACAGGGCCCCAGCCTCAAACCTTCAGCAACTCACAAGGCCCTTCGAGCACCTCGAGGGTGCGAGAAGGGGCGGTGCACAGCTCAAGGCCAACGTCTCTCAAAACTTGAAGCCAGCAATGGCTGCGGTTGTAGGACCGGGCATATCTCACCTTAAGAGCACCTGCCTAGAGCTGCAGCTGATGCCAGCTCCTAAGCACGTGAGCCGTACCAAGCAGGTTGCTCCTTTTGAGATGCTCCCGCGAAACGATCACCGGCATGCGCCTGACCTGCAGGGCACCCACTGAGCTACTCTCTGCAGTCGCACTAACTGCATCTTGTTGGGCCATGGTGCTGCACAATACTTCGCACAGCTGACTCATTGGTCCACAAGCGACACCCATGCAAGCGAGCCCGTCGTACAGGTGGTCCATGCTGTTAGAGTCTGCAACCCGTAAGCTGACAATCAAAGCGAGTACCCTCTGAAATGGGGACCACCCCCCCCCCCCCCGCCCCCTCTCCCAGCTGGCGCTCAGAGCTCACCGGAGTTCAGGAGCTCGAGAACCGCGGGATCCTCCACGGCGTCCCTGTTGAGGTGCGGCAGGGCGACACCCCAAGACACCAGCTGCTTCCTCACATGGCAAGAGAGAGAGGGCGTCCAGGGTTCAGTTTGTGTGCTTCATAGCTTGACAAAAACAAAAGAAGACCTCTTTACAACTCCAAAACAGAGCCCACCCAGGCCTGCCTAGGGCTGTACCGGCTGTACCCCTTTCTTTCTGCACAGTCGCTTGTCAGGATGACGACGGAACCGAACTACGAACCGGCAAACCGGAAACGCAGGAACCGAACCATGAAAGGACCGAACCGGGAGCGAACCGTACCGGATACGACCCGTAAAAGACCGAACCGGAAAGGGTTCCGTTGCTGAAGCCCGATTCTGAGCCCCCATACTCAGGGTAAGGCATTGGACTCTCAATGCGACTATCTTCAATTCGAATTCGTGCGACTATTATTCCTTTTTCATTGTGGGGTTCTCTCACTCTTGTCCGCCCTCTTCCGGCACAGGGCGCGTCCTATTGGCTGCATCGCAAAATGGGGGGCGCGTTCTTGTTTGCCGGGCCGGCGACTCACTCACTCACTTCCCCTCTGGGTAGGGGTTTCACGCACGTTTACATAAAACCAGCGCAGCAAAAAGACAACACGGCTCGCCAGCAGCGCGCACTTTGTGTGGCTGTGCTGTCGCGGGCCCGGGACTCACTCACTTCCGCCCTCTCGGCTTCACAATCCACCGTGGCCGACTGCAGAGCAAATAAGCGCGGGCAGGGTTTGACATCCACTTGCATAAAACCAGAGGGCGACTGCACAGCAAAAAAAGAAGCAAACAGGGGTTCCTCGAGGTGAAAAGCAATACCACACAAGAGCGGGTGGGGTTGAGGGTCTAGGGTTTCGGGTCTAGGGGTCTAGGGAGTCTAGGGATTAGGGATTCGGGTTTAGGTTTACAAAAAGAACAGCTTGATGGGAGCCGAGGCGCAGGACCTCCACATGGCCTCCTTCGGCAGCGTACTGCGCCACGGAGCGGCCCTGAGCATCCTCGGGCCACACACTTTCTCTTCTCGCCATCGTTCAACAGAGGAAGCTCTACAAACTGCTCCAGCTCTTTCATTATTTCTGTGTAGCAAGCAGTACAGTCACATGTGATCGTATTGAGGTCACATACTTTCGACTCGCGGCCTCTCTTCCGGATTTCGGGGGGGATTGCGTGGCCTTGGCTTCAGGATCCTGGCCGTGCTCGCGCAGCAGCGCCAGTGCTTGAGGGAAGCCCGTGGCCGCAGCCTCCATCAGACTTCACCGCTCATCACATCCATTTCACACCCGTCACTCGTGTCATCTCACGCCTCACGGATTAGTAGCATGTCTCATGTCTCATGTCATTGTGGATAGTGACGGATAGTGTGGGCTCGGCATGGGGACACAGGCTGGAGGGATGTCGGACCGTGCATCTACCAGCACCAATGACAAGGAGGGATCGCACCAGTCACAGGCGTCACCTGCCTCATGCATCAAGGTTCGACCAAATCCATCTGGTCCTCCGTTTCAAAGCTCAAGCACCACTCCCTCACTCCGACTGACAAATTGCAGACTTTCGGACCTGGCCTCAGTCCTCCAAACAGACCAAGACGTTTCAAAGATGTCTATGCTACGAAGTAGATGAGAGAAGAGCTGCCACGCACTCACCTCTGCAGTCCTGAGTGGATGCCTTCATCCAGGAGCAGGGAAAGCGCAGACAAGTGGCCCTGGCTGCGAGTTGTCTGCTAGCCAAGGGGAGGGCACCCAGTTTAAGGACCGTGTCCTGTGATGCGGCATGGTGTAGCAGCGAACCGCCGGCGTGGTCCAGAGCATACAGGTCCTGAGTTCGAAGCCCGACATGAGGCAGCGAAAGATGCAACGGACCTTTCGGGAATTTTCGCGGGAATTTTCGCGGGCCCCTGATCAGCAAAGCTGCGGCACGGCTGGCCATCAGCTCCCGCAAGACTCCGATGTGACCTGAGGCAGGGGAGCAGGATGAACTTTGCCTCAGTCTGGGGAACTGCCTTTCGAGAACATCCTTAGCTAAGTCAGGCTGTGGTCGGGCATCCGAGGCGCCATCGTACGCGGCGAAATGAGCGGGAGTGGCGCCATTGCCTTGGTCCACTGTAGACGAGATCGGGACGACGATTTTTCTGGTCTGAGAGGGACTTAGGGGGCTCAGGGATTGACGTACTCGCTCGGGGCACTAACTGCAGCGCCAAGTGCTGCACTGATCTGACAGCGAGATCCCAGCCTGCAATGGCGTCGCAGAGACTCCAAAAATTCTCTAAGAAAGCCTGTCCATGACTCGCCCAAGTTTGCAAGGCCCCCTTGCCTGGGCCAGCAGCCGAATGGAGGCGACGTTCCCGCGCAATGCCGCCTCATGGGCTACCGTCACGCCGCCGGCATCTGCTGCAGAGAGATCCGCCCGCTGCTCCAGGAGGAAAGCCTGAATGATGGCCCACATGGACCTACATCATGGGTCATGTGCGACCTAGATGATGATACCTGGTGACATGGGCGAATGGTGGTGATGGATCTTTGGAGAGGGCCAACTCAGGCCGGCACCAGGACTGACTCCGACGGGTGGTGATGAGCAACCACCTTGCCTAGCAAATCTTGGGGGATGTCCAATACGCCACACAGGTCCCCCATCCCTGCCTCCCCCATCTGTGGCTCCCAAGTCCAGCTTGTGCTTGATCAGCATCTCAAGACTTAGCTCTCAGATTCTCAACATCGAGAGAGCAGCACTGAGAGCCCCTGGGCCCAGCTACACTGGCTTCACGTGCGCACGAATGCAAGCGTAGCCTTGTGTTGGCTAGTCATGTTTAGGGCTTTAGGGGGCTCTCATGTTGCCTCAAGGCACAGGCTTTGTTCTCCGACGTTGCTGGCAGCCTCGTGCACTGCTGTCCAGCCCCGGTCACGGCCACGGGGAAAGACCCGCGCCTTTGCCTCAATCAGCAGCTCCAGCACCTTCCACTCACAAGCGAGGCAAGGAAGCCCACAAGGAAGCCCCTCAAAAGGGTGGCCATGAGCCGGAAATGCCAACCCGACCTCCCGATGGCCGTTCTCCACTGCCGACCGAAGCACCTCCTTCACTTCCTCTCGCAAGACGCGCAAGACGCGCAAGACGCGCAAGACTCGAGGTCAAGATTCTGGAGGAGGAGACGAAAGGCCTACGCTGTTGGGTCTACGTTCTTGGGTTGTTAGGACGACTTCGCTGTTACGTCTACGTTGCTTAGACTTAGCACTGAACAATATGGGCATCAGATCTGGACAAGTCCTCCTTTGGCATCTTGCGGACAGCTGCTACATCTGCCCCTCGCACTGCGTCGTAGACACTGCTGCTGATCTCACCTTGGCCACCTATTGCCAGGTTCCACTCAGCCTTGTTGAAGGTCGCGTGCCAATAATCGCTGGGAAGAAACACGACCTCTCCCTCTTCTTGGAGGCAGCGCTGCATGCCACTGCTCCGGGCACTCTGCAGCTTCGCCTCCTCCACGTGTCTGTGCGGCTGAAACTGCAGGGTCCCGGGCGCCGCGACGTACCAGACCTTCCTTCCCGCCAGCAGCCATCCCCAGGTCTGCCGGTGCTGGTGGAAGGCCACACCTTTTGCTACGGTGCCCGTGTTCAGGTACAGGCTCAGGCAGGAGTTCTTCAAGTAGGGCGGAATGCCATAGGTCGATTCAATCTGTTGGCAGAGATCTTTGGCACAGAACTCGAAGACGTAGGGAACACTCTCTTGCTGGAACAAGGAGTCTGCCCATGCACCGAAGGTGCTCGTGTTGGCTTCCGGCTTGGAACCGGCTCTAGATTGGAATTCCAGGTTGTGGGTCAATCGCACAGTGTAGTTGCCAAACACCTGCCGGAAGGAGGCTAGCGACGCCCGTTCTTTGTCCCACGGTGTCCCCTGGATGAGGATGGGATGAGAGTAGTCGCTTTCGAAGCCTTCCTGCAGCAAGTCCTCAACGGATTGAGCCAAACCCTCCTACATTGCGGGCCATCCTAATTGCACATCAACCAAAAATGAGGAGATTGTGGCAGCCAAGGTTCTGCCTGAACAACCTCAAAGTCGCATCGGGAAGTGGTCTCTGCTGCAGCCAGCGGTATGGCCAACAGCCACTTCATGCCACGGGAATGACAAGCGATGTTCTACGATGTGCATGAATTACAGGTCCTACTCCTAGTAGTCTATGCTTACCCAAGAGCTTCTTCGCTAGCATTACCGCCTGGAGTCTCAGTGAACGGGTAGAGAGCACCTGAAGTAGCTTCAAGAAACATGCATCCTAGGCTACTGCAGTGCGAGACCCTGACATGCAAACCGGACCCAACACGTAAGTTAACCATGGTTGGTTGCTTCATATGGAGACAGATGACATGCTACGACCCCTCTCTGTGTTTCCATTTGAAATAGCCGCCCCCCCTGAAAAGTGCATCCTTTGGAGGCGCACGAAAATCAGCTGGCTGCGGACGGGGGAAGAGAGGAGCCACACGGCAACCACGGAGCTTGGGGGGGGAAGGTGAGTGGAGGAGCAGAGACGAGAGTGATAGTGAATAGCTACGAGAGTGGGCGTGTGTGTGCGTTAACCTCCGAACCCACAAGCGGCCGTCTCTACGGCTCCTGTAATTTCCCGTCTTCTCGCTACTCTGCCGAAGGGAGGCTAGAGCAATGAATTGCCACGAAGACATGTTGACTACACAATCATCCAAGTCAAAGGGCAAGATCTAGTCTAATGCAGCTGAAACTTGTGATACAGTGGACTGTGCGAAGAAGCTCGAAAACCCTCCTGCTCCAGGTAGTTCAGTCGGGCGTTCAGGCGCTCACGTGACTACAGAAGACTCCAGACCTTGCCTCTTCTGCCAATTGCATTCGACCACACACTGAAGCAAAAACGCAAGCCAAGCTGTTCAGCATGTTTCTTTCAGAAGCGATGCGTCCACATGCGTCGACGGCGAAATCGGAAAATCCCCTTCAGCTCGACTCAGCGCGACTAGCCGGACTTGTCCAAGAAGACCTGAAGGATCACGCCGCAGGCAGACACCACACACGTCAGGCCTGGACACCCTGAGCCCTGACTACCCTAACTACCCTATGAATCCCCTTCCCCCAAGCCCTGCACCCCGGCAAGCGCCCTCCGCGCTCGGGCCATTCCCTGCACCTCGACCATCTGCTTCTCCAGAACCTCAGCAGGAGCATAGAATGGCACGGGCGTGCGGTCTGGCGGTTTAGGTGACTGACCCCAGCCTCCAGACGCCTGGACAGGTCCCAGTCCTCATTCTTGAAGAAATCGACCCTCCTCGCCAAAGGTCACAGGAGTCATCAGTTTCCATCTTTAATCTGGACTGTGTCGCCTGAAATTTTTCACAACACTCAAGAGGTCTACGTGTGTGTGTGTGTGCAAAACATTCGGATGGACATGTGACTTCATTCCGATGCAGATGCCGTGAATTCATCTTCAGGCCCAAAGGTGTGTTACAGAGAACGCTCAGCCTCTCACAAACCATGTCCTCTCCAGAGAAAGGAAGCTCAGTGCTGCGTAGGCAACTGCCAGAGATGGGCACACCTTGCGGAGACGCAATCGCACTGCGATGTGGTACGCCAATCTTTTGCTTCGCTCAGTTCCTTAAGGCTTGCCCTAAACCCTAAACCCTAAGCCCTAAACCCCAAACCCCAAACCCTAAACCCTGCATAGTGATAGGTTTTCTTTTTGCGGCCCAGGAGCAGCTGCCTCGGCAGACTGTGGCGACGTGCAAACCGGCACACCTGAGCGCGGGCACGGCCCCAAAACGAGCGGAGAATTCGATGGGTGCGAGCTTAAGAATTGAGTCACCGAGAGTATGCTCATTCCATTCTCACAGAACTTGCTCATAAAACTCACAGAATCGCCGTAGAAAGAATGCGAAAGGCACTATACAGCAATGAGCAGTCGGTTTTAGGAGGGGGCCTCGCAAGGTCGCCTTCACCTCATCGAGCCGCTGTTGCCAGACCTCTGCCGACAGCTGGCCGAGGCTCTCGGCCACCTCCTCCCGCTCGTGCGTCCACAGAGCGACTTCCTCCTCTTGGATTCAGGGGGAAATTCGGGCGTGCTTTTAGGGCTTGCATGTCGGCCACGATATAAGGTTGTTCGTGGTGACTTTTCAGGAGTGTTAAGAAAAAATATGGGTAGTTCTCAAGAGGCATGTGAGATCATCTGATCCCTGCTGGCTCTCGTGAAACAAGTTCACGGGTCCACTGCATCCGAGTCTTCTGTGGTGGGGTCTGCACCCTGCATGGAGCAAGCAAGCAATGCCGGCTGTGTGCAACTTTCTGCACTCTCAATGCAGAAGTCGGCCCAAACACATCTGCCTGCCGTGTGTCTTCTGGCACCTTCTCCATTGCGTCTCCGCTAGACGAGTCCACGGAAACGTCCATGTTCGCCTTGCACTTGCAGAAGAGGACTACATGAAGAATGTTTAGTCAACGCATTGAGACCATCCCGATGCGGTATGGTCCCTAAGCAACCCCCGCCAGCGCCAAAGCTGTCGTGCAGCCAGGAAGCCATCGTCTCGGACAGGCGATCTGCAGCGGCGGTCCGCCCATCGGCTCCCAGATCCATGAGGTCCTGTAATCTCACGGATACTACTTTCACAATGCTCCAGAGACACGCCCAAAAAAAAGGGGCCCTACAGGGGCCCTTTAGGAATCTCCTGGGGCAGCACCGCCTCAGGAAGCTCCTGGCAAAAGCGTGCTGCGCAAAAGCAGCTGTGATGTAAACCGCTTCTTCCCTCTCCATCTCCTCGCCTCCACGAGGGCTTTGCCCCACTGATTGGGCGAAGTCACCTTGACCAGATGCAGGTGTACCGGTGCACATATATACATATACATGTAGATAAATATATATATATATATATATATATGCATATATACAGATACATGTATAAATACTTATATATATATATATATATATTTTTTTTTGTATATAGCGGTATAACAGGGTAAAACCTCTCAGTGGCACGGAACAACCCTCGCAACGCCTGCTCGGTGAGTCCCCGCAATCGGCAACGGCCCACGCATCGGACCTGCACCTTTTTCAGCGGCAGCTTGGGAATTAGTATAGGGGCCTAAATCATTAGAATAGGGTTTTGGGGGGGGGTATGATAGCACATTCATAAAGGGGACCGTAAGGGAAAACTACGAGTAGCTACTCCCTGCGAACTTGTTTTTCGCAGGGAACGGGGACTGATGCGGCAACAGCACTCAGCGGCCTTGCGCCCGTGCATTCCCAGGTCGTCGCAGGCAATAATCTCTACCAGGGAAGCGACCTCTCATGCCACTTGCAGGTACTTGCAGGAGGGCCACAAGCCTGGAGCGTTGCACGTTGTTGCACCCTCAGATGGCGACCGGACAAACTTGGGACTCATCCTCGGCTGAGGGAAGGACTGTGAAGAGTCAGATTTGGAACACAACTGTCAGCGCAGCGCAGCAAAGCGCTCCCGAGATTCGATTTACAGGCAAGCCTCCACGTACAACATGCAAAAGATCCCTTTGTACTCGCCCCTGGCCGCGTCGATCATGCGTGCCCAGCCTCCCGTGCAACAATTACAATGCTTACAATGCAAACCAGCAACGTTCGTAACATGGTGCTCTGCGCAGGGTCTCTGAAGCTACGGTTTACAAACCACCTCGATGCAGCCAAGCTGCGAGGCTCAAACAAGTGCATCCTCTTCGTACGGCCTGGAAGGAGAAGGTCGTTGATGCCAAACAGGATAACGGGCCTGAATCTCCATGTGCCATGAACTTGCTCGGAGCACGTATTCGGTAAACGCCGGAAAGCACAGTTCAACCGAGATTCACTTTGAGCTCCTGCCAAAACAAGTTGTGCGTGCCACTCATGTTCAACACACACACGCACACACATACTTAAACTTGGTGATGGGAGTCAAAGTTAGAGGAACAAAAAGTTGTCCGATTGGCGGTGGTTTGTTGGATTCTGTGGCCAACACAAGCGGTCCGCAAAGAACAGCAGCAGCACTCCTTCTCATTCTCTGGCGTGGAATGCAGCTGCCGCCAACTGCTCAAACTGGAAGAGCCTCCTGCTGTCCTCATACGAAGGCCAACAGGAAACATCAACTCCAAGAAAAACACCAAAAAAAACAACGTGTGCCGAACCTCGTCTGCTGACGTACATACAGATCAGCTTTATTTTCAACATTGATGTCCGTTTGAGAACCGGTTCCGTGTCATGAGGCCTAGAAGCATCCCAAGCCCTAAACCCAAAGCTGGCAGGTTGCAATGCGTTGGGAATTCCGGTGTTGCTGGGCTCGGAAACCGTCCGCCGAGAAGTAAGCGCACGTGACCGGTGCAACCCGGCCTCCGGCTCAGAATCTTTGATTGCTCCGAAAGCTTCAGAGCAATTTGGGGCCGGGACCACTTGCAGCGCAGCGCATGCCGCAAAGATGGAGCTCGACGCGCCTTTCACAAGACCCATCCCAACCGCAAAACGGCACGACGATTCACAACTTGCGCATTGCTGCAACCGAAGCTGCCTCGCAACTCCTCCCATGGAACAGAGGCCCGTGACCTCAGGCAGATGAAACATGTCATGTCATACGCTCAAAGACCTCAGTGGTTTCGAAAGATCCGAGAGCCATGCTTTGTGGGAAGCGAAACCCCTGGCTTGAAGGTCGGTTTCTAACTGCATGCGATGGGCCACTAAGATTACCAGGACTGCCCAGACCATTTGCTCCTGCCTGGGTGCGCTGAGCTTACCAGCCGCTCGGGCACGGTAGGAGATGAGACCCAGGTGACTCCATTGCAGCGTATCATGTGGACTAGGGTGTGTACTTTCTTGGTTGTTGTTCAGTTTTAATGCTGAATGTCGCGTAACTAACGTCATCCAGGCAATACGGTGTGACGTTGATATCCATCACACACAGCAAATGACCGGCTGCAATGGAGCGGTCATGCGTCAGCTGGCAAGTCTTCACCAACCTGGTCACGAAGTTTTCAACGCTGGTTGTTTGACAGAAGTGTCCCCTGACATTTTGCTTCAAACTAAAGAACAATCCAAAAAAAACAAACGGCTCCAAGAGCACACCGCAATCTAAACTGCCCTAATGTAATCCGCCGAGGCCTCGGAGGTGTATAGGTTGTCAGAACAAGCACCCCCCTCCAAATCCTCCCCCCACACCCAAAGCCACCCTTTTTTTGCCTCAAATGGGTACCCCCCCTAGGAAACCGGGGTCCGCAAGCGGACGGCTCGCCAGGACCAAAGGCAGTTGAAGCCCCTCCCAGCAGGCGCCCATCCCCTTTTTATTCTGCCCCCCCCTTTCCCCCCCCCCCCCCCCCCCCCCCCCCCCCCCCCCCCCCCCCCCCCCCCCCCCCGAGTGGGGGGGCTCATGGGAATGGGCCTCTATTAATGGTTGGGAGAGGTTGTTTCGTGTAGCCTGCTGTCCTGTCAAGCTCAAGCCCTTCCCCAGGGAGGGGCGGGGGCAAGGGGGGGGGGGGCAACCCGCTGGGTGAAAGGGAGCAGGGGCGGGGCAAGGGGGGGGGCAGGGGGCTCCATGGGCCTCTATGAAAGGCAGGGCGGGGCAGGGGCCCCCCCCACCCCCCCCCCCACCCACCCCCCCACCCCCCCCACCCCCCCCCAAACCTTCCGGGGCCCATGAAAATGGGCCTCTATTAATGGTTGGGAGATTTCTGTGAAGATGGGCAGGGGGGCAGGGGGGGGGGGGGCAGGGAAAAGGTAGGGGGGGGGGGGGGAACCCGCTGGGTGAAAGGAATGGTTGGGATGTTTCGTGTGGCTTCCTGTCAAGCTTGTGGCTTGAGGGGGGGGGCAGGGCGGCAGGGGCGGGGAGGGGGGGGGGGGGGGGGCAGGGCCCCATGGGAATGGGCCTCCATTAATGGCTGTCAAGCTTGTGGGGGGGGGGGCAGGGCGGGGGCAGGGGGGCAGGGGGGCCCAGGTGGGAGGCCCCATGGGAATGGGCCTCTATTAATGGTTGGGAGAGGTTGTTTCGTGTGGCTTCCTGTCAAGCTTGTGACACTCAACCACCCCCCCCCCCCCCCTTCCCCTGCCCCCCTTCCCCCCCACCTCCCCCTGCGCCCCTTAGCGGCCTGGCTCAAGCCTACGATCAATCCAAGCCGAACCGTCTTGAACCCTACTCCCAAAAAAACCCTAAACCCCAAAGCGTGAACCTTGAGCCCTAAGCCCTCAATCCTAAACTAAACCATAAACCATAAACCCGGAACCCTGAACCCTAAACCCTAAACCCAACCCTTATTGCTTGGGGTCCAGCGACTTGGGCGCTGCGGAATCACCATGCTCACGCGGATGCGCTGGGCCGGGCCGAGGCGGGTCGCGTAGCGTTAAAATTACAAACCTCAAACACAGCTGTATGGGAAGTGGGTCATTGAATGGTGTCAAGTCTGAATCACTCGCGACACTTCAATCTTCTTACCACCACGCAATAGCGAACGATGCGGGAGTTGGCGCACAGGTGATACAAAGATCTCAGAAAGCAAGCCGCGAGAAGCTAAAACCATTCTGTCATTCATTCATCCGCGCTACTAGCCCTGCATCCTCAAAACCCAACCCGTGCACACCCGTGCCTCCTTGCGCACAAAATATTCTTGAAGCATCTCCCACTCTGCAGCCGGCTGCTCTTCTTTTCCAAGCAGGACGCCGAGCGCGCATTGTTGTAGGCGGAGATTCATTCGATCACCGGAGCCAAGGGGTCAGTGAGGCTCGGGATTTCCAACAGTTGGGCCAAAGAGGCTTAAGGTTTCGGGTTTGGGGTTTAGGGCGGGGAGTAAATTCAAACAGCTTCAAGAGGATGTCTAATTCTACAAGGATTGATGGCGGTTTGTCTATGGATGTAATGGGCCTAAACCCTCCACCCAAACACCCGACAGGTCAGGCGTCGAGGTTCGTGTACTAGCGGCGAGACAAACGATAACGCCAACGCCCTTTCGCTACTTTATCCCCATAACACAAGGAAACAAAGTTTCCTTATCGGATTCAAAATATAGTCCTCCTTAGAAAGTGATGGCCTCCCTGCAGCTACTGTTACAAATACTCTCAGACGAGTAACCGGCCATTCTTGTTCCCTCTGCCTGCTGCTACAACCACTACCGGCACCCCGACACTATCATGCTCGCAAACTCAACTCTATGCCTCTATGCCATGGATTCATGGGCAGCTCACTGGATATTGTATTATGGCCCAATGCTGAGTCTCTGCTTGGGCAGAAACCGAGCACAAGCCCCAAGCCAAGTGGAAGCGACAAGCCAAACCGCTTTTGGGGCGGGCTTGCTATGAACGTGTGAGAGGCCGGACTGCGATTTCGTTCCACAGCACCTCTGAAGACTTGAAAACGGCGACTGCTGCTGGGTAACAGCTTGACAAACAGGCTGGCACTGGACCATCGTTGTTCCATACTGCTACTACTACTGCTTCTGGTACTACTGCTGCTACTACTACTACTACTACTACTACTACTACTACTACTACTACTACTACTACTACCACTACCACTACTACTAGTAGTCGTAGAAGTAGTAGTAGTAGTAGTAGTAGTAGTAGTAGTAGTAGTAGCAGTAGTAGTAGTAGTAGTAGCAGAAGTAGTAGAAGTAGTAGTAGTAGTAGTAGTAGTAGTAGTAGTAGTAGTAGTAGTAGTAGTAGTAATAGTAGTAGCAGAAGTAGTAGTAGTAGCAGTAGAAGTAGTAGAAGTAGTAGTAGGAGTAGGAGTAGGAGTACTACTACTACTACTACTACTACTACTACTACTACTACTACTACTACTACTACTACTACTACTACTTGTACTACCCCATACAGCCCAATACTAACTCAACAGTGCAAGCTGCAAGTTGCAGGGCCAACAAGCTTAAAAATCGCCTGTGCCTGCGAGAGGGCCACGATTCTTCTTTTATCAACATCAAAGTTGCGTAACAGTTGTAACAGGCTGTTGAAATCTGCTGATGTGCATTATGCTGTAATACCGTTCTGACTCTGACACATTACACCTCAAATGAGGCATTCCTGATGGCCTGACTGGCCACCCTCTGGCAGCCTTCCAGCTGCCCATCAAAAGCTTCGGTCAAGAAGTCTGGCACAGCCTGACCTAAGGTTTGGGGTTTGGGGAAGCCGTAGAGAGACTGCGAAAACCCAAGTTAGACTAGAACCAAGTGAGAACTTTTTGGGCACTTGCATCCGGGAAACCTTTGGCAAAGTCAGCCGCCGTCCAGTTGCGCGAATTGCGCAAATCCAGCTTCGCGCCAGCTGCCACCAAGGCGGCAGCCGCTTCGTACTGTCCCGACATGACAGCTGCCATCAGTGCAGTCTGACCACCAAGGTGATATGCCCATGTTGTCATAAAGGTTGCCTTGCTGCACCGGTGCTGGATGGACTTTGCGGTGAAGAGGACATGTGCAGCGGTGTTGCTGGACATCGTCGCCTGTACATTCGCATCGACCCGCAACTCCAAGAGCCTTTGAACAAGCTCTGCGCTGCCTCCACGAACCCCTGTAGCAGCCAAAAGGGCTTTAGACAGGTCTGCCATGCGCAGATGCGGTCCAACTTGAACCACAAGCTCCTCCAGTGCTGCAAGCGAACCGAACATGCCAGCAATGTCAAAGGAGTTCATGCCAACCACATTCCTTTTGACGAGACCTTGCTCATCCAGCTGAAAGGGGCAAAGGACTACCATTTGCGCTAGTTCCAGGATGTTTTCCATATAGACAACGCCGCAGAAACAAACATTCTTTTGCTTGCTACGAAGAGTCTACCACCAGCTTGGCAGATAATTCGGATGGCCTCTGGATCGTTTGCCATAGCTGCCACAGTAACGTCTGGATAGAAGTTGGAATCGAGATTGGCTTTGGCAGAGATCAAGAAGCGCATCGCTGAGTGGTGCTTGAAAAGGATGCCTAGACTTCAAACGTCACGGTGTGCGACAAAACTCAGGACACTTAGTCATGTCCCAGAACCCTGGTCTGTGAAGTGAATCCCCCACGTAACTCACCGCCCTCTGTTGCAAAGACTCCCCGGCACAACCCCTCAACCCCCTTAACCCACAAACCCTAAACCCTAAACCCTGAACCCCTACACAACCCAGGCACAAATCTGTAGCGGCTGAGCTCCAATAGGTATCCCCGACTGCGGCTGGTCCTTGCGGGTCCAATGGTTGATGTTGGCCTCGGCTCTTGGAGGTTTAGGGTTTTTTAGGGTTTGGGGACTTTAGGGTTTAGGGTTTGGGGACTTTTAGGGTTTTTGGGTTTGGGTTTCTGGGTTAGGGAGTTGGGTGTCGGGTTCAGCATCTCAATTTCAAGCATTCACTAGTCAAGCCCGCTACTCTGGTAATAACAATATACCCACCCACACGCTTGGATCCCACAAGAATTCAGAAAAACTTCCACTTGTTTCTCTATGGCACTACCTGAGTCCTACAGGCCAGATGCCTAAAGGCTAAGTCCTAAGGCCTTAAACCCTAGATCCTGCTGGAAGTCCAAGAATTTCTTACGCCGGGCCCTCAGGGCTTGTTTTGTGCTCGTAAGCTCCCCACCGCACCGTGCCAAAACACTGCACAGAGGAGCACAGAACCAGTTGCCCATTAAAGCCACTAAGGGCACGGGGGGCGGTTTCAGGCAAGGCCAGGGCTTTGCCACCTGACCCCCAAAACACTTTGCCCACATGTCATGTGATGGAGAGGTTTAGGGTTTAAGGTTTAGGGTGTGGGTTTCGGGGTTCAGGGGTTTAGGGGGGTTCAGGGCTTTTCGGAGTTTAGGGGTTTGGGAGTTTAGAATTTTGGCGGTTTAGGGGTTTAGGGGTTTAGGGCTTAAGGCCCAGGGCCTGGTACAGAACAATACAATACACTGCGACAGAGCAAAACTCTGGAAACATTCGCGTGGTACTGTACTCTTCTCTAGTAACCTTACATAAAGCACACTCCGAGTAGTCCGTGACATACTCTATACTCCCGCATGAAAATAATATTACTCATATCCCCTTGGGCTTTAAAAAACAACAATAAACAATAATTCCCAAGGGGGATATAGTACTCTATAGTGCACTGCTGGCCTTCAGCTTGAGCAAGCCCTTCAGCACCGCCGTGTCCCCAAGAAGCGCGGCGTAGTGCACCGGCGCCCAGCCCGACCTGTCAAAGTCCCTGACCGTGGCAAAGCCGTTCTGGTAGAGGAACTGGTGCGCCGCCTGGGCTGCTTTATCTGCCTCTGTGGTCTCATCCGGCTCGAAACCAGGAACTAAGTCCCGTATCGGACTTGCAGGCAGACCTCTCAGATAAAAGCCCTGCATGTTCAGAAGCACGCGGTAGGCTACGAGATCTTGCGCCTGCAGCAAAAATCTCAGCTTGCGAAGCACCGCACTTTGAAGAACCATGGCAAGCTTATCGCGATCCTCTGCTTTTGTGTACTGGCCCTCACCTGCAGAACCGCCCAGTCCGCTTAAGATGGAGGATACCAGTTCCACCGCTGTGCTGCTCTTTATCATGATCCAGCTCTGATCCTTGGAGAGCTCTCGCAAGACTCTTTCCACGCGGCACCAACCACCTTGGCTGGCTTCTGAACCTCCCCTAAAAGTCTAACTTTTAGGCTCCAAGAATGTAGTTTCTACCGAAACCCCCAAAAGGTTAGCGTCCTAAGAGCCAGAATAAGGTCAAGCCACGCTCTGCCCAAGTGAAGGATGTGAACACTTTCTCAAGTGAAAGACTCTCGACCACAGGGCAAAGGGCGAAGAAGAATCGGCACCTGCTAGCGGCTCAGACAAACGATACCCCCACGACTGTCCCGCGGTATGCTCTAGAAGATTGGTAAATCCATGGCAAGCGTAGATGAGCCTGGCATTGCAATCAAGATTTTCCTAGAATTGAACATTGAAAGAGGCCAGCAGGTTACTAAAAGCTGGGGGTCCAATCCCATGGTGGACTCATACCTCTTGTTCGACAACATCTTCTAGGACAGGTGAACTCGAAACCCATTTGGCCACCCTCAACTTGGAGGCAATGTAGGTCCACTGTAGGTATCTCGTCACGTGTAAACATCAATATCTATGGCGGGAGGGAACATGCAGCTGCTAGGACGCCTACACTCACAACCAAGCTGATGGTAGACGTATCTCTCCTCTATGCTCCATATTCTATAGGTGTTAGGGAGGGTTGCAATCAAATCTTCCATCGCACGAGATGGTATTTATCCCATACCAAGGGCGTGAGATGATGCGACCTTACAATGGTGACTTGTTGAATAGGCGCCCCAAGCCCGTGAACCGAAAGCTCCACATCTCAAACCTCAAGGGCTTCAGCACAAGGAGCCCCCCCCCCCCTTGCCTTGCAACGTACGCCGGGATGCTGTCGATGGCCCGGGACAGTTGGCTTCCCTCCCGTCTCCGTTGGCTTCCGTCCTGTTTTAGTCAGGGTAAGCAGATTTAGCATGTTGTACTGCACTTGGGCTGTCAAGTGTTAAATGCAACTTCCAGGGCGTCTGTTGATCTGTGTTTCTGGGTCCAGGCCATTCTACACAGAATGTTGTATGCCACCGTGCCGCAGCATACAGTTCAAGTTTTTGGAGGAAACAAGACAAACTTGAACCCAAAACCCCTACCCCCTAAACCCTAAACCGAAAATTTGGACCTGAAACCCTGGCCCAGGCCTGGAAAGGGTTTGGGCTGAGGGCTTAGGGCAGTAAGTTACAAGATCCGTCATTCTTATAGTATGAATAGAGTATTCACAATATGTATTATGATAATGCTATTTCTTGTATGAATACACTCTTACTATTCGTATGAATCATATTGTTCTTCTTCTTATTTTTCGTCTTGTTCTTCTTATTCTTCTTCTGATTATTCTTCTTATTCTTCTTATCAATATTCTTCTTCTGCTTCTTCCTCTTCTTCTTATTCTTATTGTTTCTTCTTCTTATTATTCTTCTTCTTTGTTTGTCACTATTCTTCTTCATTATTATTCTTATTCTTCTTCTTCATTCTTCTTCTTTTCATTATTCGTATTATTCTTCTTATTATTCTGACTTATTATGGTTATTATTCTTTTTATTCTTGTTATGTTTACTCTTATTACTACTTCTATTATTACTATGATTATTATTCTTATTATCATTATTGTTTTTATTGTTCTTGTTGTTTCGGTTTTGGGTTTAGGGTTTACCCCAAACCAGGTCCTGACGATCAGAGGTGTACCATGAGGCGCAGCTCTCCAGCTGTGGGCACGAGAAGTAATCGTACCATAAAAACCTGGGAGAAGGTTTGGGGTTTAGGGTTTCGGGTTTGGGGTTTAGCGCCCATGGGTAAAGCTTCAAGCCAGTTACTTTTGCATCCGAAACGTTGCCAAAAGCCAAGTTGTTTAGTTTGTTGCGACCGCAACCTTCAGCCCTGAATTCCCGACAATGCACTCATTCCGAACCCAACACAGACTAAATACTCCCAAAAATGCCGTTGCACCTTAACATCTCTTCCAGAACATACAGGAACTCTTGAGACACCCGACCTTGGACTTTATAGGCAGAGGAGCAGTGGCGCCGCTTTGAGATCAGCCGTTGGCACAGGTCTCGCTCGAGGCACATGAACCTGGGATCGTCCAGGGAGCCCAAACAAGTTCTTTTGAGGAACAAGGGGCTCTTGTTTGGGCGCCCTCCAGATGTCTTCCCAGACACCTCCGTGAATCCATCCACAGGGATGTGGTGCAGATTCGACAGCATGTGCGTCAGGGCATCCTGCAAGACGCGCAGCTGCTTGCTCTCTGGGTCCGGGTGCTGGTTGCCAACCCATTGATGGGAGACAAAGATGGCATTGCCCATGGATGCGTCAAACTCCACCAACCTTGGGTCCACTTTGAGGCTTGGCAGAGACAGGGTTTAGAGGGCTTAGGGCTTAGGGCTTAGGGCTTAGGGCTTAGGGCTTAGGGCTTAGAGCTCCCAAATTCACAAACCGAAGATGGTGCTCATCTCTTAGGTCAGTTCGGTTCAAAAATCAAAAAACCTTAAAGCCTAAACCCCAAACCTCCCTACGATGCCCCAAACAGGCAGAGCAACAAGCCAGCTGCTTTGAGTGCTTCGTGTGTCTCCACTTCTGTCATCTGGAGCAAACTTGGCTGCACGAGAGATGCCAGCTGCCATTTAGGTTTCGGGTTTTGGGTTGTAGGGTTTAGGGTCGAAGGCTAGGGGTTTTAGGGTTTAGGGTTAGCGGCTTAGGGTTTCAAGGTTTAGGGTTTAAGGCATAGGGTTTTAGGGTTTTGGGTCTAAGTCAAAGGTTTAGGATGTTAAGGATTAGGGTTCAAGGCTGAGGGTGGTAAGGTTCTAGGGTTTACGGCTTTGGGTTTAGGGTTGAGAGGGGAACGCTGAAACTTTTCAATGCGCAGCCTGACCCTAAAGTCCGTTCACTTCGGCATTTCGACCTACAAGGCTGCATACCTTCAACCCCAAATCCTAAACTGAACACCCTAAAAGCCCTGAAGGCTAGGATCCTAGGCTTGAATCTTCCGTGCAAGGGTTTAGAGTTTGGGGTTTAGGGTTAAGGGTTGAGGGTTTAGGGTGTAGGGTTTAGGGTTTAGGGTTTAGGGTTCAGGGTTTCAGGCCAGCCAGGCAACACCTCTGCAGGCAAGGTGTACATGGGAAAGAGGAGGGGTGCAAATTCGACATCCACAGCTCCTTCGAGGGTCTTGGACTTTGGAAATCTTCAGGTTCAAGGTTTAGGGGTGCAGGGGTCAGGCGTTTTTAAGTTTTGGGTGTGGGGCTCTAAGGCTATGGCTTTAGGGTTTCGGGTAGAACGGCTCGGTCTCATCGTGCTTGAAAGCTGGGGCTCCCATTTCGGTGCTGAGGCTGAGGATTGGGTGCAAGATGGCATTTGCAGGAGTCCTTGTCGGAAGAAACCAAGCACCCGAATTTTGAGAGAAATACCCAAATGTGCAGTTTTCTTACAGAGTGCTTTGTGGGGTACGACCGCCCGGTCGAAATGTTGCAGATGGTTCTGTCTCAGGGTCGAGGCTTGCCATTTTGCGGTCTAGACTAAAAGCAGGAATAATAAACAAATAGCAGTACAAAGAGTCATAAATTATTTTACTTCGAACATCCCCACCTTCTCTGGTTAGAGATACTCTGGGGTTGGGCATTCTAGGAACACTCTGGGGTTAGGTACTCCAGGAACACTGTGGCGTTATGCACTCCAGGCAGTTTCTGGGGTTGGGCACTCCAGGGGGTTCTCTGGGATTGGGCACTCCAGCAAGTTTCTGGGGTTGGGCACTCCAGGGAGTCTCTTGGGCACTCCAGCAAGTCTCACTCCAGAATCTGGGGTTGGGCACTCCAGGGAGACTCTGCGGTTGGGCACTCCAGGGAGTCTCCGCAGTTGGCCACTCCAGGGAGTACTGCAGAAAGTCTCTGGGTTGGGCACTCCAAGACTCCGGGGTTGGGCACTCCAGAGAGTCTCTGAAGTTGGGCACTCCAGGGAGACTCTGGGGTTGGGCACTCCAAAGTCTGGGTTGGGAACTTCAGCGAGTCTCTGGGGTTGGGCACTCGAGAGAGGTCTCTGGGGCTGGGCACTCCAGGGAGTCTCCAGGAGTAGACCGGGCGAGGAGAACCCGGGCGATGAGAAAATTGAGTTTAAAATCTAACAACCCCACACCGAAGGTGGGGAAAAATACTAATACTAACCATAATGGTACTACTAATACAAATGCCAACGCAACCGCACCATCCTCTGGCCGATTGATTTACTATAACAATACTGCTATAGTACTACTATAACAATGCTATAAGCATGATACTGTAGCAAGTCTATAACAGTAGTAATTCTAGAAGTTTAAGAAGATAATACGACTATTATCATACTACAATAATAACAACAATGGTAATAGTAAAGTAATAATAATTGTAAGATACAAAATAATATCTATCAAAAGAACAGCCTCGAACACTGCGCCGTGACATTGTCAGGGTCGAGCCCAACAAATATTGGGCTTGAATGTCTTTTAACCATGCACACTTTACATCCCTTTCCTCTATACCTAGCAACCCTTCAGATACAAGCCCCACAAACAGCTTCTGCAAACCTCACAACACTTCCACATCTCGTATGCTCAAACCCCAAACCCTTCAACCTGAACCCAAGCCCTTGAAGCCCCACACCCTGAAGACAAAACCGAGATTCCCAAAGCTCCAAAAGACACCCCCCACAGTTCCCGCCTTCGTTCTTTCGGTCCCTCAAGGATCTGGCAAATTTCGCCAGTGCACTTTCAGATCTTCCCGAGCACCCGCAAGCCATGGCTTGAAGGCTTAGGACAACTTAGGCTACGTTGTTGCTTGACGCCGTAGTGTTGTGGCTTCGAACTGAGCTCGTCGGCGCTGGCTTGCTTTCTTGCTTCATAAAACTGACGCAAACATGCCTTTTATTCGGACCTTAGTTACACGTGTCGTTCCAGGGATTCGATACGACCAACCTGGCAGCCAAATCCTTCCCATGCGTCAATTCGCCTGCCTTAAACCAGCCAATCTTCAACCCGAAGCTCTTGCACCCACGACCAGCATGCACAGCACCGCACATGAAGAGCATCAACAAAACTCGTGCAATCACGAAGAATCAACTGCATTGACATGGACCGAATCTTCGCTTTTTAATCACACACAAACGAGGTCTCACAATAGAACCATCACACAGGCATGTTAGCTAAGCGAGGTGAGGCTCCAAACGTACTGGCTCGTAAATGGCTGCAACGAAACCTCAACCCCTCTGCACTTTTGTACTTTTTGGTAGCGGACTGAGGCTCATGAATATGTCTCTTTGCGCTCAGAGAGATCCAAGAGCTCAAGAAGTCAGGGGGCCTCAATCTACAAGAAATTTCTAATGTCTTCGAAAGTTATATCCCGACCACATTCACGCCGAACCCCCCAAAAAACTGCAAATATCTCCGATCCCGTTTCCACCTCGAACCAAGCACTCCAAACCCTAGACCCTTGGTTGTTTCATTTTCCGAAAAAAGGTGGAAGATACCACACGATGAATCTGTCAATCCATGGTTTCATCTAGGCTTCAAGCAGCGTTTGCCTGCTCCCAAGATATGCTTTTCCGTGTTCGTCATCCTATCTGCTTCCGGCGTTTTTCAGGCTGGACTGCAGGTTTCCTGAATCAGAATCCCTTGCTTGTGTGTTCGGTTTCGTCTGGGGTTTTTTCAATTTCGACTCTTGACTCTCACACCTGAACAATGCACACAAGGCATAATTAGATCAAGGATCCCAGAACATCTAGTGAGTTTTGCACCCTACCTGCCATGACAACGGTCGCTTTTCCTCGCCGGAACGAACGAAAGCAAAGCACGAGAATTGACTCCCGAGCAAAGGCAGCAGTTTGCCAAATGATCCAACACCAGTTCAGGTCTTCAGCTTACCTGAACGCTGCAGCCAGAAACCTTTCGTGGCTCCGCCGTCGCCGCTTATGTCGCACGTGCGGCATCTGCCATGACAGCGTCGGCAGCAGCCACGGCACAGCGGAGATCTTCGACGTTTATTTCTCCATGTGGTCGTCGTACATCATTTCAGCAATCTAACGATTCAAATCTTGAGCAGCTTCATCAACGGATCCATGTGATTGCAACTCCGGTGCTCGTGCTGATATCTTTGTTCTCCATTGAAGGACACATGCATCAAGGCCAGGCGTGGGCGCGGATGCCTTGCTTCCGCAAAGCCAACAGGACCTGGTAGGTGTCCTGGATCTCTCCCTCTCCGCCATACAGGCCTCGACGGTGAAAGGGTATCCAAGCTGTGTGTTTCCTCTGTTTCCCCCGTTTCTTACAATCTGTTCTCAAAAGAAAGCCGGCGCGTTGCGCAAGTTTACCGATATTTCATCGAGGATCCGTAGCGCTCGAAGGCGAAATGGTCTTCCCAGAAAAACTCGTCCAAGACACCTGGAGCAAGGGAGTGTTGCTGCTTTACTCCGAGATTGTTGTGCAAAGGTGACAATCGATGTGCATCGTGTTCCATCTTGCTTGGCCTGAAGTTGACAACTTCTCTACCACGTTGAGCTTGATGGGAAGATGTGCGTGAACTCAGCACTACCCAGAATAATGAGGTGACACAAGAGAGCTATTTTTTGCACACTCAGCTATTTGCCGGTAACCTCTATCTCCCTGGATCTTCAAATCCAAGCCCGACATTCGCCGGAGGTGTGCTAGAGTACGGGGCTGTCGGGCCTTTAGCTTCGGGGTAGGGTTATGTGTGCATGCCGTGCGAGACCCGAAGACAAAGCAAACACACGCAAGACGAAGTAGCTGTTCGATACATCTTTGTCTCCTCTACACGATGGTGCAGCTCGCCCAGCACATGGCGCGGGTTTGAACCAATTCGGAGAAATTCTCGGCAAGTTTCGCGGACCCTTGTCATGAAATTTCCAGAAATTTTCACGGACCATTTTCGCCAAATTCCCAGGAAATGTCACGGACCAATTTCGCGAAATTCCCAGGAATTTCCAAGGCATCATTTTCATGAAAATTCCCGAAAACTTCATCGTCAAAAAAATGGCTTTCTCATGGCGTTTCATGACAATGGTCCGGAGACCGTCTCAATGAAAATTTCGACTGTCGTCACTTTTTAAGCAACCATGCCTCAAAAACCCTCCCAAAATACTCAAAAGCTGGGTTTGTTGAGGGTGTGCTCGAGGCTGCCACCCCGAGAAGGCAAGGGAACGCACGCGAACGCTTTGCGAACACTTTCGAGCGCTTTGCGAGCACAGAACGCACGCCAACCAAAACCTCCCCCCAGACCCCGTCTCAAAACGGGAACCCTTCTGCTGCGCGTTCGTGAAAAAGGATGCAGCCTTGAAGGAAAAACTGCACAAACCCTGAGAGAAAAAGAGGCCTCGTTCTGCAAGGCCACCAGGCCGGAGGATCCTTGCAAGGCGACAGCACAGGTGACGGAATTTGGTGACAGACCTTGGGGCGGGGGTTGCAGAACGGGGACTGTTTTGTAGGGCTTTGGAGTGGCCTTTCAGCCCTTGACTTGGGCTCCAAGATGCCCCACGTCCCCCTAACTCTCTCTACCTTTCGGAAGGAAGCCAATGCCGCAGAGGGGGCCCCTGAAAAAGAGCAGCTCGCAAACTTTCGACACGTACTTCCCATGCAGTGGAGAAAATACACCAAGCTTGTCTTTGTCCTACACTTTGCAGGCTTGCAACAAAGTTCCGCAGGCTTGTTCGATGTGGCGACTTTGATCCAGGAACAGTCTTCCTGCAAATCTAAGCGTGGCTGAGCTCATCTTAGCTGGCCGATCGAAGAACCAGACCATCCTGTCTGGACAGCTAGAATTCCGCCTTTCCTACCCGCACAAAAGCAATGCAACCCTTTTGCTGGTTTGTTGCGCCTTCCTGCCTGTGAGCATCTCAGTTCTTCACCACACCCACAAGGGCGTGTGGAGTGCATACCAATCATCCGCGAATGTGCGTGAGCTATACATTGATTATACATTGAGCGAGCTTGAAGCCCGTCCCAAGAGACAGCAGGCCAGCTGGCAGGGAAATGGCCTCTTCTCTATAGTTCAGTACAACTGAGGAGCTCAACTCTGTAGGTGTTCGTTGCTGGACAGGCTGAGGAGCTGCGCCACAAGTTCGCGCTCGATGCGGGGTTCATCTATGTCCAGCTTGAACACCTCACTTGGACTACCAGCGACTACCCCAGCCAAGCTTACAGTAAAACCAATGCGTGTAACCAGGGCCGATGCATAAGAGACCCCCGCAGAAATCCCCACCCCCTGCAAGACGCAATTCTTACATGTTCAAGATTGACGCCTCAGGTTGCGAGCTCCAGGACTTCAGGACTTGGGCGTAAGAAAATCGACCTAGACTCGGAACGTTCCATCGAAACTGCGCCGATGCCCAAGCCCGACACTTGCAAAGGCGAGCAGCGCAAAAGTCTTCCGGTGAACACAACTGCTCCTCAGATCCAACTCGGCGGAACAACTTGCCGTGGGCTATAGGTCCAAAGGTTTCTGGAATAAGGGCAGTGTAATGCATTTTAATGCCAAGGAACCCCTGCCTAAAGCGGGATCGGTCTCCAGTTCCATTGCTCACAGGAAACCCATGCCGACATTACAACCTGAGCGCACCTGTCGTCTGAATGTCACGGGGGCTTAAACGTCGACTTTGCTTCAGCCCAACTTCCTCTCGACATGGACAGCTGTTCAACACATTCCACCCCGGTGGCAGTCGCAGCAACCCGACGCCTTTCGGACGAAATGCCATGAGATGCACGGGATTGTTGGGAACGCCCTGGGTGGCCACCACGGGCTCCTCCCAGGCAATGATGCACAAGGTGGTCGGGACATGGCTCTGTCTGTCAACTCATCGATCCGATGCACTCGAAATGCACTAAAAATGGAACCTGAGAACTCTTTGCTTTCAAGCGGTTGGAAGTTGACATCCAGTTAAACTCTAGCACACGTTAGCACAGGTAATGTCTGGCTGCCTAGCTTTTGGGGAGATGTCTGCATGTTAACGGCCTGGCAAACCCCGCTAAACCCCAAACAAGGGCGGAGTCCATGCCCTGCCCAGCCCTGCTGGCTCCGTTGAGAAGCTGAGGCGGCTTATCCATTCCGTCGGCACGCAGTACGTTGGTGGCGGGTTCACTTCCTCTGCGGGGGTGGAATTGGGGATGTTTTGTGGGAAGACAGTGAATCCAAGAGTTAAGGAAAACTAACTCTGAAGTTAATTGACCGGCATCGGGCCGGCTCGACGCCCCTTAGGTCCAGCACAATTAACTCTCGATTTAATTGCCTGTTAACGTCGCGCGACGCAGCCCATGCCGGCAAGCTGCTCAAGGAAAACAATTAAATCAAGATTTAATTGTTTCTGCTAGACGACCCCAACCCGCAGAAACAATTAAATCACGATTTAATTGTTCCCCCCTAACTTTCAACAATTAAATCACGATTTAATTGTTCCCCCTAGAGGAATAGTAATAATAATAATAGTAGTAATAGTACTAATAATAATAATAGTAATAATGATAATAGTAATAGTAATAATGATAATAATAGGAATAATAATAATAGTAATAATAATAATAATAATAATAGTAGTAACAATAAGAAGAAGAATAATAATAATAGTAATAGTAATAGAAATAGTAATAGTAATAGTAATAAGAGTAATAGTAATAGCAATAGCAATAGTAATAGTAATAGTAATCGTAATAGTAATAATAACAGTAATAGTAATAGTAATAGTAATAGTAATAGTAATAGTAATAGTAATAGTAAGAGTAAGAGTAATAGTAATAGTAGTAGAAATAGAAGAAGAATAAGAATAATAATAATACTAAAAATAATAATCATAGGAATAGTAATAGTAATAGGAATAGTAATAGTAATAGTAATAGTAATAGTAATAGTAATAGTAATAATAATAGTAATAGTAATAGTAATAGTAATAATAATACTAATATTAATCGTCATAATAAGACTAATAGTAATAGTAATAGTAAGACTAATCGTAGTAGGAAGAATAAGACTAATAGTAATAGTAATAAAAAGACCAATAGTAATAGTAATAATAATCGTGCAATTAAATCATGATTTAATGGTGCAAACAGGTACCAATTAGCACAAATCTTTGCTACACCATTAACTCACGATTTAATTGTCTTCCAGTCAAACGCAAAGAAACACAATTAAATCACGATTTAATTGTGCTTGTGTAGGGACAAGGTATGTCGAGGTAGGTCAAAACCCAACCCAGAAGCAACAATTAAATCAGGATTCAATTTTTTTTAACTTCTGGATTCATGGGTTTTCATGTTTTGTGTTCTGGGCTTGACGCATGCTCAACTTTTGCATGGGTTCCAGAGGGGCGGCGAGGGGACGCACTCCCCCTCCAGTACTTAAAACCCTTTGGCGGCTTTTTGGGTTTTTGTAAAACTCGGGGGGCTCATAGTAGGGGAAGGGATTAGGTAACGAGCTGGCTCAAGGGTTGAGCAATACTGAGCCCACCGCCCACCCCCAAAGGTGGTCAAATATGATGCCGTTCCTTGGGTCTTTGGCGCATTCCCTCCAACCGCAACGGAATATCGTGTGCATGCTTGGCACAAGCAGCGTTTGGGCTGGGCATAAAAGCAAGGCTGAAGGCGTTTCGGGAGCCCTGGCTCTGTCCAAGGTGCTTGCGGTAGGCATCAGCCAGCCAACCCAGCGAGGTGTTGAAGGCATTTGCACCTGCCAGCATGCTTGAATCCCACTTGCCAGCATGCTTGAATCCCACTCAGCGCATTGGTGTTTCACCTGTTCTAGGGCTTGTCGCAATTGAGAGGGGGCTTGGAGTGCCCTGCAACGACATCTTGACGGTCGAGACTGAGAAACAGATAGAAACAGAATCCTACTTTATTGATAAACGCAGGTTCGCGGGAGTGGCATCCGGGCGCGAGCGTCGCCTGCATCAAAGAGCAGCCGTCGGCCCTTGTCAGCCCAGGCCTCGGCAATCGTCCAGAAGCCCTAGGCCCTTTAGGGCCTTCATAGAAACCAGAAAGACACATGAGAGATGCGCCCGTGTAGCAAAGAGGACTCAAGCCGGCAGCTTTCAAGTTCCGAAAGCCCTTCTAGGAACTCCTCACGGATTGGATTTTAGGGCTCACCAGGGCTTCAGAGCACACTTACAACTACGTGGGTCCATGCAGCACTGGGAACAACTACCCAGACCCCTGGGAGGACCCCAAAATTTGACCCCCCAAATGGTACCCCATACTACCATTGGGTAATTCTTAGGAACCCTTAAGGGGATCTACTTTTTGGGTCCTCCCAAGGGTCTGGGTACATGCTTAGGGTTGCTTTGGTGAGGGGCTTGGGCCAAATTTCACCAGGGAGCCGCATTGGACAGGAACAAGTAGTCCAGGCTCATGTCCAATGATCCGCCCTTGTGCCCTCAGCAACTCAGGAATCTAAGGGACTCGACTAATGGCCGCATATTACACTTCTTCAGAGACCTTATGGATTGTCACGTCAGGGTCCGAGGCTCCGGTTTGCAAGAATGGCCGTCCCCTTACAGACCCTGAACGCTAAGTCCAGTTCCTGATCAAACCCTAAACCTTGTATACACCCTAAACCCTAAACCCTAAACCCTTAACATCCCTAAACCCTAAAAGAGCTTTGCAAAACTGGCCTGGATCTCCTTGATGCTCCTGGAAGGACTTCTTCCAGCGTAGCGGCTCGGGCACACGGCGCCAGTAGGACTCGCCTTGCAGGGCTCCGGCAGAGGGTTTAGGGTTTAGGGTTTAGGGTTTAGGGTTTAGGGTTTAGGGTTTAGGGTTTAGGATGTAGGGTTTAGGGTTTAGGGTTTAGGGTTTAGGGTTTAGGGTTTAGGGTTTAGGGTTAGGGTTTAGGGTTCAGGGTTTAGGGTTTAGGGTTTAGGGTTTAGGGCGGTTGCAAGAGCCAGGCATGCCAAGATGTTCCGGGCACAGAGAAGCAACAGCCATGTCTTGAATAATTTGGCTTTCGTGGGGATTCTTGCTGAACTGCAGAGCCAGGCTGTAACCATCAGACGAGGGTTCCTTCGAAGCTCCCTGTTCCCACCCTCCCAAGCCGCACTTCAAGATCCTACGTTCTGAAGCCACTGCTAAAAGCCTCTGGTCCTCAAAGCTCTAGACTCTCCATATCTCTCCATAGCCGACGCCACCTCAAAAAGCAAAACTCTCCATGGCCGGCGCCACTGAAACCTTCTGGGAACGAAGCTGCCCATGGCCAAGAACCAACACGTTTGCGTCATACTTTTCTCTATTACTCAACACGCCTGTCGACCGCATGAATTTCCCCGCCGCAAAAAACCCCAATTACAATATTATTGATGCGCGTGCGTGAACTTACCTATTCAGTTAATACAAAATGAGCTGTGAACAAGGCCCAGAGAACTAAATATTAGAAAAGGTGAACGCAGTGAGCCCGTGAAACATATTCAATAGGGCCTCAATATTACTAGTACGATTGTACCCCGCGCAATATCAGTAGTATTAATTTTGTAAGCAGATGAACGGGCACATTATCAAAGACGTCTTTTCGCCCAACCTTCACCATCCTTCTGAGAACAAAAAACACGGTAGCCGCTGCAGAACGCTTCCACGGCAAACCTTCTGGCCATCAAAGTCTCCTTGAAGCAGAACCCCGCACAGCAAACACTGCCTGAACCTTCTTGCAACTAACAACATCCACAACCAACACCGCCACAACCGATGAATCTCATTGAACATGTCCAGAGCCTTCGCCACCAAGATCTTCCGGCACCGTGGTAAGACTAGACTGCTTTCCATAGTCCAAGCTGCCAAAACTTTTTGTAAGTTCGAGTTGTGAACAAGTCTTCAAGCAGCAGTGTACCCACGAATCCGAGGAACTCATGCCTACAAACAGCCCGCTTCACTCTGCTCATTCGGCCAATTCATTCCTTCTGTCCACTGGCTCATGAAACAGTTGCCCGTAGAGTTTCTCACTTACGCATACGTTTACTTTCTCAAGATGAGTTCATTAAGCTCGAAGACACGCACAGCGGGAATTCCCAACCCTTCCTTCGCATGTCAGCTAGATACGCAACCGCCGCCCCCTTCATCGCTGAAACCTTTGGAAGCCGCGTCGCAGAAAGCCGCAGGATGGCGCAGCGCGCCCGCCAGTGGCTCGATCCACTGCCTTATGGGGGACTTCGAGTCCGAAAGCGTCCGCCATTTTAGTTGGGGTGTCTAGGACTCTTCAAAAACTTAGCACCCTCAAGGGTAAGAGTGCTCTTTTTGTTGCGGATGTTGTTTTGTTGTGGGTGCAAAAGGGGCCACCAAAGAAAAACTGAAAAGGACGCTGCGGGGTCTGTGTTCTCATACTCACGGGGTTGTAGGTGTTTTAGGAGGTTAAACGTGTCTTCATGGTTGTTTCAGATATCGCTTGCACATGCCTTGTTCTTTGTTTCAAGAGGTTGAATGTGACTTCGTGGGTAGACTGAGTTGTGAGTTCGACTTGGGCGACGTTTTGCGGCCCATTCAGCCATGCGCTCGCTCTTTATGTCAAGGGCTGTTTCTGACAGCAATCACGACCCGAATCCCACTCAACGCTCCTTTTGGGAAACAGGTCTTCCTTTGCACCGGGGGGCGTAGTTCACCACAACTAAACACCAAATGAAATGCTCGCTGCCCGTCTCTGGGTTCACGTGGCTGGAGTTTTTCTTCGGGACTCCTTTTTTGATTCTGATTTGGGTGCGGGTTCTCTCTGTTTCCATAAGAAAGCTGGAAAGCTTCCATTTTCTCTGTATTTCCGTAGGAAAACCTCTATCTTCTCTACATGTCCATAGGAAAACCTCCAATTTCTCTGTATTTCCATAGCAAAAACCTCTCTTTTCTATCTGGCCGGTGAGCGCGATGAGTACAAGTTCTAGGGGGCGACAGAGGCTAATCTGAGCCCCACCTGGATCTAGACTCTACTCCCCGTACAGTTGTGGGGACAGAATGGGTTCGATGGGACACACGTTGGTCTTCCGGATCCACGTGCTGCCGCAAGGACAAGGTGTTGCTGGACCTCTCCCAGAAAAGTGAGAAGATGGCTGGATGCTCTTTCGCAAGTGAAGCCTCCACGCCATCCTCAGGTTGTCGTCTCATGGTTTAAGGTTTAGGGTTTAGGGTTTAGGGTTTTCGGTTTAGGGTTTAGAGTTTAGGGTTTCGGGTGTAGGGTTTTGGACACAATATAAAAAAATGTCTATTATTTGAGCACCAAATCGGCGACGAAGGCCTGGCATCCCTGCTAGGATCTTGCTATGACTGTTTCCAATGTACGTCAACTTGCTGGGTCTTTGGATGGCATCCTTTTGCAATGCAGACTGCTGGTCATGTGGGGGTTACGAAAATAGGGGACCCCTAAGACCCCCAAATAGTAGGGTTCCCTTGTACTAAGGACCCCAATAAGGCACCCCGAATTTCGGAAACCCCCATATGGTACCTCTTTGGGATGTCGGGATCCGTGAATCAGGCTGAGGTTCAAGCCACTGGTCCAGCATTTTGGCCTTCATCTTCGTGCAAAAGACCCAGGGACTCCGCGTCCAGTTCTGTGCATGCTGCAGCCACTCCTCCTCCAGCGGGCTGGAGGCGTAAAGCCTCAGAGCCAGAACTTCTGTATGGTCAGTTCTCTAAATTACGGTCCTTCTGGGTCCCCGAAATAAGAGGGCCCGCCTTGAAAAAGCAACCCCAAAAAGGGCAATGACTTAGAGAAATCACCCTATGCTTCCATACATTGTCCAACGGTCGTTGAAGAGCTAAGGCTCGCACGGCTTGGAAGGATTTGCGGGGAAAAAGGTGTGCCTTAGCCATGGGCTTTAAGGTTTAGGGTTTAGGGTTTAAGGTTTAGGGTCTAGGGTTTAGGGTTTAGGGTTTAGGATTGGTTCCGGGTGAGGGTCGAGTCTCAAAGATCTGGGCTTTCGGGCGCGCGTCAAAGCCTTAATCTGTGCTGCTCTTGCCTGCGTCCTAGATACCAATATCTTGATGTGAAGGGATCTGTCACCATTGTGGGCTCCCCAGACATGTCCTGACAACTTGCAACAGCATCTGCGGGATCCGCTTGCTTGAACTGCTACTTCCAGATCTCGCAGCGGTCCTCCAAAGCAGGGTGCGCGATGTCGATCATGAGGAGGGTCCGCGGCAGATTGTTCACAGAGGAATATGTGGCCTTGTGCTGCACGCTCTCATCAAACCAGAAGCATTCACCTCCAGAGGCTCCCCGATTCTTCTTTGGAGCGGGGCTTGCATCGCAGGGTGCCTTTTTGCTTACTGCAGCTGGTATATTGAGTATATTGCCTCATGTTCCATTTGAGAGGTGAGGGGACAATGGTTGGAAGCCATACATTGAGGCCGTCTTGTACTCTGAGCGTCAAGAGCCAGAAGATTTTGCAACATTGCAGAACCTTCAGAGCCACTTTCCATGCTGGCCCCTGTTGCATCCACATCCCACGCCTTCTTGGTGTCGCCTCTGTGGGTTCCCAGCCACTTCAAGGATCGAAGCGCCATCGGGCCTCGGATCTGCAGACTTCCACAAACTGCAAAAGAAGCCTCTTTCCTACACAGGCTGGTTGAAGTTACGACGGGCAAGTTCGATATGCCTCGAAACCCAGCGGCAGTGCCACCGGGCAGTGGAGCCTCAGGCGCCCCTGCACTGCAGAGGCATGTGGCTCGATGGAGGACCGGGGACCGAAGACCTCACAGAAACATCGCGCACTTGCCCGACTCCACGGAGATAGATGGGAGGACAAAGGCATGCAGAGGTTTCGCAGAGTCAAAACGCTCAGCTAGATCTGGAATAGGGCACCCGCCCTAAACTGAGCCGCCGTGCCGTGGAGATTGTGGCAGCAATTACCGTGAAACCCTCCGTCTCAAGGATCTCCTTCATTCGCACAAGTAACACACACACCACACACACACACACACACACACCCACGCACGCACGCACGCACGCACGCACGCACGCACGCACGCACGCACGCACGCACGCACGCACGCACGCACGCACGCACGCACGCACGCACGCACGCACGCACGCACGCACGCACGCACGCACGCAGCACGCACGCACGCACGCACGCACGCACGCACGCACGCACGCACGCACGCACACGCACGCACGCACGCACGCACGCACGCACGCACGCACGCACGCACGCACGCACGCACGCACGCACGCACGCACGCACGCACGCACGCACGCACGCACGCACGCACCGCACGCACGCACGCACGCACGCACGCACGCACGCACGCACGCACGCACGCACGCACGCACGCACGCGCACGCACGCACGCCACGCGCACGCACGCACGCACGCCGCACGCCCGCTGCGCGCGCTCACACATTCAGTCACTCATTCACTCACTCACTAACTCACGCACCCGCCCACCCACCCATCCACCCATCCACCATCCACCCACGCACGCGCGCTTGCACTCTTGCACGCTTTCCACGCCATGATCCAGTGATCGCTTTGCCAGCAGACCCTACTTGTATGATGCTTAACTTAGAAAATGTACTCAGGCAGGTTCGACTTGGTGTGCTGATGCAAAGCGAGCCTGCAAGCCAGTCGCTATTTACATGGCATGAATGGTCGTTACGGTCCGGTCTGAAAGGCACTGCTTTCGTGAGTTCCCAAAACTGATTCTTGCCCACCCCCATTCTACCAAAGCCAAATTGCTGCGAGCGTGTGATGAAGGAACGTGATCCTCGAGTTTGCTGTGAAGTTGAGAGGCCCTATTCAGCTTCACGCCGTCTCCTTGATGGCACGGCAGGTCAAAGGTATCTGCGCAGAGCAGGGCTTGTCGCGTCCGATGATGAGGCCAGTCTGTCGTCAGGTTGCATGGATTGCGCGTAGCATTGGGGTTTCCCAGTATCTTTCCTTGGTACTGCAGCTCCTTTGTTGGGATGCCCTTGACTAAATACATCTCGCGACGAGTGTCATGGTGATGGCAATGTAAGGGGCTCAGTGAAGAAACAGGCCTCCCAAAAGCCTGCGTAGCGAACAGTTCGTGGAAAAAGCCCTGGCAACACCTGGCCGTGGGCATAAGTTAGACTCAGTGGATACCAGGCCGATGACGACTGAAACCTTTGCCGGAATGAGAACGCAAGACAGCCAACAGTAACAGTCTGCCGCCAGCAATCGGCGAAACCCCTGAAAGCTTGCTCGTCTTGCTCTCTGCACACGAGCTATATATTTTTGCCATCCGGGCCTCAGTGCAGTTGGCCCCCACAGGGCAAGGTGAGCTATGAGCGGTGTAAGGAATCTTTGCCCTTCCAGCGCGCAAAGGCAGGGCCGATGTGGGCAGTGCTGGGAGGCTTCAGGATTGCTCATGCGCTCATTGCAGCTCAAATGTTTCCAACATAACCTTACAACTTAAACTGACTGCATCCGTTTCCTCTGTAAGCGCTACGTGAGGCTGTTGTTGGCGTTGCGATGCAGGAGTCTGTGTGGAGAAGTTGCATACAGAGTTCCAGTCTCCAGGAAGACGCACTAAGCCTGGGCTGTAGACCTACAAAGTGCAAAGAACCCAAAACCAGTCTCAACATGCTTCAACATGCTTCAATATGCTACTGTCACATGGTCAATCCGGGAAACCAGACCTGGACTCTCACCCACCTGTCCCGAACCTGCCACAACCCAAGCGCCGGGGTTGCGCCAAAAGCTTGAAATGGTGTCCGACGGAAGCCCGCCTCAGCAGCTCCGTCTGGAGCTCCTGCCCAAACCGTGAAGGATGTGCAAACCACAGTCCCGCCTTCTAAACGCTGGGACCAGCACTGCCTTTCAAAACCAGATTCTGCACTCTAAGACCCGCCTTTTACCTGATATGGGCCTTGGGATCTGCAGGGTTGTAAACACTGTAACTCTTTCTCTGGGGATGTGAAACAAGACATGTTTCACGATGTAGTTCTACGAGATGAGCCGAACCGCTTGGTCTTGGAGAGCTTCCCCCCGTACTTCAAGCATCTAGGTGACAGCATCCTCCTATTCCAGACAATCTGGCAGCCGAAGTGTGGACAACTTCTGCCACATAGCCTGGATAGCAAAGCCGCTTGTCTACGCTTCACGCGCACAGCGTGAGGCAGGCTCCTCGAGGCGAGCAGCGAAAGCAGCCGCTGCACGCGGAAGGCGAGAGTCCAGCTCCGGGCCTCTTCAAAGTTTGCAAGGTTTGACAACAGGAGCCACAACCAGCCACTTCGCATACCTTCCGGAGAAGCAGCCGTCATCCTTGGCAACGTAATGGTTGCAGTATTTTACGTTGCAGTACTGCGCACCGTGTTCTGCGACCCAATTGCCGAAAGCCCTGGCCTGGCCTAGAAGCCTCACATGCCGCGACCTACCATGACTTGCCGAGCTACAGGAACCAAACATAGCCAAACCTGCCGTTCTACATCGTACATTACATCGTACATTACATCATGCATTACATCGTACTACCCTGTTAGGTACCCAAAACCCACCCTCAGTCTGCGTCCCCGATCCAACGGAGGGGGAGGAATGTTCTTCTCGTTTTCCAAACGGCTCAAGCTGAAACCCTTCTAAACATTGCATGCAGGAAGTGCCGCACGCATTCAAGAGCACGGGAAGTGACAGATTTTGCTGCTGATCCCTCCATGTTATGGACCGCTAGTGTCGCTAATGGAAGGACGGTTTATACTTGATCCGTTCCTGCTGCACCGAGCCCAGATGAGACCACTAGCGAAGAGGTGTGGGTCCCTCAATTTGGTGTCGCCATCCCTGCCTGTCGTGTCCATTCAAAGGCTTGCTAAGGGAGTGGTGGCATGTACATTTTGATCCTCCCGGTCCCGCCCATCCCACATGAAACCCTTCTGGCGGCAGGCATGGAGTTGATGTTTGATCCCTCCCCTTCCTGTCAGGTCAATTTTGTGAGGCTTGTTGCTTGGGTTCGAGAACGGTCTGTCACGGTGGTCCGAAATGTTCTGTCTTGGCGCCTTGGGGCTCTGCGAGATGGTTCTGGTACTCTGAAAGATTCTTTTGCTCTACTCTGTTTCTGGATTTTCATGCGGCGAGCAAGCCCGCGCAGGCCCAGGACAGGCCATTAAATCCAAACAATTCCCTCAAGCGCTTTGTTTGGACACAGTACCGACACCTCTGAGTGACTAAGAGATGCGTCTTGTCCGCAAAAAAATTCCTGCAAAGTGAGGTTGACAAAACACTTCCGGAACTTCGCGAAGCCCTGTGAAGCTTCGGACACTGTGTCTGCGCTACATATCCCAGAGCTTGGGCATGCGGGGTGGGCCTGGAAACGGATTGAAGGGCAGCGCAGGCCAGAAGAGGTGAGGCCTCTGGTCCGGGTGGCCTTGTCTGCGCTGTGTTTGGCATACTTGAACCCGAGCCGGAAGAATCAACAGCAACACTGCCTGAATAGGGTTTGGCTTTTGGGACTTGGCATACAAGGTAATGGCTCATTCAGAAATGCCATAATTCTCTGGCATACGAACCCAATACAGAGCGTCTTCCTTCGTTAGCCAGGGTTTCAGGTCTCAGGCGGCCAGGGCTTACATCAGCGGGGCAAGAAGGAGGAATAGCAAACATCACCAACCCTGACACAAGACTTGAACAGAAGTAAACTGCGCCTTTCAGTAGGATGAGCAAAGACGCATGAAGAGACTCCACTCATGCTTCCTCCGTGGGTTCCAGGGTGTTGCAAGCAAGGGGCTCCAAAGGCCTCGCTTGACAGCCCCGGCCGCGAGTTCCTTGGCCTCCCTCGCGAGGCCAAGGGACTCCATGTGGTGGATGGCCTGGGAAGCTTCTTCAAAGGTCGTTGCGTCGGTGATGGGCTAGCCTACTGAAAAGCTCTTTCAACAGCTCATCGTTAATACCCGACGTCGTCGTAGTGGCAAAGGGAACCATCCCAACGGCGCCCTGCCCATTGTCCAAGAGGCCCGGTTGAGGAGCGCCCTCGACTCCGGCGCTTGTGTGACGGCCTGCCGGGAATGAAGAACGGAGGCACCCCAATCATGGCAAGACAAAGCCTAGGAGGCACATGTTCTTTTCGGGTTCCGCATGGCCTCCCGCCAGAGCTCCAGGGCCTCGGGCGCAGTGCCCAGCTGTGCCGCCAGGGCAGCCCGGATCTGGGGAGCAGATGGTGAAATGATGTGAAGTGGTGTGAAATGAGTCGCAGAATGAGTCGGTGTAATTTCGGTGTCATGTCGAATGGCCACGATCAAAAAAAACGCCAACGGAAAGCCAAGGTTTGCACAGTACCGCAGCTATAGGAATTGTCCAACGATTAACGAGAGAGCCCACATCCTGAGCCACCTGATCATCAGGCCTTGCAAGCCCTGCATCGTCCCCGACCCTGAACACTCTGCACCCCAAACCTCCCCACGGAATGAGACGTCCATCGCACGGCGGAGGAGGGCCACCACCCTTGCAGGGCAGGGCCCTAACGGCATGAGCATCAAAGCTCAGGGTGTGCTCAATGCCAGGGTTAAAGCTTCAGGCTGCTTCTGGTCACTCTGTCAAATGCATCTGCAAAACTGCCCGCCAGACTCATCACTTGACACGGCTTACGGAGCCACATGATTCGACATGAAAGGACAACATGAGCATGTGTGAATTATGTTTGAAACGGTATTGACATGCAAGAGCGAACTAAACTTACACAAAGTTTCGCAAGCTTCTGAGTAAAGAATCACAGTGGCAGTGCTGTACTTGATTGTACAAAATACGAAAACCAAAAGAAAGTTTCAACGGCCTTATCATCTTCATAGAACGAGACGCTATAGGGGATTTAGCTGCATGTCAACACGCCGTCGACTGATGGCTCCTGATGCTGACGCTGGGGGGGGAGGGGTTGGTGTTTCCCAAGAGCACGTAGGAAGAGATTCGACTTGCAGTTCCATGGTCCATCTCCAGCACGAGGTACCCATTGCGCGCGACACTGGTTGCTAATTGGAGGCCTTCCTCGTCATGGTTTTAGGATTCTCAAGAGGCTCTGTGCTTCGCAACATGAAGCCCTGACCGATTCGAAAGGCCCTCATCGCGGGCCCAGCTACAATACGGCCTTCCGGCTATCAGAAACGAAGCATGCCATGCCCACCCGGGATTAAACTGCCAAGCACACGCGTGTGTAGGCAGTTGTGCCGTGCTGCTCTGTACGTGTGAGTACATGTGATTTCCTATGTAAATTGATATATAACAAATTGTGTGTGTGCGCATACATGATGCACGGCAGCGGCCTGTCCCGCAGCGCCGCCCGAGTCTTCTTCGCTGCCTCTGCGGCCTCCGGCATCCTTTTGCCAAGGCAAGGAAAAGGCTTGAGGTGGCTCACTGAGCCCGATGCGACAACCAAGTTCAAGCCTGATGTTCAGATGGAGAAAGGGCAACACAGGGAAACCTCATGGATCCCGCCGGTGTCAAACCCCTAGCGAGGCGATTGCTCCAGCATTTCATTTCTTTATGCGAATTTTGGAAGGCAACATGTTGGCACTGCCAAGAGAAAGAGCCATTGACCTGACTTCACCGTTTTCTCACCACCAAAGCACGCACACCCACTCAAGCAAAACATCTGTAACTGTAACCAACACACACACACACACACACAAAAAAAATCAAAAAAGCAACACCCACAAGCAAACTGAAAAGCTCTCGGATCTCTCGGTCAGGCCCCCGGTCCTGTACCAATACGGAGCCACTCCCAGGTTGCTGTGAGGCACGAGCTGGAGTGAAGGATCCTGTGATTCCAAGGCAGTGCCCCGCAACTGACCCACTCAGTGGCGCAACTTCACTGCTCTCTTTTCTTCGGAAATTTGGCTTTTGTTGTCCTATGAAAACAGACACCTCGCCTCGCAGTTGCAGTCGAAGACAACCGGCATCTTCTTGGCCTCGATGGATGCTGCAACGACGAGTGCGACCTGGGCTCGGCGAACTCCACGTGCTCCTTTTCGTGCTCCTTTTCGTGCTCTTTTGATGCTATGTCAGTGCTCTTTTGGAGCATTCGTTCAAAGTTTAGACTGGGCTCTGCCATACAAATTCTCGACAGGCGTCAACCAATAATATCAGCACCCGTCCCAAGCCAGCCGAGCCCTGAGCCCGAAATCCCATATGAAATCCTCAACGGCCTACATCTCAAAAAGCCTCAGTTGCCTCATCTTTGGGATTCAAGCGCAGCGCGATCCTCGCCTGGTAGGCTGCGCAGCTGCCTCATGAAATCAATCGGCAACCATGAGTACTAAATCCATGGGGTCCCAGAAGCTCGTGTGTACAACCATGTGTGATCATGTGTGACCCAGAGCGTTCCAAAAGTTACAAACCTCATGGCGGGCTCGATGCAAAAAGGCAAGGTTGTCTCGTAAACTGGCTAGCATTCAACATGGAGTCCGTCGATCATGACGATCATGAGGTGGCGGGGAAATAGCAGGGCAGTCCGTGGACATGCGGGCAGGCACTCCAAGGACACTGTGCAGGATCTCCTGTGGCTCCGCAAGCAGGTATGGAAAGGATCAGGAATGCCGCCGCGGAGCGGTTTTGAGGTACGAAGGCCTGGGTCAGGGTTGGATTCCTTGAAAATACAGATAGTCGCAACTGGTGTGGGGGGCACAGAAGAAGCATAAAGGCTTTGGGACACGAGATAGAAAGGCGGTAGGAATGCGGGCACCTAAACACAAATGACGTCCATATTCTTGTGTCCATGTATTCTTACGGAAAAAATCTCAAGATGCAAAGTAATTAACCAGGACATACCAGGACTTCGGAGCTATAGGACCTAAACTCGCTGCGGAAAAGCGCATTCCTGCCAGCGTGCCATAGGCAATCTGCCATGTGCTCGCTAACACTGCCAGCATGTACCTTCGTCCTAGATTGCACTTTGTCATCGCTTAGAAGTCAAGGAGATTTGCCGCTCAAGGAAGGCCCCTCGCCTGCCTCGCAGAGAGCTGCAAGCAACGCCCTGCAAGCAGGGCGTATACAAGTCACGCGAATCTTTCAGTTGCTGGTGTTTGAGGCCAACGGTTGGGGGGCCACTGCCAAATCCGAGCGATGGAGCTGGGGCGAGGTGGTGATGTTGCCGGCGGCTCACAAACCCTGCTGCGGTCGTCGTCTGCGTTGCTTTGGAAGGAAGTACGGAGCAAAAAGAGGACGGATACCGACCGCGCCCGTGCCCAAGGCTGGAGAGGGCCGGACCTGGGCCGGCCAGGCTAAGCATCATGAGCATCATTCAGCTCAGGCGGAAATCGACCATTTACCGCGGTTTCCACGTTTAGCAAGAGACAGTGCGGACCCAATCCGTGAGCAACAGGCAAACTGGGCTCAACATGCTACAAACTGATTCAAGATGTATGGAAGGCGCAAAACAACGTGGAACGCCGGGAATGAAACCAGCTTTGGGAGTTCCCACTTCACAGGATAACAAAAAGCTAATGCTGAGCCGATACGCGCTCAGATCGAGCCTGCTTTGGCGTTTGGGACCGAAATTTAACAGCGAGGCACTTTGCAAGCACACCTTACCCAAACGGTGCCTGACGTCTAAAATCCGAGGCCCGGCCTCCCGCGGGCCCAGTGCGGCGACTGCCGCAGCGCGTCGGAGAGCGCCTCTTTAGGTATGATGCTTCTTTGTCAGGTTGCCCGAATAGCGCAGCTTTCTTGATGGTGTTGTGGCGATCTGTGGAAGTGGTGGTGCTTGCTGGTCTACGCCTACGGCCCTTTCCGGTGGCAACGGTGGTGGGGGTTCCGGGTGCTTGGCAGCAGCTGCAGCTGCAGAAGCACCAACAGCAAACAACGGCAACAGCAACGACAATGACGACAAGCAAGCCGAAACGACGACGAACACAACACCAACACCCGACACAAGACGCCACCAAACACAACACACCATACAGCCCAATGAGAAAAAAACAACACACTAACACCCACCACCAAAGCACAACACACAACACCGCCCGACGAGAAAAATGCATCACACAGACGACAGAAATAGAAGAGAACGACACGCAACATCACAACATGTCACAGCAACTCACGCTCACACACAGACGCACACACTCTCAGATTAACCACCCTTTTCGGGGGCAAGCATCAGCTTGAGCTGTATTCCGCTTTCAATCTTCAACACGTTGCTGCACCAAATCTTCTGGAGTAGCTCCGGCCTCAAAAGCTTTCGAAACTCTGCTCATGAACCATTCATGAAGACAAGCTAGGTGTGATACAAACAAAGATGATGCACACTGTCTAAACGTCACGACAAAAGAGGGTAGCATTTGGAACATGCCAAGGGCCCTCAACAAACCCAAACCCTAAACTCCTTAAACCACATCACATCCGCGAAAGACCCAGCGTACACTTCTCGATTTGTGCTCGCACTTGAGCCCATCCGTTGGCCACGATTTGTGCGTGTCATCCTTGCTCAGGAGGACATGCATGCCCTCGCACGCACAATGTACTTGCTTCCAGCGTACTTGCTTCCAGCCTAACGCGCATACAGAGTCTCTGAAACAGCTGCAGGTGTACTTTCCGCATCCCCAAAGCTTGAAGTTTAGATTTGCGTTGAACATGGGCACGCAGTGGGTGCTGCGGCTGTGGTCCAGTACTGAGCACACCCGCAGCTCCCACACACCCCTAGATGCAATCAGATGCAAGCTATCGCTTTGGGCAGGCAACTCCGTTAGCCCTCGCCGCCCTCGGAGGCTAGTTTTCGTGATTTGTCGGGTGGAACAACAACAGCAGCAACAAACAGCCGCAACAACGACTCTGTGATAGCCCGAAGAGCAAAGTTAAGTTTCAGAGTCAACGCAGCAAAGGAATCACTACCATATGCATGTCTCAAACTTGGGGTCTGTCACTGGTTTTGTGACCCCCATTCTCACTGTTGCAAACATACCTGGCAACAAGGCCATGCAAGGTTCAGTTGTCAACTGACACCTTTTAGTCTTGAAAAGACAAACGAAACTCGGGTGAAATGCCGGCCTCTTCCAGCGGGAGGTCGTGCGGGAGGTCCCTCTCTAGTTCCCTGGGATCACGGAGGGTTTTGAGGCTTTGAGTGTGGCTTCGCTATGCTTCGCTATGCTTCGCTGTCCTCACATTCTCCTGGGACCTCTCTGCTGGTTCACGGTAGTCGCACTTTTTCTATTCTGACACCTTCTCAAAGGGATTTTTCTGCTTCAGGGAAGCTTAGAGTCTCTCCTGCTGGCCGTGTAATCACATGTCGATACATGTCACAACCTCCTGGTAAGTCAACATGCTAGTCAATCTCCGTTGTGAACGTGCCTACCTCTGGCACAGCAGCTGCAAGGATCATCTGGGAAAGGGTGCTCTGCACACATTGCCAAGGGACCATGCACATATGGGGGTGAATGGTGGTGAACTAAATGGAAGGCTGTTGACGGCAGATGCTTGCGTTGAACCTGCATTGATGGTACGCGTGGCCAAGAAATTCGGCCGCGAAGCCACAGCGAAGGCTTGGGAGCCGGTGCAACACATTGCCGCAGGCCCAGCAGCCATAGCACTTTCATAAAGTGGAATCCTGGCCTTGCACATGTTCAACAATCACATGCATCCTCATTTGTTTATTGTGCTACAGTACAATTGTCTGAATACGAGACCTCTTCTTATTCGAGCGGTTGCTGCTGTTACTGCTGGTCTTCCCTCAACGACATCGTGCCAAAACAGCTTGTAGATAGTCATGTTGTTACGCATGGCTGCTTGAAAGGCTCCGGTGGTTTGTTGGCAAAGGTCCCAAATCCTAAGTTCAGCGCTGTCGTTGTTGTTGTGGTTGTCGTGCTTGTTGTTGTTGGTAAAAATAAAGACTGGAGCCCCGTCTAGTTTAAAAAAATCAAGGGCACCGGGCGCGCTCTTTCCGGGAGCGCCCCGGGGGGGGGGGGGGGGGGAGGGCGGGTGGGAGGTTGTTGGGGGGTGGAGTGCATTCTTTGTTTTGTTGGGGTGGGGTGGGCGGGTGGGGGGGGGCGGATGAGTATGTTTCGTTGATGAAAACCCCAGCAACAGCCATAACAGAATCCGCGTTTTAACGGTTTCATGTTGATGGCCGAAAGCGGCATCCGTCGCACTCGGGGGATGGGGTGGTAGTAGCAATACTACTCCTACTCCTACTACTACTACTACTACTACGACGACGACGACGACGACGACTACTACTACTACTACTCCTGCTACTACTACTGCAACTGCAACTGCAACTGCAACTGCAACTGCAACTGCTACTGCAACTGCAACTGCAACTGCTACTGCAACTGCTACTGCTACTGCTACTGCTACTGCTACTGCTACTGCCACTGCCACTGCCACTGCCACTGCCACTGCCACTGCCACTGCCACTGCCACTGCCACTGCCACTGCCACTGCCACTGCCACTGCCACTGCCACTGCCACTGCCACTGCTACTGCTACTGCTACTGCTACTGCTACTGCGACTGCTACTGCTACTGCTACTGCTACTGCTACTGCTACTGCTACTGCTACTACGACGACTACTACTACCACGACTACCACTACCACTACCACTACCAGTACCACTACCACCCACTACCACCACCACCACCAACCACTACCACTACCACTACCACTACCACTACCACTACTAACCACTAACCACTGACCTCTCACCACTCACCACTCACCACTAACCACTAACCACTAACCACTATAGAGGTCCAGTGGACCCCGGGGGAAACGTCCAAAGCAGGCTACTCGGGTTCCTTGGCTTAGCGCAGTCACTCGGTCAGCCGATTGTTTCCTTGCTTCGCTCGCAAGTCCCGGATCACAGTGCAGCTGATCCCAATTGGATCGTATACAAGAGCTCGCAACCTGCTGCGCAGCTGCAGTACGTTAACAGGCACTATGGCGGGTTTGTTGCCTTCGGCTAATAGCTCAGCTAAGCAAACTGCTTTGAGCTACGACCTTGTTTGAGAGTTTGAGTGTCCACAGCTGCAGTCGAGATGACGTGGAGCTGTACAAAAGCAAGAGCGAACGACATGCAATTGCTCCGTCACTGCATCACATGCTACAATGATGCTTGCTGCAAAATGCAACCTACACACAACGCACGAAGCGAGGGGACATGTCTTATCACAGAAAGACAGGCGCTTCCAGCAGCCCCGGATTTTTGAAAGACATGGATTCCCGATTCCGTGCAAACGGCGAAATCTGGACAGGCTAACCCACGGGCTACCACCTGCTCATAATGCGCGCTCAGATCAAGTCGAGGATGGGCGATCCTGGCCTCTCGGCCGCGGCCCTTTCTCGCGATGCCTATGCCTCGGGGACGGAACGATCCCACAAGTCAGAGAACCAAGCCTTGTAGGCCTCTACGCGAGGATTTCTGAGGTTTCGTAGCGCGTAACCATCTCGAAATTACACCTGCTCGCGCGGGTATAATTGCGCGACCCGGCATACACGCACGTGGTCGGGCCACGGTCCACTAAGAGCGTTTTTGCGTGTAACGCTCCAGACCAACCGGTCTGTCGGGGGTAGATGAGCGACAACGGCTTCCCCGAAATGACGTGGACCTCTACACCAGACTCCCTCAAGCTCTGCAAACGTGGCAGGGAGTCGTTACACGACTTGCTATTATTGTCATCGACCAGCAAGAGAACCTTGGCACCAGCTTTAGACGCGGCACATAGCGCCGGCGTGATCTGGTCACAATCGTACGTGTATGCCGTGGCCAGAATGGCAACTGGGCCTCCATCTCCCGCTGACGGCGAGATGTCAATGACAGCTTTGTCAACCCAATCACTATCTGGGAGAAGCGTGACAGACGCAACGCTGGCGTCATATCCCGTCGTAGGCACCTTGTTGCGAGATGCCTGACGAAGCGAATGCTGCGCTCTGAGCTGAGTCTGGAGGCCCGCTGTCCTCGTCTCAGACCTCTCTAGCTCCTTGCGTAGCTGTACATTCACTGTACATTCTCCTTTCTCAGCAGCTCTAACTCGAACAAAGTACCGCCTGATACTGCAGTGGCTGGGGAAACAACACCAGTGGGTGCGGGAGCACTGCGATCGCTCCTAGGCGGCAGGGAAAGAGATAGGCGACGCGGGGTAGGTGCAGCTACGAGCGCAAGTGTTGGTTCTGGCTCACGACCTCTCAAGGGTGCTTTCTCGTCATGGAAAAGAAGCATTTCACTTTTATCCTCCGAGGTCTCGTGGGAGAACCCACGGCCAGCTGCTACTCGATGCACAATAGCACGCGCCGCACTGTTCAACCCAATCGCCTTTCCTGCCTGCCCACTGCCTTCAATACTGTCCAACAAAGGAAGTGGTCAAATCACCCAGCCTAAGCCCTTCACGACGGTACACGGAAACTGGTTCCGGTCGAAACACAACTGCACCTTCGGTCCCAACATTGGCCTCGGGCTCTTGGCCGCAGAGGCGTAGCATCTGCTTCGCGGATCGCAGGGTCCTGGCATACACAACATAAGCACCCAGTGCAACAACGGAGGCAACTAGGGCGAAGCACACTCGTGTTATCAACACGGACCCTGCTCTGAATTCCTCGGCGATGGCAGATACTGTTTCCTCCAGTTCAGGCCTGGCTATCTGTTCCTTGTTAGAACAACAGTCCCACGCTCAGCCACCGAGCCGCCTCCGGCCCATCGCCGGCCTTATCGGCTGCGTGGCAGTGCCACGGCCATCTTGCGCCAACTCGCCTGAGGTTTGGGACCTAGGGCTGAACGACAGACTAGCGACCCCATTAACCGCGCTGCTAACAGCACTGGCAAAAACTAGGCTGGTTCTGACTGTCGGGGGGCGTGCCGAAAAAGCGTCGGAGCAAGTCGCCGGGCTCGCCACGGCCAGAATGCACTTCGGCGGCAGCTACCTCTTCGGCCTCGACTTGCAGCTCCTCATCCGGCAGCGTGTCCTCGATCGGCTCGATCGGCATCTCCTCCTCGATCGATGGGCACCTCCTCCATGCTCTCGTCGGCTTCGGAGTGCTCGTCTGGGACGGGACTTTCAAGCATCGGCTCCGCCTTCGCTGCATGGTCCTCCATCTCCTCACCAAGTGGGGACCAGTCAGGCTGAAAGTCCTCCTCCTCTAGGAACGGTGCTGCATCCACCATACAACCAGGGTCCTCCTCCTCTTCTGGAGCTGGCACAAAAGACTGCTCCACAGCCACTAGGGCCGGCGGTCATCTGGCGTCGCAGGGGCCGGTACAGGCGCTTGCCGCGCTGTCCAGGCTATAGAACTTGGAGGATCACCATTGCTCTTCAAGTGCTTCAAGTGCTCATAAACCCTGGGCTCATCACCATCCAGGAGCAATGGCTCCGGAGCGCGGCCATCATCGGAGTCACTCACGACGTACTCGGCGACGTTTGGGTTCTGGGACTCGATGACAATCCTGATTCTCGGCCCTGTAGTCCCGCATTTCTCGCAAAGCCTCCTCGAGAGAGCCATCCGCAGCTGCTGAGAATCTGCGCTGCAGATAAGCGCATTTGCTCCCATGCATCGGTTGCAGAAGAACTCGCAGGGGCCTCGGCGTCGGTGGCAGAAGCACACGCGGGCGTTCCTGCATCGGAGGGCCGACGGCTCCTCTGGGCAGGACTGACAGTGTTCCTCCATGACCTCGAGAGCGCTTGAGGCCTTAGCTGAATTACGATAGGTCACCCCATGCAAAAACAGCCGGGCAGTAGCCAATCCCTCGTTCATAGAAAAGGGGCGCCTCCTCCGCTTTGGCGCAGCCACTGGGGCCGGAGCAGCAGACCCCGAGGATCTGGCTCGCCGTCTCGAAGCGACGGCTTCGGGCTCAATGGACCAGAATCTTGCAGCAAACCTCATTTTTCTATTGGTTTTTCGCTCCTTTTAAGCACCCACACAGCCCCACAGCCCCTTTTAAGCAGCCCACCCATGGATCAGAATCTTGCAAAAACCCTGGGTTTTGATTGGTTTTCCGCTCCTTTTAAGCAGCCACACAGCCCCACAGCCCACCAATGGACCAGAATCTTGCAAAAACCCTAGGTTTTGATAAGCCAATGCACAACAAGACACAAGTCGCATTGCACTCAAGCTGCTTCAAGTCACAACAAAACAAGTCGCAATCTCAACACATGCGTTTCGCCGTCAACCAAGCACCAACACATTCCCCACAAACCCGAATGCATTCAAGTCGCACACTCGCACACACAGATCCTACATCAAGTCGCAATCAATCAAGTCGCACACTCAGATCCTGCACACAGTCGCATTTCGTACACCCCACAAACCCGAATGCACAAGGGCCTGAAGGGTCTGTGAAGCATTTTAAGAGCACCTGGCATGGCTCGGACACAAGTTGCTTCACTGCAGCTGAAGCAGTGAAGTCGCTATCTCAACATATCAAGCAATCGCAGTCACTCACAACAAGACACAAGTCGCATTGCACTCAAGCAACAAGTCACAACAAACCAAGTCGCAATCAAACCCGAATGCACTCAAGTCGCACACACAGATCCTACATCAAGTCGCAATCAATCAATCAAGTCGCATCAAGTCGCATCAAGTCGCAATCGTCGCACAATGTCACAGTCCACAATCCTCCACGAACCCGAATTCACTCATGTCATTCCAGGTCGCACCATACACACACGAAGCTTCACACACCAAGTCGCATTGCACACAAGCTGATTCAAAGTCGCACCCTTGCACACACAAGGCTTCACACAAGGCTCTGCTGAAAGCTCACAGGTTGCACCAATTTTGAGCCCGACCCGCCCCCCCCCCCCCCTCCCCCCCCGACAAGACATGGAGGGAATAGCTTTTTCTAAGCTTTCCCTGGGCTGAGGGGCTCCACTTGCCTCCCCGATGGCCTAGTGGGCCTTCAACTTGCCTTGCAACCCAAGGGTCCCTGGCTCAATTCCCCCTGCTGTCCTGTGGCCTGCCCTGTTCTTTGCCCTGTCTGGATTTGAGTTTTTGGCTTGGGTTTCGGGTTTGGGGTTTTTGGGAAGGTGAAGCAAGGGTCGGGCTTGAAATTGGACGGTTTTGATAAGCCCCAGCAGAGATACCCCACAAACCCGAATGCACAACAAGACCCAAGTCGCATTACACAAACTTAAACGATGCTTTTCCCAAGTCGCACTAAGCCAGATGCACACACAAGCTGCTTCACTACACACTAGGTCGCTGTCAAGTCGCCACACACATGATGCTACACTATACTCAAGTCGCAGCCAAGTCGCAGTCCACGAACCCGAATGCTTCCCCCAGATCCCATCAATGGATCAGAATCTTGCAAAAACCATGGGTTTTGATTGGTTTTTCGCTCCTTTTAAGCACCCACACAGCCCACAGCCCACCAATGGACCAGAGGCTTGCAAAAGCCCCAAGTCGCACTACACAAATATAAACGATGCTTTTCTGAAAAGCAAAATGCCCTTTTCCACACACTGAGAGCCTCATATCACGGTCACCTAAATTTTAGGCGACGCTTGGGTAAAACATGGTGAAATACATCATGGGGAACATGTAAAGTTTGTTCACCCCGCCTGAGCAATCTTGGCTCGTTTCGAGGCTCATTGCTCAAACAAACACACTACTTGTTCTTGAAACACTGAGTACACGCAAAGTAGACTTTCCTAGGCTTGCTGGACTTACGCACGTACTGGCACTCGTAACGATGGTAGGCTTCGCCTCCATCTGGGATGACGATCACAGCGTCACCCTTCTGATGACGTGCAACACTGCTTGCCGCACAGCTACTGCTACTGCTCCCCTCATTCACACGGCCTCCCTTTGTCACATGCTCTCGTTGGGCAACCGCCAACTTCGAGCGAAGGCTTTTGAGCTGAAACCATGGGAACATGATCACGCCCAAGGAACAGCACGCCATATGTCTCGGCACTGGCAGCACGGCAACGCTCATAGCATCACTGCAAGATGCACCACGACATGCCTCTGCAGCGTTTGGCATCAACAGTGTGAGCAGCGCTACCTTCTTGATCCACCCAGTTGCCACATGCGATCCCACAAACTGGTGTTTGACACGATTCACTTGCTGCTTGAACTCATGCTTGAGCTGCACATCTTCCCATTCCTTCTCGCCAACTGCATCATGGTGCTCATTCACCAATCCATGAAGATAACACAGCGCCAACAATCGTGCAGGACTGAAAGGCTTTGTAAACAGGTCACCCAAGTTATAGTGTGTGCTCACCGCCTTCACTTGCAAACGGCCTTGACGCACAGCATCTTGAAGCCAAAGAAACCTGCCCTCGATGTGCTTAGCAGCCTTCGAGACGCCTTGCCTCAAAGCAAACTGCCTAGCACTCGCATTGTCAAGCAAAACCACAAGCTGGCATGGTTCTCCAGTCATGAACGTGATGGTGGCCTTCATAAACAAGCCCTGACACGCCGCACTCACTGCCGCGTAGAACTCGGATTCCATGCTGGACAGGGAGATGCAACGCTGAGCCCTGCACACATAGTGCAAGTAGCATCCATCCAAACAGTAGGATGCCCCGCCATACGATTTACGATCTTTGCGAGATCCTGCCCAGTCAGCATCCGAGTAGCATTCCAGGCGATGGCATATCCCATTGTTCGAACAATCCACATCCATACTTGAAAGCAATTTCGAACTGCCAGGCGGACCAATGCAAATCGCAGTGGCGTAGTTGCATGTGTTCAGCAAGTACTGCACCAACTTGACCAATCCCCGCAGCGCCTGCTTCGTAGGGCTGGCCACGCTGGACGCGAGCAGCCTAATGGTGTACCCTATGTCTGGTCTGTCTGCCGAAATGTACAACCCAGTTCCTACAGCCGCACGAAACTTGCTTGCCTCCGATGGTGATAGCAGCTCACTCGTGTCCTTGTCTCGAAGCTTGCATACATGGAACTCGTTGTCGATTGTTCGGCTTCACCCCCAACACTGCTGCCATGTGCTCAATGTACTGTGGTGGCTGCTGTATGACGATTCTGTCATCCAAGATCGTATGCTTGCGCTTGAGGAAGGAAAACTCATCCCCACATTTCCAAGCCATCTCCACAGTTACCTGAAATCGCGACTTCACAACTGGCAGGAAAACGTTGAGGGCCCACTGAAGTGGTAAAAGCAAAATGCTATCGTCCACGTGGATCATTCCAGGGCCTTCTGGGAGCTTGATGATGGCCGGACACTCAGGACACTGTGATACTGCAAAATGCTCGGACAAGAATGTGACAAAGTCCTGAAACCAACGACTTGACACTTCTCGCTGCCCTGGGACCATTTTCTGGAACACAAACTTCATGTGAACGCCGGGATGCACCTCTATTGTAGACACTACAGGTTCTGGCTGATCGACTTCAAGGTACGCATCCTTGATATCGAGGGAAACAATGGCATACTCGATGTCGGGCCGTGTTTGCTTCCATGACAGGAACAGAGCTGGTGTTAGGCGAACAATGTCACTTGATGTAGCCGGGGAAAACAATCCTTCTTTAGAGGCATCAAGCCAACGAAACTCTCGAGCACACAGACGTGACCTTCTGAGGTACATAGGCTGTCCACCCTTTTTCTTTGCACGCCACAGACGAACCATCTTCGTCGACCATGTCTTCATCGACGACAAGTCCTCCTGGCGACCGGCTTCTCGCAAGACACCTTTGGCCACAAGCGACTCACCTCAACAGCGTCCGCTAGCATGTCGAGTTCCTGCATCGCTTGCGCACTCAGCACGGGCTCTCGGCCTGTGTTAGAAAACCACAATCTCTCATCGCCTTCAGCTTGTTCCTCGAGCTGGCTCATCCCAGCATCGTCTCCAGAGTCGTCTTCCGGATCATTGGCCCACATCGCAGCTTCGAAGTCCCAAAGCTCTTCAAACTGCACGTCACCGGTGTCGTCGTTGACGCATACTCTTGACCTCCAAAATGGACAGTCCGAATTCTGGGCACCTTAGTCGCACGCTCATTTGCATCATCTCCACGAAAGGACATGGAGGCTTCCACATCCATCTGTGCTGGGGCTGCCTCTGTTCCGACAGCCGACGAATCGCCCATCAAAGGGGGCAACATGTGCTCAGGAGTGCTAGGTGCCACAACACCCGGCACCTCTGCTTGAACTGAAGGATTCACTGCGCCTGGAGCATGCGGATCATACGCTGCAGGGGCAGATGTGTCAACTTGAGCGCTCGCTGGAGGCGGCACTCGTGTACGCGACTTGGGCAATGGAGTCCGTGCATAGGTGAGGACTCAAAGGCAAAGGACTTGCTGGAGTCACTGCCCCGCCAGGCGGTGACGGGGGCAATGAGGCTGCCTTATCTCGAGGCTCAAGAGCACCAACACCTGAGCCAGCCTGACCATCAGGGAGGCTGTGCACTTCAGGTCTGCTTGGGCGCAGGAACAAACCTCGCACCAAGAACTCCACTGCCATAGTCCCACGGTTGTCCAGACAGTGCACCATACAGCTTTACATCATCAGAGCAAGAGCGGCCTGTCCTCCGCACAGACCTTGAAAGGCGAACTCCACCTGGACCTCCGACAATGTACATGTCATTGCTGCTCTTTCCCAGAAAAATGCCAAGTAGGAATACCGCGCACCACATGCCCGTTCATACGATGTCAAATTGCCAGTGACCCTGCATCTGTTAAGCAACCATGCAGCATGACCAAATGCCCAAGCGAAAATAGGATGCGAAGATCCAAGCACCAAACCAGTCCTCTGCCGGACCATGTCAAGCAGAGTGTTGGCCACTTTGCGAATGCAATCCACTGCTTTCTCCACATCTCCCTAACTGGCATGTGCTCCAACCGGTGGGTTGCGCTCAATAGTCTGCAAACCGAGGCGCTGTCTGGCATTGATGACGGCTTTCTGGATGTTGAGGGTGGAAGGCTCATTGTCGCATCGGGCTCAATGTTGACATGTCCAAGTGACTGCGCAAACCGCATCAGCTCCAAACTCAAATATCTTACATCTCCTTTGAAAGGCATGGAACTGCAAGAAGACCCCGTATGGCTGTCATGCGCCACCATGCACTTCAGGGCCTTACCACTTTCTGGTTTAGAAGTCATACGCGATGGATCATCCCTCGAAGCACTTAAGGTTTTCCATTGGATCTGGAAGGCTCGCATGGCTATACAATGTGCTTCCAGGGATGGGGTTGGCCCTGAAACTGGGGGGGAGGTAGCGGACAGAGATGGGAAGGGCGGGAGCAAGAAAAAGGGGGGAGTGAAGTGAAATGGTTGGGAAGGGGAAGGGTGGTGGGGAGCGGGGGGGGTAGGGGAGGAGGATGGGGGGGGCGGGGGGAGCGGGGGCAGGTGTGGGGTGGGGGGTGGGGGGGGGGGGGTGGGGGTGGGGGGGGGAGCTTGGGTGGGTGGGGGGGGTAGGGGGGGTGGTGGGTGGGGGGAAGGGCGGAGCAAGCGAAGTGGGCGGAGCGGGCGGAGCGGGCGGAGCGGGCGGAGCGGGCGGAGCGGGCGCGGGCGGAGGGGGCGGGCATGCACTGGAGCCCTTTAAACTCAGTCATCTGATGAGGCCCGTAAAACTGTGGGGCCATGAGCCAGTAGGCACGCTGCATGTGCCCTGTTTCGCCACAGATGTAGCACTTGGCGGTTGTTTGCATGCTTGCCCTTGCCTTTGCTCTCCTTGCCTTTTCCCTTTCCTTTGTCCTTCTTGTGTGGCTTGCCATCTCTGCCCTTGCCTCCTTGATGCTGATATGGCCGTTGTTTGCTTGCTCTTGTCCTTGCCCTTGCGCTTGCCTCTGCCCTTGCTCTCCTTGCCCTTGCCCTTCCATGTGACGGCATCCACCTCCATTGGCGTTGGTCCATCATTCGCTGCTGTCGCTCCAATGCCATATGAAGAAGCCAAAGCATCACCCCACTTGATGTGCCCCGAATCCCAACGCTGAATCAACAGACGCAAATCAGCATACGTGGAAGTTTCTGTGATACTGAACATAGCTTGCGTCTTGAGCTGTCCAGACAAACATTTAAGCACGGCAGCCAACTTGGTATTTTCTGCTAGAGGGGACCCATTCAAGGTCTCGCACTCTGTCACTGCCGCCTCAAATTCGACTGAGTTGCTGCATCAAGCTCACTTTGTTTGAAAATGCAGGCCAGCCATAAATCATCTGTGCCAATGCCAAAACGCGTGCTCGTGAGCTAGGTACCAAATCCTGCAAAAGCTGACGCTACCCTTCCAAGCCGCAGTTGTTCGGCACTGACTTGAGCAATCGGATGCCCTTGTCATGAAGTAGACCGGCCAAGATACCATACAGCAACTTTGATCGCTGCACCTTTGCTGGACTCATCAAACCCTGAACGATAGGAGATGAAGGATCGCGCCTGATGTCAGCAAGATCAGTCGCACGCTCTTCGTTGATACACGACAGCCACTGCTCGAACTGCCACGACCAATGCGGCCACATGGACAACTCAGAATCTCTTGTGCTGGGATCAAACTTCTCAGGGGGCTTCAATACTTTGGACAAATCCTTAGCAGTCACTACGGAAGGTGTAGGGGTCGAGGATGAGGACGAGGCGATGACGGCGGCCTATGCGGCAGCCGATGCTGCCTGAGTTGCAGCTGTCAGCTGATTCATCAAACTGTTCAGGTCTCCAACGGTGAGCTGTACTCCTGTAGGCGACATCGGAGATCCTGGCGGAAACGGATTGCTGGCTGTGCGTCCCTCAGGAGGCCCACCAAACTCTGAATCTGAATCATCTGCCATTGTTCAAACAACCGGAAATCAGTCAAGATCAATAGGACCACTGCCAGGGTTCAGACTCGCAGAAAACACAGGACTGGGATCCAAATCAATGACCACTGCGGATTGCAGCTGTCGGTTAAATACCGGCAAACAAGACAAATCTCGATCCAAATTATGATGTTCTGTTGCACTGTTGACAAACGCAGATTGGACCTCAAACGGAAGAGCCTCTTCTGCACTCTCCTCAATAGTGTGATGTTCAAAAGCTTCTTTGAGGTTGGGGTTCTTCAGGCACCGCTTGGCAAACTGAAAGAGCTCGCTGATACTGTGTAGACCAGCAAGTCGGTTTTCAAAAGATTGCTGCGCCGTTCCAATGATGCTCTGGACCAGAGGCTTGCAAAAGCCCCAAGTCGCACTACACAAATATAAACGCTTTTTCCAAGTCGCACTAGTCAGATGCACTCACAAGCTGCTTCACTATACACACGGTCGCTGTTAAGCTGATGCTTTTCTCATCAAGTCGCACTAAGCCAGATGCACACACAAGCTGGCTTTACAACACACTAGGTCGCTGTCAAGTCGCCACAAGATGCTTTACACAAGTCGCAGCCAAGTTGAAGTCCACGAACCCGAACCTGAGAGTGTGAAAATATGACATTTCTTTGTGTGCCTTGTTGCTTGCAGGTGCATATGAGTGCTGTGACATGGCAAGAACATGTTTTGTTTTGGCATGAGCATGTTTGCATGACATGAAGGTGCTTTGACTTGACATGTTTTGGTTTGCAAGTCCGATGATGAGTTTGAGAAGCACAGAGAAGCTTTTAGCTCTCGGGAGTTGACCTGAGAGTCATCTGGAAGTGCTGAAGCAAAGCTCTGAGGAACAGACTTTGGACGTTACTCACTCCGTGTGCTTTGCCCCGTCGTTCGTACCGTGTCGTGACCGGTTGACACTCGACTGAGGCATTCTGAGAGCATGCTGTATGTTTTGCAACAGTCAGTGTGTGTGTGTGTGTGTGTGTGTGTGTGTGTGTGTGTGTGTGTGTGTGTGTGTGTGGTTATGTGTGTGTGGTGTGTGTGTGGTGTGTGTGGTGTGTGTGTGGTGGGTGTGTGGTGTGTGGTGTGTGGTGTGTGGTGTGTGGTGTGTGGTGTGTGGTGTGTGTTGTGTGTTGTGTGTTGTGTGTTGTGTGTTGTGTGTTGTGTGTTGTGTGTTGTGTGTTGTGTGTTGTGTGTTGTGTGTGGTGTGTGGTGTGTGGTGTGTGGTGTGTGGTGTGTGGTGTGTGGTGTGTGGTGTGTGGTGTGTGGTGTGTGGTGTGTGGTGTGTGGTGTGTGGTGTGGTGTGTGTGGTGTGTGGTGTGTGGTGTGTTGTGTGTGTGTGTGTGTGTGTGTCTGTGTGTGTGTGT